AATAATAATAATAATAATAATAATAATAATAATAATAATAATAATAATAATAATAATAATAATAATAATAATAATAATAATAATAATAATAATAATAATAATAATAATAATAATAATAATAATAGATAATAATAATAATAATAATAATAATAATAATAATAATAATAATAATAATAATGATAATAATAATAATAATAATAATAATAATAATAATAATGACATGATTTTTTTACCCTTTGCTTCCTTCATTGTTTGCTTCTGAATGTTTCAGACTGAATAGTGAAGAAATTGGAAATGCCTCGCTTTGCTTGACTACATCATCAAAAGCACAAGAATTGGGCAGGTATTTATGCTGGAGGTCCTTCCAAATATGCCCCTGCTTTCACTTCCCAGAGTCCCCCTCTCTAGTCCTCGATTGATATCAACCTTTACAGAGCCCTTTCCAGCTGCAGTACCCCCTTTCTTATTTTATTTGTGGTATAGTAGCACCTTCACAGAGGTCTATGATCTGCATTCTCTGCAATTTGTAAAGTTTGTATGCAGCCCATGCAGGATTAGGGTCAATGAGTTGATCTGGTTCACACACATTTTACAGCAGAAACCCTGCACATAGCCAGAATATGCACTGGGTAAACTGTCTCCTGATACAAGTTTAAACAATTTTTTGAAAAATAGTCTATGCTGTCTTCCTCCCAATGGAGACTAGCTAATTGTGAGGTGTTTAGGCTCACCACCTATCTGGTAATATTTGAGCAGGGGCAAGCCTCTTCTGTCACTGATGGTGAGGCAATTTTTGGACACTGGGATGGCATAGTGTACCAGAAGATGTTATGCACCTCTTGACAGAATCATCTCTCTGACAACCACTTTCCACAAATATGCATATCATAGGAGTTTTTTTTGAAAGGAACATTCATCAACAACCAGCTAATGTAGTTTAGCAGTAAGCGGGTCACAGCAGTAAGTGGGTCACATCACGGACCCTGTAATACATGATTGTCATGCATCTCTGTTGTACCCATGCCTCCCTCCTCCAATGAGCACCAAGTGCTCTTAGCTTTTGCTGCTATGGAAGACCAATCCAGCATTGTCTATCCAATAGGCTGCAAGGCAGTACAATGTGTTGAACTCAACACTGCAGCACAGAATGGCTGGTGTCAAAGCATGCGCAGATATGCATGGTCTGCATGCCAAGTTGACAGCAACTGAGGAGAGTGTGGTCATTGAGTATGTGCTGAGGCTGGAGGAGCAGGGGTTTCCAGTGCAAAAGGGAGATTTGGAAGGGATGGCGGATCTATTGCTTGCAAAGAGAGAAGGGTTGAAGGTCAGGGTGGCATGGGCAGACCGGTTCATCTGACGATGACCAGAGATCAAGACTCGGCTCTCCCGTCCCCTTGACTACAAGAGAGCAGCAGGAAGATTCACAAGTGTACGCTGCATGGTTCTGGCTTGTGACCAATATGCAATCAAAATATGGTGTTCAGCCAGGTAATTTCTATAACTTCGATGAGACCGGCTTTGCCATGGACATGATCAGATCGACAACGGTTGTGATAAGCAGTGAACGGACAGCCCGGCCAAAGGCTATCCAGCCAGAGAACCGGGAGTGGGCAACAGCTATCTGCTGCATTGCAGCAGATGGGTACGTCCCCCCCCCCTTTTCTTTGCGTGCTTGGGCGGCACCACCTTGCAACATGGTATGCGGACAACAACATCCCGGAGGATTGGGTTGTCAAACCCACTGACAAAGGCTGGACGGACAACACTACTGGTCTGGAATGGCTTATGCACTTCAACAAGTGTACTGAGAACCGCAGGATTGGTCAATACCGCATGCCGGTCCTTGATGGTCATACGAGCCATGTCACGGTCGAGTTTAACCAGTATTGCAAGGATCACAATATTGTCCCCCTCTGCCTACCGCCACACTCATCACACTATACTCAGCCTCTCGATGTCAGCATCTTCGGGCCTTTGAAGCAGGCATACTGCAACCAGATCTCTTGGCTCTCACAGTACGGCATCACAAGCATCACAAAGCCCAACTTCTTTGCCACATTCCACACTGCATTTGCATTGGCATTCACAGTTCAAAATATTAAGAGTGGATTCCGAGGTGCTGGTCTGGTGCCTCTGAATGCACAGGCAGTCATATCAAAGCTCACATTACACCCACGGACGCCTACACCTCTGCCAGTCGATGAAGAACCGGAGCAGCCATGGGTCTCGCAAACACCAAAGACCGCAGCAGAGACTGCCTCCCAAGCAACACTCCTCAAGAACAGGATTGCCCAGCATCAGGGGAGCTCACCTACCTCAATCTATGCATTGATTAACCAGCTTGCAAAGCATGCCATTGAGCAAGACCATCGCATGACACTCTTGACCGGACGAGTGCAGCTTCTCGAAGAGACAGTTGACCACCTTTCCAGACGTCGCAGGATCAAGAATGTCCATCTCCAGGACTCTGGAGTACTTACTGGTGCACAAGCCAATGAGCTCTTGGCGGAGCAACGTGTTGGTGAGCTGGATGGGCAGGATCAAGGCAGAGGGGAGGCTCGGTTGAATCAAGCAAATCTGGGTGCACAATGCTGTAGACTCTGCAGATTGCCTGGACACAACTCCAGGACGTGCCCTGGTGCAGAACAAGTAGATAATGTGCCTGTACAGCGGTCTGATTAATGAGATGTTGCTTTAATGGTGAGATATCGTACATCCATCACAGAGGGTCCACAAACCTGACCCGTTCGCTGCCCTGACCCGCTCATTGCTAAACTACGTTAGCAAGAAATCTCCGGTGATTCCAGGTGGCGATTATTCTTTGTCAGAGAGGTGACCACTTCATGAGACTTGGCGCATGATTCCGTGCCTGCGTCTTGGCAGCTCCCCGGGCCCTGTGCAAGTACATGGAATAAAGAGGGCGTTAACTATTGCCTTGATAATCATTATAGGTGATACACATCAGTGGTCCACAGCTCGTACAAATTGCACACATAGAAATAGAACGGGGAAATACCGCATACAGAATAATGGTGTACATAGGCGTCAACTGGAGATTAGATGTCTTTCTTCCCTTTCGCTTTTTTCACCCTTCGAGCGGCTTTGGCCTTCGCCTAGTTCAAGAATCAGCCATAAAACAGTAACAAAGGCGTTGGACAGCATACTTTACCGCGAGCACCTCTACCCAGTTGCTCCGGTTCATTCTCCTCGTCTAAGCTGGTCAGATCGGAATCCTGATTCTCATACTCGGCTTTGAGTGGAGATGAGCCGCCTGTTTGACGATCGAGGGAGACATCTGAGTCAGATTGATCGGAAACTTCAGTGGATTCATCAGCGAGAGTGGCTTCCACTTTCCGACGACGCTTCTTGGGCCGGGAATGACTAGGTTAGTATGCGTCAATGTAAGAACAGTGACGAGGGTGAGCAACTCACCGGGGCGCATTAGGAATGTTTTCCTTGTCGATGGCTGGTGCGCGCCTGCGCTTCGTCGGGATCGATTTAGTGAGCCATGTCGCTTCATTTTGAAGGTGAAGAAGTACGTCCTCTGGAAGATACACTTTGCGTTGAACAGCACCAGCTGCTGCGGAATCACGGAAGCGAAGAAATATGTCCCCAGGCAACTCCACTTTCGCAGGATAGTTAGAGATGCTCCAACTATGCGTAGCAGCGAGTCGCTTCAACAGATGCTGTGCAAGCTCGCTCACAACGTAGACATTCTATCCAAATGCCTCAGAACTGAAGGTGTTCGCAAAGAAAGCACAAACCTCGGAAGGCGGGATGTCTGCATCTTCAACGGTCTTGAGCCTACCGGCAAGATGCCACAACAAGGGCAGGTTTTCCCCGGTGCAAACCAGATCAAGATAAAATCGAACATATCTGAGAAACCTTGTTGAGGTTGGCATAGGGAAAGATCGGAGAGACGCACTTTGCCATTTCGCTGATATCATCTACATTAGTCGAAAAATCTGGATGATGGGCCAGGAGATGAAGAAACCGGGGGAAAATCATTTCGAAACATGCTACTTTTGCGTCTGGAGGGCCACACATGAGTTCTGACCGTGTAACTCGAGAGAGACCACGTACTGCGAGGAAGGCGGCGCATGCAATTGCTGACATAGGATCGTGACTAATAAAGGGATAACATTCCATAAGCCTGAGTGGAAGGATATTCAATGCCACTTCGCACCTTTTCCCTGGGCTCGCTTTCCGGATCGTGAACGGTGAGAAAAGGGATGACATTATAGCGAGGTTGTATCTGCATTCGGGTGCTATATTTGATCATTTTATTGATGAAAAACATTCGGACCCCGAAGCAAGTATCCTGCTCAACAGTAAGCCCTGATCTTGAAGATCCTTGACACGGCATTACCTGAGCTGTTAGAGCCAGTGTCAACATTTTCTTCCCGACCAACTTGTCATATATAGGAATTCTTGCCAACCTCAGAAGGGAAACCGCAGCCTGGGCACGTATCCGCGACTTGTCGAGGAGACTAACGAATGGTCACCTGTTAAACTGCTGTCGTGCAGTGATAGGCATACCTTTGTTGAACACCTTGGAAAGGTGTACCCCCGGTCTCCAAGATGTTGAAAAGCAGGCTGATAACAGGTCTTGCAATGTCAACAGCTTGTTCACTTGCAGCGTGGGCCAGGCAACGATTAGTGCAGATGCGAAGGGCAAGCTCTTTGGCGCGAGCTGTTAAAGGGACATCGGGTTCATCTACCCATTCGTCTTCGGTCTGGGGCGGCACACTTATGTCAGCATGGGGAGAGTCATGAATGCCATGTACCAACCTTGTTCACTTTCTCACTGCGCATGAACAAATCTTTCAGAATGAAATGCATGACAATTTCGCTGCAGGACTCGAATGCATCCGGCGAAGACTGTGCTAGCTCAGCGAGTGCAGATAGGTGGCCAACAAGGTGCGGGGCATCCGCAGAAGGCAGGGAGGTTGCGAGTGACTGCTCAAAGTGTGAGAAAAGTGCTAACGAGACTCGAGTGTTTAGAATACCTTAGCCAGAGAAGTAGAAAGTTGTGATTTATTCCGAGTATGTGCTAATAAACGTGCAGCAAACTTCGCTTGCCGATGCTGTGAACCTTCAGCATATTGGGTAGCTCGCTCCGTAAGACGTCTCGAGGGAAAACTCAGCGGCTAAAATCAGATGTTCTACCAGACTTACTTGTCGGACGGCGCCAAACCTGGGTCAACCACGAAGACAGCAGAGAGTGCTTGCAGTGCGACCTCGGCCAGAAGCTCGGTAGTCGTTCCAGCAAGCGCCTTCGCCAATTCGCTCACGTGAGGCTTCAAGATGTTTGGGTTGTATTTTGATATTTTGGCCAGCAATGCGCGCAGATGGCTGCGGGCATATTCATTATGGGAACTCTGGAAAGTCTTGACCAGAGCAAGAATTGAAGAAACGTTCACTATCCATGCGGCGAATTTCTGCCAAAGAAACCGGAAGGTGGGTAGTATGGAAGCAGCATTACTTTCCAATCGAGTGAAAAACTCGCCCTAAAGATACATCAGCTAACAGGTTTGATATAGATGAGTCATCACTAGCCCTAGTCTTCACAACAGTTCTAATATCCGAGCTCACATCGATACTAGATCGAAGCAATCTGCAGCATCGCTTGTCTTTCAGTTGAGCGAATGAACGAAGGTCATCAGCAGCCTTAATCGGATCAGGTAAGTTTGCTGTTTCAGGAGGTGTGAATTGGCAACAGGAACTCGTGGAATCGGGTAAACACGTACACGATAAGCGTTGAATGGTAGTTTGCAGCTTTTGGTCGGCTCCTCCATCACGCTCATCATCAGCAGGACCTCCCTACATCCCCGTGAAACAGGGCAATGCAAAGATTTGGAGAGCTTACATTATCGTCGTCACAACATGCCACGTAAGATTCCAAGAGATTGGTTCGTCTAGGTGAGTGTCAGCCCAGCGTGCAGTCAAAATCGAATACATTGTACCCGGGTTGCAAACCTGCCATGGTGAACAAACCTGCAAGCCCCTTTTCGTCAATACATCGGAGAAGAACAATGAGATGTTGTGTCCAAGCAGTCTCGTCATCCTTGTCTGATGGTAATGGTAAAATATAGTTCAAGAACACATTTTCGATCAAAGATCTGTCTCCATGTTACGCGCATCATAGAGTAAGGTCGAATATCATACCTGATGTCTGCATTCGGTTGAGCGAGGGCGTGCAAAAGGTCGTTAGGTATCCATGATAAGTGAGCCACACTTTGACTATTCGATGTGGCTCTGATTCGTATGAGCAATATTGTCCGTTTTGGGGCAGGAGGAGGGGGAAGTCAATGACTCACATATCGGTATACGCAGAGCGATACAACTTGGCGAGACACATAGCAGCCTCTTGCCGAACAATTGCCTGATGATAAAGTGAGCGTACTCTCCCGATACAATTGTCACGCATGCCTTCTTGTCTAGCGTTCGACCACCAATGACCTTTAAGGTGTCGATGCTGATGTACTGTAGAACGATCTCAACATCGAGGCGTGAGCAGACTTTACATGCTGCAACTCGAACTTTCTCATCGGGGTCAAGCAGTTTGCGTTGTAAGATTTCTGTCATCAAAACATTAGCAAACCATTTGTCCGAGTTACGCTCCGATCACCTTCAGCATCACTCCTCTGCTCTGGATGATTTATAAGCAGACTGGGAACAGCATCGAGCACTGCCACGCGTACTACAGCGACCTTGTCATTCTGACGAAGAAGCCATGTTCGCCAGGCCGAAGGATATTTCTTCGTCAACTCCCCGCTACCGAGCAGGGTCTTCTCCCCGAACATAGCTCCCAAGGTCTCTGTCGACATAAGTCGAATATCTAGCTCGTCCACTCGAAGCTCTTCTTCAAGCTGAGGGATTACATTGAGTAGCAGACCAGAACAGTCACGGTTCAGCTGCTTAATGAGATCATGTGCGGCTCGGAGATCCTCAAGATCTTCTCCTTTGCTGTGTTGTAGAATTATGTCCGTAAAATACTGTCAAAATAACATCAGGACTTTGAATTTCCGGGATGGACAGTCACACACCTGAGACACATAGCGCTGCAACTTTTCTGCACTCTCGGTACAGACGGCGATCGCGAGTTTACGTCCACCATCTGTGGTTGACTTTCGTAATGCTTCAGTATCAGGTATCCCATCAACATGGGATATACTCACAGCATTGGACAGAAATTGCGCCAACACGACTTCAAGTACATCTTGAGGAACAGTGTTGCATTCGTCCACTAGTGCAACCAGAATATCGGTCATAAATGTGTGCACATTGCTTGGCAGATCTTGTCTGACGGTGCTTATCAGAATCTGAGCAGATCATCCTATCGTGTCTTGCTCACTTAGCTAGCTCAAAGAAATTCCGAAATATCTCCGACATCAGTTCATCCGCCTGTGGTAGATCACAGACAAGAACGATGCTCTTCACGTTCGATAATGACTCAAGAAGGTAATAGTACTCCGTAAAGTGTGGCCCGTTCGATGATTTCAATCCACCATACAGCTGTCGAGAAAAGAATTGAAATATATCCTATAAAACACATATGAGTGAGTGGAAGACCATGCTACTGGGAACCGTACCTTTAACTCCGTCCCCGTATATGGCGCATCTGGCGCATACAAACGTAGAAGATCTGCCAAGCAACATGCTGCAAACGCCTTCACACCTTTGTCTTTGTGGAGAAGAATGGATGTTGAGATAAGGTCCTTGCGGACCAAAGCCAATGTGCCCGTATCGACATTATCTTGGTCGATATCCGCGAGCTCGGTATGTAAAGCCTGCATACTTGTCAATATCCCGCAGAGCATCCAGTTCGGTCAACTATTACCTTCAGCTTTCTCTGCAATGCATCCGTCGACAACGTCTTTCCCACGAGCTTGTCATGAAATCGGAGTTTGTGCGGTGCTGGGTGCGCTTTGCGTGTTGACACCATCACGGATTTCCAGCCAAGGATGTAAGGACGGTTGAGGGAAGCGACGCGACGCGACGCGGTCCCCGCATATTACGGATGCCGAGCGCCACGTGGGAGTCCCACAATTGTGCCGCATTTTACGAGGATCCCTGAACCAAGTCGTGTAGCAAGCGCCGTAAATAATCCTGTCCAGCAGACTCAGCGCACATGTCTACTTCAATACCACCAAAGCGAGTCTTACCTCAGAAGGAGGCTGCCTTATTTCGAACTATTCTGGTGAGCACAACACTCATTAGAGCGCGGGCCATGTTCAAACACTGAGGACAGCAAATGTACGAGACAAAACTCTACAAGAAGGGTATCAAGACGGCAGATACTATCCTTAAGAAATTCCCTGAACATGGCGGTTCGCTCGTTTGCCCCTTGACGATCTCCGCTCACCCCCTGGTAGAAACTCTCTGCATGAAAGGCCTCATTCTCCACAGCATGGACCGCCGAGAGGAAGGCCTTGAGCTCATAAGAAAAGGAGTGCGACTAGATTTGACTTCGCATATCGTATGGCATGTATATGGAATTGCTCATAAGAGCGACAAAAATTACGAGGAGACCTTGAAGTGCTATCTTCAAGCCCTGAAGTTTGACAAGGTACGCCATGAACAAGAGTTCTAATGGCAACAGTGACTGACAAGCAGTCAGGATAACCTCAACATTCTACGAGAAACTGCCCAGCTTCAGCTCCAGCTTCGCCATTATGATGCTCACGTGGAGAGTCGTAACACGCTGCTGAGACTACGACCACAGCTTCGACAGAGTTGGTATGCCCTCGCAGTTGCTTATTACCTTAATGGGGATGACTCTCGAGCGGTTACGGTGCTGGAGCAACTAGAGACGTCCTTGAAGGTAACATTGTCCAATTTCTTGGTTTACCTCCATATTAATAGCAAATGTTCTCGCCCTCAGAATCTTGCAGATGGGGACGCTGAACTATCAGATATATTGCTTTTCCACATCAAAACCCTGGAAGCTGACGGAAATTACGCCAGCGCTCTTGCTTTCCTGGAAGAGAAGTTGAATGAGCGTCGCATCATGGATAGGGCCTATGCCAGAACAATCCGAGGTAAATTCTCAGAGCACTTTAAAGACATCACCACTAACGGTGCGCAGCGCATCTCTTCGAAAAGCTTGGACGATTGGACGATGCACGTGAATCCTGGAAAATGCTGTTGCAAAGGAACCCTGACTCTCATGAACTTTATCGATCCTACCTCGCCTGTGAAGGTTTGAATTTACGTGTGCTTGGTCTCCTTGTATCTTGCCCACCCGATTGATTCTCCCTCAGGAAATTCCTCACCGGAATCGAAACTCAAAGTGTTGGAGGCTCTCGTTAAGCTCATATCTCTGTACCCGAAAGCATCAGCCCCCCAGCGCCTCTCACTCGACGTGGCAGAATGTGGGCTCGACTTGTTCCCGAGTTATTGCACTTACCAATATTTGCCAGCTGACGCCTTCCGAAACCACGTGATACCTTACCTAGTCTCCGGCCTACGACGAGGGTCTCCTTCATTGTTTTCTGACATCAAGTCATTATATCGCAATGATTCGAAGCGCACCATTGTGGAAGACGTTGTTTTACGCTTTCGGGAAGAACTTGCTGCATCTAACATAATGGACACAGCAATTACTGAACAAGGTAAGGGCCGGCTCAAGTCTGGGTGATGTCAAATCAATGCAATTACCAAAGGTGAAACACCCGCCACATACGTTTGGACGCTATTTTTCCTGGCGCAACACTTCTCCTATGTTGAACAGCCGCAGAAGGCTCTATCAATCATCAACGAAGCTCTTGAGCTCTCTCCAGCTCTCCCCGAAGTGCTGATGGTGAAAGCGCGCATTTTGAAACGGGCTGGCGATCCATTCGGTGCAGCGCTATGGATGGAGAAAGCTAGGCAGCTTGACGGCCAGGACAGATTTTTGAACGGAAAATGTGCAAAGTACCTCATGCGATCTGGTAACATCGAAGAAGCTAACCGACGACTTGGCCTCTTCACCAAGGTATGTCGTCGCTCCCATGGGCCCCAGATGGTCGTTACTCAAGAATATACAGAAAGATGCACTGAATCCTGGCACGGACCTGGAGGACATGCAGTCCCTCGCCTATCTTCAGCAGGAGGGTGATGCCTGGGTGCATCAACGTAGGCTTGGAAGAGCTCTGAAACGTTATCACAGCATTTTCAAGGTCATGCTTTTGCCTGGATAACTGTGCGCGGACCAACTAACTAGCATGGCTCTAGATCTTCGACGACTATGAGGACGATCAGTTCGACTTCTACGCTTATTCACTACGCAAGTTCACTTTTAATGCATATATTGAGTACGTGTCGTTGTAGAGCCTCATTCTCATGGGCCAATTCTTGTCAAGTTTGCTTGCATTTGAGGATCATTTGCGAGGACATGTTGCTTACATCACGGCCGCTGTGGCAGCTGCCAAGGTGCTATTTTGGTATTCCCGTAGAATCACACAGCTCACCTAGGATTGTGCAGATTTATGTGAAGTTGCATGATGATCCGGACTTGGCGCGTGAAATGGATCAAGGTCTCCAGACTATAATGCAACCTCTCACATTCTGACCAAAATTATGACAGGGAAGCACAGCCGTAAGAAGAAGCGAACTGAACTCCCCACGAATGGCACGAATGGCAAAGTAGTTGTCGATGGTTCAGCAGCATCAGCAGACCCGGATCCGGATGGCCGCGTTTTGGTGTCCCTCAAGGAACCCTTGATCAAAGCCCATGACATACTTTCTCGTTGTGATGGCCTTGTGCACGACCATTTAGAATATTGGTTGACTGTTTTCGATGTGGCTTGGCGACGAGGTGAGTGATATACGACTGTGTTTCGACCTGATTCACAGTTCCGGCAGGAAAGTACCTGCAAGCAGTTAGAGCGTATCAAACGGCAAAGTTGCTTAGAGGTGATCATCCCGAAATCCATGTTCGTGCCATCCTACTGGCATCTCGAGGTCAGCACGACCAAGCGCTCCTGGGCAACTAACATGCTCACCGTTGGTAGACTGGTCAACGTGTGAGTCCCGCGTTGCGCAGCCCATTCTGCAGTGTATCGTCAGCATTATTGGTCCGCAAACTCTCGACATTTTCAATGCCCAGTACTTACAAGAACATCCAAATCATGCACCAGCAATACTCGCCGCTGCTCGAGGTTTGCATGTGTTCAAAGGTTCAGAGGAGTCCGAGGGGATTCGAAGCTTGACGTGGCAACTCCTTCATCCTGAGTGCAGTACAAATGTCCAGGTGAGAAGCATCTATTCCTGCCATTCTGAAAGAACCCAGCAACCTCATCGCTGTATAGGTTTGCTTGGAGGCGTGCATGTTCATCGGAGAGGTTTGCGGCCCAGAGATTCAAGAGAGCTTCCGGAAGCTGTGTCAAGAGCGATTTCCCATTGCAACTGTTTTCTTGGCGCCTGATCAACAAGAGGAACGCCGCAGAGAGCTTCAGGCAGTGATAGATAACATAGATTAGTGGCTCTCGCGGGTGAGTAGATGGAAGAAAACTTCGCGAGAGGCTCCATGACCTCTGGTGCAACATGCTAGTTTATCAATCCTGCCCTCAATTCATTTGCGCGTCAAGAGCTCTAGGGAAAACACTACGTGCGCCGTTGGCTTACCTTGACAGAAAAAATACATCATTGGGGGGTGAGGGTGAACAGGGATCTGCAGTAGAATACAGTATCTTGTTACATATGTTGATAGACACCAAGTCACCCAACCGTGCAACCGACATGTGCTATCAACTATTGGCAGAGCGAGATGTGCCTGCAACCTCCCACGCCCCAATGCCCTGTACCTTGTCGACCATTGCTTCCAAAACGGCACCGCTGCGCCCACGATCGACAAGCCGACGAACACCCCATCTAAGATATCCCGTGCTGCTGTGTTCCCAGGGCCGCTTTGTTGAGCCTGTCGCAGTAGCATACGAAGCAGCGGGTAGTGTGAACAGAGCCTGCAGAAGATCTGCTAGAAGATCTGCCGCTGTGGACAACATAAATGTCGCGAGCGTGACAGACAGACAGAAGGATACCTACCGGGCGCCGTAACTGCAGTCGTGTCGCGAAGAAAACTGTAATGCTGCAGGCGCTCTCTGGCCCTTGCCAACCGCCTCTCGGCCATACGGTTCGACTTCCTCAATTGGACATTGAGCTTTCGAGCCTTCGGCGGTTGTCAACTCATACCAGCTTGGAAAAGGTTGCACTCACCTCCCTCACGCGGATCCGCATTTGATCTAGCTGCGATCGCAGCTCATCCTCATCCGGACCGGACAAAATCAAGTTAAGTCCTGCATGATGAGGAAGTATGATGGGTAAAGAGACATCGGCTGGTGGGAAGGAGAAGACATTTCGGAGCGCCCAAACCTCAAAGAAATCAAAAGCGGTGTCGGCATATGACTCTAGCAAAGTCTGAAACGCGTACAATCCCTAATAAGCTCTTTCAGCTCTTCCGCCCCCCGGGAATACTTAATTGTAGCTCACCCCGTCGACTTCTTTCGCAATGGCTTCAGCCCTATCATCCGCCCAACGCAAAAGGAACACTTCGAGGGCTTCCACAGCGTGATACAATGTTTCATACGCAACATTGACCACATCGTCCAGGAGTAGCTGAGGATGAAACTGGAGTATTTCAGTTAAGAGGGCGGGGTTTCGATATGTGGTTAAAGGAGCATGCGTTGACATGATGGTTGTTGTGATGGGGGGGTGAGATTGAACGCGTCGCGCAAATGGGACCGTGCACGTGACTTGGTTTCCAGAAATGTGTGAAGTGGACAGCGCCTATGTGTAAGATGATTCTTAAACCAGAAAGGTGGCGCGGAAGTTTTTATGGCACTAGCGAAGACCATGACACTTGTTCCTCCCTAGGTATATCACAAATGACATTCCTTACATAATCTAGTTCCTCTTGCTCCCGTGGGAGAACAACTGACATGGAGAAACCATAAAGGACATATTTCGTTTTCGCTACGTCTAATGAATTGACAGACACCGCAGGGATAGGTGACGAGTGATTTAGAATGCTCAATCATTTTGAGGTGTAAGTCAAAGAAATAGAATTTAGGGATCTCCCCCTTCCTCTGCACGTGACGAGGATGCTAAATTGCCAAGATCCGGTAAAGATTGGCACCGACACGACCCGATCATGGAAGACGCCTCCTCTAGTGCCTCCTTAATATCTCTCTCCTCTACGGCGACGTGCTTTAGATATGTCACATCGCGTACAGGCCATTCTAGATGATGCCACTGATGCAATTGGCGATACACCTCTGATACGCCTCGACCGATTTGCTGCCCTGCATGGTCTGAAGTGTAATTTATGTCAGTGAATCTCGATGATTGCCTGCAATCAGACTTTCTAAACTGCGCATCGCCGTGTAGTGGGCAAAGCCGAGTTTCTTTCATCCGGTGGTTCCGTCAAGGACAGAATAGCAAAGCGCATGGTGCAGGAAGCTGAACGGGACGGCAGGCTTATTCCCGGCAAGAGTGTTATTATTGAGCCTACCAGTGGAAACACAGGTGATATCGCAGAGCACCCTTATTGATTCATACATTAACTTACTTCACTACAGGAATTGGGCTTGCGCTAGTAGCTGCTGTCAAAGTATGATGGACGATACGAATTTTGCGTGATGCTGATTACAAACCAGGGCTATCCTGTTATCATCACCTTGCCCGAGAAGATGAGTAGAGAAAAGGAGGCTACACTTCGTGCGCTCGGCGCAGAGATTGTTCGAACGCCGACTGAAGCAGCTTGGGATTCCCCGGAAAGCCATATCGGTACAATAGTTAGTACCAGGCATGAGTGGGATACTGAATCGACAAGACCTTAGGTGTGGCAAAGAAGCTTGAAGAGGAAATCCCGTACGGCATTATCTTAAACCAGTATGAAAATCCGGACAACCCGTTGGCGCATGAGTATACAACTGGCCCTGAGATCATTGTACGCGTGCTCTACAGGTGCAGTAATGATGACTCACCCTGTCGGCAGGCGGCCGTCACCGCACCTTCGAATTCTCAACGACTCACCTCTGGAAAGGTCGATTGTGTTGTAGCAGGTGCCGGTACCGGGGGTACAGTGACCGGCATCAGTCGTGCGATCAAGAAGGCCCACAATCCGGCTTGTGTTGTTGTCGCGGTGGACCCAGTCGGTAGCGTCTTGGCACCCGATGATGTCAATAAGAAGGTGCAGAGCGGTATCTGTGGTTATCAGGTAGAGGGGATAGGGTTAGTGTCATTAATGGAGGCCAGAGCCAGTGCTGACATCCATGCAGCTATGATTTCTTGCCGAAGGTCCTATGTAGAGAATTAGTTGATGTTTGGTATGCAGCTCACGGTCCTCCTTCGAGCGACAATGGGCTTATTGAACACAGGGAGAAGGTCGACGACGATGAAGCTTTTGCCACAGCTCGTGAAGTCATCAGAACCGAGTCCATGCTCATAGGTGGCAGCAGCGGCAGTGCGCTAGCCGGAGCCCTGCGCTATTTGAAGAGCAGTGAAGGATATAGAACGCTTGGTGGTGTAGAAGGCAAGAATATTGTTGTGATTCTGCCGGACAGGTGGTCAAGTTATCCTAATATTGGACGCGAGTACTAATCCCCTTGTCAGTATCCGGAACTACATGAGTAAGCCGTGGTTTTTGCAGACAACGGGTCCAACCGCACTGGCACAACAAATCGAGGCAACTTTGGCTAATACCGCCGGCAACGAGCAAATGGGCAACGCTAGCGGGACGACTGAACATCTTGCAGTTACCCCCCAGGGTTTGTCAAAGACATCGCTTTGATCAGACCGCTACCCCGTGAGGTGGACTGCATGTGCTGCAGTGGTGGTAGCAGGTGTGTAGAGAATAGAATATACTGTTTCATGACTTGTCATTACCATATCCAATCTAAGTGTTTCATCAAGCACTCCTGGAATTCATCCTTTTAGGGCAACGCAGAACCATTCTCCGTGCATCCTTCTTCTGTCCCGTTGATCGGTTGGGCTTGATCATCTGTAAAACGCGCTCTGGCCTTGTCTACCTCATGCTCCCAGTCGGATCGCAGGACCAAAATAACACTAACAAGGGAAGCATAGACAAGTGCGACAGTTAACTGATTTGCTCTGGTCATTCCTTGGTCTTACGAATGGGTAAGGAACGCACTCCGATCCATATTCCGTACAACTGTGTATGTCGGCTGAAGGTCAGCCAGAGACCCAACGGAATGCCAATCACCTAAGCAAATATAGTCAGCATAATGATAGAACACTGAAATGAGCATAGGATCGCGGACATAGTAAGCGGTGAGATTAATCACGGCCCCATGCGACTGTGAACGACGTCAGCTGGGAACTGTCAAATGAACAATGCTCCTACTTGTTTTCCAAGGCCACGAAGAATACCACTTGAGATAGTTGCAAGCGCGTCAAATGCCTGAAAGCCTGCACTGAAGGACCATTCTATTTAGTTGCTTTCTTGGTACCATATCAAGCAAGAGACACACCAAAGAGGTAGGATTTGGGATACGAGGCGAACCACGGAAGGATCATTATTGAAAATGTATCTGCATTTGTTCAGAGTCTAGATATGATGCTCTGCTCAGTACTCACGCCCAATCTACGTGACAAAGTTAGCTGGTGACACAGGCAATAACAGCAGGTACTTACTATGTCGAAAGGTGATCAGCAAGCCTCCCATAAGGGAGGCCGCACATATGCCCATGAACAAAGACACCTTACAAGCCAGGCTTGCCTCTCTCGCTTGTCCGGCACCTAACAGGTTGCCCACGCTGAAAACGCAGTCAGGATGGCAGACAATCCCAGGAAACAACGCACCGAACAGCAGCGGCAATGGACAAGGCATTACTTGCTTGCCAGAGTCCACTACATGTTGACAAAATCACGGATTGCGCTGCTAGTGCAGAAGGTCCTAGTCTGCAAAAGCCATGAATGCAACGAATCAAGACGGTTCTTTGCAAACGAACAAGCTAGCGGCCACTAAGAGGCAACTATTAAGTAAACGGACTTCAGCATAAGAAGTTAGACTTACGTGCAACGATCTCCCAAGACCACCACTCCGATACCGTCATGCCTGTTGCGATGCAGTGAATTCAGTTTATCATCGACAGCTGGCATACTTACCGACACCAGCGATACCTAAACTGACCAACTCTCCAAGCCGCGTAAAACTACGATGACTCACGGGACACCATGCAGTTTTCGGCGCGAAGAATGCACCATATATGATGAACACAATAAGCTGATCGTAGATAGTCAGCGTAAGGGCAGGCCGGGGTATTCGATAAGATGTACCATTAAATTGAAGCTAAATGCTGTAGCAAGCGGCGCGCCTTTGAATCCCAATCTCACGGGCTCTGGACCCCACACTACGCAGATGTCAACTTTGGTAGAGGTATAGCATCGATCAGTCTACCCAATAACCAGTTGAGGAAAAGGTTGAGGGGTGCAACAATGACAGTTGCGACGGTAGGCTGATACCATGGGTTACAGCTGGCATTTTTTTGTGACGGTGACTTACAACATGCATGAGACCTGTACGGACGTCAGGGACTGATGAGAACTGGATAGATGAGGGTCACCTTGACTTTGAAAGTATCTCTTCGCGATTGCATTGTATGTGTACGCAGGTAGTCCAACGCTCGCATACTTCAGGTACGCTCCTGCATAGCGTGCCACTTCAGGATCTTGATGCAAGAGCAGGAGAATCTATTCGAAACTCAGCTTGATAGCACCGGTATCGTTTGCAAGAAGCTACCGATTCGGTGTTAAACCAAATTCCAAGCATAGGCTGGGAGGAACTATCAACGCAAGTTGCCATATTCCGTCCAGCAGGGCATCTTACCACAAGAAGAATCGTCATGAGCACGACCATGCGCTGAGTCCACAGCCCAACCATACTGGGATCATCAGATGTCCATGCAGTAGGGAGCAGAGTATCGAGTGCGCAAATGAAACCAAGTGCAATGGAATACCCAGTGACACTACCAGTCATATTTCCTAACGTGCTTCCTGCGAGCTGGTCTGTGCCGATGTGTCCAATAGATATGACCGAAGCCACAATGAGGGAGTACTCCAACACTTGAGTCCTGAACAAATTTCAGACGCAATATATATCGTGATGATTCAGAATGCGCACGCAAGAATCGGAAATGAGTAGCGAATTAGGACATTGAGCTCTTTGCCGAAGTTAAACCAAGAAGATCTCGGGGCTTCTTTACTGTCTCTTCTGTCCGGAATTTCAGTGTTCAACAAAGGAGTGTGTTCATCAACAAATGGAGATTCAGGAGGCGCAACCGGTGTTCCCGGAAGGGGGGATAAGATCCGTCGGTTGGGTCGAATTGTTGTGGGGACTGCCGACATTGTCCTGCGACGTTTGATTGCATAGGAAACTGGGCCAAAGGGGCCAGCCAGAGCAGGATCGATATTTTGCTGAATCGAGATCCCTTGCGAAACTTCTTCAATAGAACTTGATATCTCCCCGTTGCTTTCTACTTCGCGTTCTTCTGGATCGAGTTCCGGATTAAAATGGCTCATGAGAGCATAGCTTGAGGGCAACGAAGATGGCTGCTGATAATGGGGGAATTCGGACATATTGATGAAGAATGTAATGTGTGACTGATGAGGGCTTTTTTCATCAGTTAGCCGGGTATGTGCGCGATGCAGAAGCGACTAGGAAAGCTCGGCGAGAAAGAGAGATGCGAGCGATAAGCGCCATATCTTCACATTTATTCCACCGTGCGTCATTGGGCCGCCTGATAAGGTAAACACAGCCACTTGTTGACACGGTGACGCGCGTGATTTTAGCCTCAACGAGATTGCTCGTACTACCCTCTCACCCAGGACTGGTCAGTCGTTCGTACAGATCCAATGTCCCTCATTAGTGACCCCGAGTATGTTCAATGAGCATACATGCACTTTTTTGTCCTGACGCGCTTTCCATAGCTATGTCATTCACAATCTTCGTCTTAACTACCTCCGTCATGTGGACGATCCGTATGGTCCACGTATAATCAGCATCTCTCAGAAGCATTGTGCCAATCCATTAGTCGTTGCGACTGGTCTTGACGACCCGGATCTGTGGCCGGAACTGAGAGTTCCGTCAAGTCCCAAACTCGCTGCGGTTGATGCGAGCCTTGCGAATGGCAGTCTATCAACAACGCCACCTGTTTCGTCAGGCATGGGGGACGGGCCTAACTTTGGAGCGACTGGGCTCAGGCACTCTGAAACCATTTACGGGAGCTCTAGAAATGGGGCTGCTGGAATGCGAGTTTCTGGTAGATTCACATCCAACACGCCTCGAAATCGCGGGCTGGGTCTAGAGGCGGCCGAGCTTAGCACATCTGTTGGGTCGCAGGTCGCCCGCCTTCGATCTGACAGTGCTCCAACTCCCTCAGCATCGACAACAGTAACGAGCAACCCCATTCCGACTGTATCTACCTCTCCAGGTGGGACTGAGAGGTTCCCACAAACAACACCCAGGCGTCGCGGTTCCGCAGGAACTGCACTAACTCGCTTCAACAATGATAGCGGCCGTCTCCCGCCTTCAACTCCTCTTGCAGGATGTCCGGTGGTACCTGCATCGAATGGAATCACTGCAGCTGTAGTCAATCTACCAGTTACACAACCCACCCCATCTGCTGCCTTGCCGAGTTCTTTTCATGCACCGATTTTTGCCCGTGCAGCAGAAATGGAGGCTCGCCGGAGAGAGCGAATGCGACAGCGTCTTCCTCTCAGTCGTCCTCTTATTCCGACGGCACTAAATCATTCACTAGCTTCCTCTCATACGCCGTCAGCACTCGTGTCTAACAAGCCCTCCGCGGACGAGATCGAAACGCCGAAGAGTGCTTTGACCGTGGACAGTCCGGCAATGTCCGACGAGGAGGTCGATGCTGAGGATGAGGATGAGGAAGATGAAGATGAAGAGGAGTTCAGAGTGGCTTCTACAGATGCTGTGGAGCGTGCAGAGATCGGTGCCGGACAGCATGAAGATGAGTTTGACCCGCCAGACTTGCTTCGAGCGTGCGTGAAAGTCAATGTCTCAGCTTCTGTGCAAGACTCACCTTGTTTCACAGTGATTCCAGCGATCATCCCATGCCAACTTCGGTCCCGTCTGACGAGCTATCCCTTCCCTCGCAACCGTCGATGCAATCGATGTTATCGACATCGCAGTCTTCCGCATTTGCAGGTGGTTCCAGCCATCTTCAGGTCGCAGGCCAATTGGTCAATCGTAGTCGATTAAGTCCAGTAACAGAATCTCGCTTTGACGAACAGCGTGCTGCTCGAATTGCGGAGCCCGAAGATCCAATACTCGGTAAAATGGGCTCTCCACCAGAAGAGTCCTTTTTCGATTCCGGACAACCTTCCAGCCCGCAAGAAACCGTGCCCAGCGTTATGGTTAGCAGTGCTTCGGAGAAATCTGTACCGAGTGGACAAGTCCTTTCTCCAGTACCGCGGCCCTTCATGGCTGGCACCGGGCAGGGCAACATCATGATCCGCTCCCTAACGAATGATGCACACGAACCGCCCGAATTGCACAGGCACAGCTCGAAGTCTTCACCGACGACACAGCTCACGTTCGCCAAGCGGACTATACCTCCTCTTGCCATGAAGTCGGCATTAACGGCCCAGTTGGCTTCTCAATTTATGCCTTCGGACAATCCATTCACGGACCTTTATGCGGCTGTATCTGGACGGGCAGAACCCAGCGCCGTTGCGTTAGCCTTGTACTTCCCTCATTCACGTCAAAACCGAGACCGGCCCATACAAGTCACAGTTCGCAAAGATGCGAGCGTTGAAGAAATCATTGGGTTCGGGTTATGGACGTATTGGGATAAAGGTCTGGATCCCCGCTTGGACGAAGGATTATTACCCGAAGGAAAAAGCGCAACTGGAGACAAGGAGCGTGAAATTCATCTGAGTACGGTGGGCTGGTGTCTGCGCATGGTTGAGGAGGATGGTGAACCTGACGAAGATTTCCCTGGTTCGCTCCTTGTACCTTCTCTTTTCTCGCCTCTCTAACCCTAGTCATTAGCGCTCGATCGATCTAGGCCTATTTCTAAGTTTGCTTTCGATGCCTACGCTATCTGTGAAGCTACGGAAGATCAAGGTGAGTAGAATTCCTGTAACCTCGGCATCAGCTGATGATATACTGCTACCAGTCAAGCAGAATGAAGTAGACAACGCTGCTATCGTGCGGCGGCCGTCTCGTCTCACGGCGACGAGACGCCAAAACACCGTTGGTGGCCTGGGCATACCAGAGTCTAAGCCTGGTACATCTGTTGTTACGTCCTCCGGCATAACCGCCCTTGCGAACACGGCTGGTTTGTCTGGCCTCGTAGGGCCTCCAGTCTTTCTACGTGTCCGAATGGCGGCCCCTGATGCTCCACATTTCTCTACCACTATTCACACGTATGTATACTCCCTTGTGCAGTACATCGTTTCTGAACAACTTGGTAGAACGAGTGATACCTATATTGCCGATGTCCTGGACGCTGTCTGTCGCAAACGTCGCCTTCCGAACCCCAAGGAGTGGGGCTTGATGACATCCGACATGACAATTGCCATACCGCTTGATCGAACGGTAGCTAGCTTGGAAGGAAAATTTAATCTCGTCCTGGTTGCGCGGGTCTATCTGCAAGAGAACGGGTTTCTGGCACAGAGGTGGAAGACTACAGATCCGAATGGCAAGCATCTTTGTTACTGAAGCTGACCTTAGTCTAATCGAACAACAGCATCAATATATCACAAGATGGCAGATACGGCAGATGTCAAAGGTTCCGTTGAGACTGGTTATAGGGTATACCGTTAGTCTTTTCTTGCTTTTCGAGACTGCTGAAGCTTGATCATCAGAAATTCAATGTTTACCGCAAGATGCCTGTGCTAGGCAGACATGAAAGAACCCTTGCAATCGATGGTCATTATATTCATGTAAGTGGCTTGCTGTGGTGCGAGAATTGCTTGTCACTGTGACCCCTAGATATTCCCTTCAAGCAACATGCGCGCTTTCGCTAGCAGCTCCAAGACATCATCACATCACATCACGGCAGTGGTTTCCTGTAAACAGAGCAGAAAAGTGCCTCAAACGGTTAAGTTGGTCGTGATGAAGGATGGTGTGGAGAAGCGATACGAGCTGGAAGCCGAGAATGTGAAAGAAGCTGGTTGGTCCTTCCCCCTATTCGTCATGCAAGCTCTTACCTTCTGTATCCCAGCCGAGATAGTCAGTAGTATTAAAGGTCTCCAGAAGTCATATCAGTTAGAGCGCAACGGCACGTATGCTCGTGGCACAAGAGCCAGGCGAAGCCGAGTAGGAGTCTAGTTGTCGACATCTGTATTAGCAAGGTCAAAACTCGAAACGGGCACCTGTACATTAGGTTTCGTCTGAAGCTTATGAACAACATAACGAATGTAGCACTTGAAAGGGATGGAATGGACTGCCGTCTCAGTCCGAACATGAGATAAAGGTTGGTTGGCGAGGGAAAAGGATAAAAGATGGCAGAACGAGTAGATTTCTAACCTGTTTTGAAAGGGGAGTGGTTTGATGAGCGGGCGCCTTCAATATCGGCAATGCACATGGGTGATACATGATGATTTGTAATGATTGTATATGTGTCGACACCTTTGAGAATACAGGGGCTCATTTCCACGGGACAACGTTGTTCACATGACGATGACAAGCAAACATCCTATCTTGCCCGATAAAGCTAGTTTGTGGTGAAGATGACTGAGGAATTTTCGACACATCAGAAGCATTTTCTCATGAACGGTTCTCGATCTCCTTCCAAGATGGGCGGCTTGAGATGTCTTTCCACCACCTGCGATAAGACCGAATTGTTCAGTTGTTCAACCTGGAGAAAGCCAAGTATCGCACCGTTCCACGCTTGGGAATCCATCATACCAGACGATGTTCAACTGTGTCTTCGCATGAGCTGGAGAATCACAGTTCGACAACTGGAAAGCTTGCCCTTTTCAGCACGGCCGTGCCAACAGGCAGATGGAATAGATCCGCGAGCGTCAGTGCCTGGAATCCGTATCAGTTAATGCGTCAGGAACCGGTCAATTGATGCACTTCTCCAGCAAGAAATTTCTGCCGGTCCAATATTCTTTCGTACCCCTCCATCTTGACTCTCAGCTGCTCCTTCAGGTGTTGAACCCGTTCGAAGTCCGGCTCGCCCCTGGAAAAAATACGGTCATCAAAACCAGCAGAGCTGACACACGACGAACCCCTTGTAAATCATCTCCACCAGTAGGCCAGACAAGACAGGGTCAAAATCCGACATTTCCACACTGACCGCCTGCTCCGTCCACGCCATCCTCGTGAGGTTAGACATGGGATAGAGTGGCATGCCCCGGAATGGATAAGAGCCGGCAAGGTACCGGCCAATAGCTCGGGATTCTAGCACAACCATGAGCTCCATGCACATATGCTCCTGTTCAGAACTTGAGTTACCGTAGAGTTGAAGCGAACCATCCTATCCAACATTGAACCTTAATTCGTTTTTGAACTGGGGGCGTGACGTACTACCAGCACAGGTACCTGGCCAAACGGCTGCTTGGTAAAATGGCTCTCCGACTTGTGTTCCTTCTCTCTCATATTGACTGAGACGAAATCATAAGGTATGTCCTTTTCTCTCAAGATCAGCTCGACGCGTTGGGTTGATGGGGATAGTCGAGAGCCATACAGCGTTACAGTGGCTGTCGCACAAATGATATTAGCTCTCCGCTATACGGACGCTACGAAAGGGAATCTACAAGCTTTCGTCCCCATTTGCCAGAGATCCGCAATTGGGCCCTCCCTGCTGAAGAAGTGCGGCACATCATTGATCGTCGCTCCAGAACGCACAATCTGGAATGCGGTGCTCGCGACGATTGTCAACAACGTAAACATAAAAAGACGCAGGGGGCTGGGCCGCTGGGGCGACTTGTGGTGCGCAACAGGTGGTCGGTCTGAGGTGGACGCTGCACGGGGTGTCATTGCGGTGATGGTCGAAGGTGAGAATACGAGGAACCTTTGCACCCCTTTCCCGCACTGTGACTTGCCTTACAACCCTGCATAACAAACTCCGTGATCGCTGGAACTCGTCGGACACCAACATTTTGTCTATGGTGGTATGTACTTATTTGCATACATAGATAAATACACTACCATATGCAGTCTATTGCAGGGGTTCGTCATGATCCTCTGGTGCATTGTCTTTACCCAAATTGTTTAACCAATGTGTCATATATGAGAAAGATCATGCCAGAACTTGGCGCAGAACGGACCACTGTGATGCCGAGACCGGCATACAACCCACGGACGCCTTGAGCAGCATATATTGAACGGAAGGTTCCAACGAACGTCGGTCGTGGTGCATTTGATTGGCGGGGTCGAAGCTCCTCTTCAGTCTGGATGGCGGACTTGACAGAGTCGGCAGGATAGAGGACAGTATTGTACGAAACTCCTGCGCATGCGCCAGCAATTACGGATTCCCAAGCTCTCAGGTCCTTCTTCGATAGCTCGGAAGGATCACAGCCCAGTTTCTTTGCTCGTCGGCGAAGCATGAACCGGGATACTGCTTCATTGGCTCCAAACCAGGCCGCAGCTCCGCCGGTCTCCCGAAGTAGAGTACCCGTCTGTCCTAGCCAAAGACCACGTAATCCATCATTTTGGATGACAGACGCAACGATCGAGAACGGCCCCTGCAGTGAACGAAATGAGGGTCGGTTGAGAACCGGGGCTTCGCCGGGCAGAACAGCATGTAAGGCGGCCACTGTTCGTGCTTCCGCCGCCAGCATCTGGACTTGCATTCGACACTTTACGAGTTCGATCGGTGTCCTACAGCATGACTGACTTATGGATGATCCATTTAAGAGTAAAAGTGCTCACAGGAAAAAGCTAGTGATCGCCCCTGCACCGGCCGCAGCGATTGCTACTTGGACCAAAGACAAGGACGTGGCACGCAATGTGCCATCTGGTCCCGGCTCGAATCTTGGTTGACCGTACGCGATCCGTACCAGATCCTGTATCTGTCCGTTCGCCAGGAATAGCACTGCATTCTCCGTCATAGCGCCAACTATCGGAGCCGGTAATCCCTGGCTATTCGATGAGGCAATTCTTCAAGCAAAATAAAACCACGACACACTCGATACAATCCTCGAATGCCTTCTTTGGAATACGTTTTGTACAGACAATCGATGGGGCCCTTGAAGGTTGGCTTTTCATCCAAGACCTGCGCTTGGAGCCTGACTTTACACAGGTCGAATGGATGTTCAAACACCTTCGATACCATGCCGGCAGCCTAGAAGTTACACTGATGAGTGGCGTGTGCATATGCTGAGATCCGCAGGTACATACACTTCCAAAAGCGATATCTTTCAGACCTCTAAGGGCGTTTCCGTTCGGACTGGGCTCCACTGGAGACGCGCCCTGCTCCATTCTGCAGGATAGGTACCAGGAACGGCACAAGGAAACAAACAGTGCGGTTCGCTATAAATGCTGATGCCGATCATTGCGATGCCATTGGACGATGGTGAGGTTGAAAACGCAGTCGCTGTCGTTGGTTGACAGCAAGTAGAAGAGCCGTCAAGAAAATGTGAAAGGTGTGGTTGGTTCCTGTTGTTCGGGATCAAAACACTAGTAGGAATCATTTGGAACACACGACTCCTTTTATTGTTAGGTTGTTGTCCCTGTCCTCTATACTTGAACACTAGGAGCTCTAGTTGTACGGTGTTTACATCTCTTGAACAAACACTGTCTACGAAATGGACCCATCGGGTTTCATCGGGCTTCTTCACACACTGAAATCACTTATGCCTGCTTCACTGGATTCAGCAAATTCGGCTCAGGTTTGATGGTGAGTCTCTCTAGCTTTGCAGCCATCTCTGTTGTCTTAATTATATACATTTAGAGGATGGACTTCACCTCAATATTTGTATTTGTTATGCACCGGCGATTTCTGCAGAGACGCAAGGTTTCTCCCTACTGTTGGCCAGCATGGGTCTGCGCCGTCGGCAGAAAATGAAGGAAACCATTAATCTATTGAGCTGCACCTCATTCGAGATTACGGAACCGACAGGGCGGCACCCAGCTATCAACCGGCTTAGGCTGACACTTGCAATAAATATTGAGACCTGGTCTTTACCCCTGTCCTCAAATCTCTTCGTATTGATAATCCAATCAGAGGTACTAGTACGTGTTTCACGAAGACTTGCATGACGTCTGTAACCCATTTAGCTCCCAACTACAACATTTGAGTCATAGTGTCGAACGTTGAACCATTCGAACAAGGGCCATCATGAATTCACCCGAGCACTTTCTGTGATCTATGAAGCCTAACAATCAATGCAACAGTGGCGCGGGTCATACTTATACGCCGTCTTCATTGCGGACCAAGTCGGTCCATCCATCCGTTCAGTTTGTTGAATGGGGATCGGCGGAAGGGTGGAAGACGGGATAAGGAGATGCTTTGTCAGCAAGCCAAGAGAATCATGCCGTTCCCACTGGTTTCTCATAACCCAGGGCTCTAATTAGAGGGCGGGGAGAGCTGCGCCGGAGACTCTAGTTAGAGCATCCCGTCAGGGACTAGACGTCCAGAGAAGGTCCAGTTAAACGATGCCGTTCAATTCAATTTGTTTCTGGAAATACAGACCCTGCCAAGATAAACAAAGGCCATCATCCCCCGATCAATACCTTCTCATCATTACTGGCCCAGATGGCTTCCACGTCTGGCTCATTGTCTACTGGCTCCCCTCACACTCTGGAGGAGCACTTGCTAAGCCGTCCGACTCCAAATCCCCGACCAAGATCAACAACGACACGCTCTCGACTGGGAGGGTCCCTCGTGTCTGGCCCCGTACAACGGGCAACAGGACCACGACGAGCAGCAGGACCTATCCGGATCAGTGTGGCCCACTCCCATCTTGGGAGCCAGGCAGACCTGCAAGCGCCCAGTCTGGAGGAATTGTTGCAACAGCCAATTCCCCCCCCTCCCCCCCTCCGAAGAGGACGCAAAAGACGGGACACATACTCCGTGGCCGCTTTGGACCGCCGATCGACACAGATTCGAGCTCAAGAAGATGAGCGACTCGCAGCTGATCCTCATGAGGCAGAAGCGATTCGTTTTGTTCAAGACAAGTTCAGCATGTCACTTGCAGAAGACTCGGCAGGAGGGGCGTGGGAGGATGTCGAGATGGGTGACGGAGGGGAGGAGGAGGAGACACTTTATCGGGAGTGGGTAGAAGTCACGTACGTTACTTACTCTTGTGTCTTGAAAAGAAGATACGTCTGACGCAGGACACAGACGGCAGACTTATACATCAGGAGAAGGGTTGTACGCACGGCGAATCCTCCAGCAAGCCACGACATGGTCATTGTTGATGGATGAGCTGGTGGACGACCTCTTGAATTGGCGCATATGAGCTCCTGGTCTTCTCGGGGACCAGATCCCTCCAGAATCCAGACGCACATTCGAACTGCAAGTGGTATCGTGGACTGGTCTGGAGCGTCGCGTTTTCGGTGCGGTCGACCGACATGCAAGCCCAGTGCGTATTCTCCTGAGGCATGGCTTTCTGGCCCGTAGTCCCGAGGTGCCGCGAATGGCCGTCAACATCCGGATATTGGAAGTTTATCACCAAGCAAGATTGCGAGGTTATATGTCTCTGGAGGCATGGACTCGTGTTGTCTGCGACTTACATGGGGTGAGTCTTGTCCTCCCGAAATCGTGGAACGAGCAGTGAATTTCCCACACAGGCACCTTACGAACCATCTTTCCGGAGACGCATGGCAGATGCATATGATGCCTACACACTGCTGCTTGTTGCAGTCGAGAAGAGAGTGTCTCAAGGCTTTGGTCGAGACACGCCAGATTGGCGTGTCAAACACACATGTCCGGCCTGCAGCTACAAGGTATGTTCCAGAGATACCGAACGGTGAGCGGCTCTATTGAAATCCCTTCCTAGCTTCAGGATGAACCATCCCTACCATTCTCCCGACTTCTGTGTGGAGATGGCAACAACTCCAGCAAGAGGTTCGCATATGCCGGACATCAAGACCTCCGTGTGTATGAAAGCGACTATATACTCCCGATTGAACACGTGGAGCGGTTCAAGAATGACGTACGAAGCCACCAAACCTCTCGACAAAACAGACGAACGTCTCGAGAAGGAGATCCCACCGATGGCCTCCGTCCCGAAGAAGGCACGAAGATCGGTCTGGATGAAACATTGGGGGCTTGTGCAGACAAGTGGAAACCTTCTCAGGCCCGAGAGTCCGGACAGATCTTCCAGCAGGCACTCGCCGAGACAGGTCATTTCCTGACCGTATGTCGGCATGCCTTCATTTGCTACTCCGTGGACATGATCCGGAGCGGAGAACTGTGAGTCTCTCTCTTCAGCATAAGAAACGCACCACTAAACCACCTTCCAGAGCCAAGTATTCCATAGCATCCCTCGACCGCCTCATCGACATCTATGGGGCTGACATTGCTTTTGGCTATGATATTGGCTGTACGCATTCAGTTACGGTTCTCCGGAGCAGCATCGGAGAAAAGGCCACTCGATCTAGACTTCGGTTTTTCGTGGGAGCTTTCACGGCTATGCCCACAACCGCCGTTGCCAGATCCACTTCCACCCTAGAGACTGACGACAGGTGGCCTGGAAGATTTCGAGACTTGCGAGTGGGTATTTAGTCAAGAAAATTGCTGCGCCCACCTTTTTCGACATGGCTCAGCATTTCACCGTCACATGACTCTAGATTGGTTTTATCACACTTGGGATTCGGACCGTCGTGCAGTACTGGGTAAGTTTCTCCAGAGTGCCATTCGAAACACTCCTGACAACAAACAAAGGGGAATTTATATTCCAGAATTACAGACAAGCACTGAAGATCATCCAGACGGAAGGACCAGCAGTGGGAACGCTTTTGAAGAACCTGAACCTGACCTCGAATGATCTGGACCAGTTTTGTCTGGATGAGAAGAACTTTTTCAGCAATCTCCAGAGAGAGCCGGAAATGGACGAGAAAGCATTCGACTATCTCGATGTTCTGAAGCTTCTGCAGAGCGCACGGTGTGCTTTCTCTTCTCTGGAAACCGAGTTTTCTGATTGCGCCGGACAGGGATGACCTCGCCGCAAGTCAAGCTCAATCTTTCAACATCTCAACTCCGGAACAATGGAGCCAAGGAGCGATCCAGAATCAAGGCCGATCAAACGAGCGTCTGCATCTCCAAAAACTCCGCAAGGTTTTGGAACTCGACGCGATTGCGACCAACTCTGAGGAGAACCTCAACACGGAACGGTGGACTCCGGACCATCCGTCTTGGGTGCACTATTCCAGAGCAGCTCAGCATCAGGAGTTTCAGCGAGCCCTTGACCATCTCGAGAGTCTCGTGGTTCAAAGACTTTTTGAAATGGAAAAGGTTAACGCACGTGGGACAAGTAAGTCTAGAGAAATGACACAACGATTTGCTAATCATTTCCAGATTACAAAATGCGAACCTCCATCGCAAAAGCTCTGCAATCCAGGAGCACGGCCATCCGGACTGCTCTGGGCAACTACAACCGTCTCGCCCCTACCATCACTCCCTCCTGATCCCCACTCACAATGACAGCTGTTCTAGACCATGCTTTCCTCGGGGAGTTCACGATCCTCAGACACGGGAGCGAAGCAAGCGATGCCTCCAGACGTTGGATGGTGCCGCAAGTTTGGGAAGTTGTAGTCAAACATCTTCTCCTGAAATGCGCACGGGAAGAGATTCGTCGACTGGACGTGGAGGTTCGGCGTGTCCTGACAGCTGTGGAAGACAAGCTTCAGGACATGCAGAGGCATGTTGACCAGATTGCTCTCTCCGGAAACGCAGCTCTTGCTGCCAAGATGCGCTCCCGAGTTGAAGAGAGGTCGTCCATCAACACACGCGTGCTCAAGCGTCTTCAAGACATCACGCGCCTTCCTGGGTATTCTGGTTCCTATGTGCGAGGAGTGCCGGTGTCCGGTATGTACGGTGATGCAGGACCTGGACAGGGAACACGGTGTGATGGGGAGGAGGTTGAGTCCCCTTGTCCAGAAAGAAGTGGGGCTCTGCGATCGACTGTTCACGGTCCGGACGCGTCCGGCGAGGAGGAAGATTGTAGTATTCAAGATATAGAAGCGCTTGCCCACGCATTTGCCGTGGGCGTATCTTTTCCAGATCCTTAATGATTATGCGTCAATAAAAAATTCGTTCGAGACTTGACTCTTCCCGCCGATGTCTGGACCGGATACTATACAAAAAAGAGACTCGGCTAAGCACAAAGATTTCCTCTGGAGGTTGCATGTTGTGGACGTCATTTCTTATGCACAGGAGACGAGTGTCCATCATCTAAAAGCACGGTGGGAAGACGTGCTGATTCGGGATTAACATCAACAGGGGAAGTATTCCAGAACAGGGGTACAAGGCATTGGATGGCAGAGTCTTGATGACAATGCAATGAACGAGTCAATCCGGAAATGAAAGGAGATTATTATACGCATTGCCGATGTGTCACGTCGCAATCCGGAGTAGGTTGTCCTAATCGACGGAGATAACAATGGTCCAGAAATGGGAAACCAATCATTGGTCTAGATCTGAATGGTCTAGATCTAAATGATTTCTGGGCCAATCGCGCCCCGATTTTGTTTGTGGAGACGATCATCGGCAGTGATCGTCGAGAGACATTTAGGGGTTAGGGGTGCACGATAAGACATGCACACTGACGTCAAGAGAAGTCATCACATTCCTCACCGTTTCTGGACATGAAAGATTCGAAATAGTATTGAAAAAAAAAAAGTCATTCTCGTCCTCACCCCTAACTCCTATATCCCCACAATCTCTTCACCTGCTTTGTTCCGGAAAGTCGAGGCTAGTTGAGTCCACGTGACTCGAGAAGGCTCCTGTCTGCCTCCGGATGCATGTACTCCACGCGTTTTCCTCCTGAACGTTTGCGTACATAAGGCAGCCTGATATCTCCCTTCAACCACCATTCCAAAGCTCCCTTCCGCTTTCTTATCCTGGCTTCTCCACCACCAAATCCGGATCTCATCATGACTCGTAACTCATCCGGAGGACCGCCCCAAACGCCTCGTCGCTCTGGATCCTGGTTCACCGGCACCCGTCCGGTTACCCCGGGGTCTCCCATGCGTCTGTCGACACCCTTGCCTCCCACACCTTCCCCTTCTGCTCCCCAGTCTCGACGGCATGCCTATCATCAGGCATGCGCTGATCCGGACTATCCTCCCGAATTTCTCCCCCCTCGCTATCAATCTCAGTCTGGATCAACCGCCTCGAAGAGATCCCCGACCACTGAGCCGCAGACTCCGAGCTCCAGACCCACGCCGGTCTCTGCTGGACATCAGGAGGAACCTTATAAAGGGTCTCGTCGGGACGAAAGGGTACAATGGTGCTAATCAGTGGTACCCTCACGAAGACTGTCGGGAAGGAGTGGAGGCCAACGCCGTGGGGACCTCCAGAGCCGTATGGCAATTCGTATCTCATCGGAAGCCCTCTTTCGGGCAAGCCTGATCCCAAAGGTGACCAGACCTCTATGATGGTCATTCCTCATGAGCGTCAGGTCCAGAACCACGCCTGGGGTCTGCACAATCCAGAGAATTGGTACTACGACGCTCCTTTGCATCCAGATGGAAAGCGCCACGGTAAGCCTCTCCCGACAATTACTTTCTATTGCTTGCTCACTCTAGACTAGTCCTCCCGCACATTTGCTTCTTCGACCCTCGTCCAGAGAATTCTATAAATCTAGTGACCTTCGGGATGGTCGTCGGTTTCCCGTCTCTTTACTGGAGAGAACTTCCTCCTGCCTTGATGAAGATCAAGCCCCCCATCCAGAATCGTTTCAATAAACCCCTGAAGGGCCAACCCTTTCTTACGATGCGTGAACGTGTTCGCGACACTCTCCCGATAATGCAAGGTGGTCGAAACAATGCTCAAGATGCGCCTGGCCTTCATATGCATCCGGAGCTGATTGGGTTCAGAGCACCGCTGCCGACCGTGTCCTGAACGAAGGATTTCACTTCCACTTCATGTCAACTACTACCACCGGTCCCGACTCCACTCCCGAATGCTGCACTGTGATCTCGAGAAACGTGTGGGAATGTCTGGAGATCATGGGTGCTCTGGAGCAAATAAATCAGATCTTCCGGAGGAAGCTGATGTTTGCTGCTCGAGACTACCGCACGAGGCAGTTTGGCAAGTTCAACAATTCCGGCAATCAGGTTGAAGTCAACACGGTCGTGACCGATGCCGAATTCGACACTATTGGTCCGGACTTGCCTTCTTTCGATCCACCTCGGTCCCGACATGGCCTCTCCGGTGCGGAAAGGAGGCCTCCTCGGTTTGCCCCACGCCTCACCGTTCCCGATGACCCTTGGTACTGGCCCACCCTTCCCGATACCATCCGTGCGGCCATCCGGACATTCGAGTTGGAGAACCATCTTCCCGGAGATGATGCCAACGATTATCTACTCCGGAAGGCCGTGGTAACGGCGTATTTCTTCCGGAACCCTCGCAGCTGGGCAGAAAGTCTGTCTCCCGTTCTGAAGGTCGAGACCCGTCACAAAGGGGTCTTCCGGACCTTCGACTATGGTACGATCCTGAGAGCAATGTATCAGGCGAAGTTTTTCCACTGGGCTGATCATGGCATTGTCGGGACGGGAGAGGGTCTCTTTTTCGAGAGGAATGATGATGACAATGTCCCTCATAAAGAAGAGGATTTGTATTCGTAAAGGGACATGCGCCGAGACATGCGTTTCTAGTTGTCTTCCTCTGCACTCCTCCCGAGACCTGTATTCCTCTTGTTCCATCCCTCTATTGACTAAAGATTAGTGATGCGTATGTACTAGTTAGCAGTCTCCAGAATGAAAGGCTTCCGCTGCACGTGCTCCACAGACGTTTTGTTGACGCAGGGTCTGGATGGTGCTTCTGTTTTCACGGAGCTCACGCGTCTGCAACCGTTCGTCCTTCCCGACTCTCAATTTCTCTGCACTATTCTCAAGACGTCATTGCTCTCAATGTCTGGAAACGATATAAATCCCTCGACTTGGGAGAAGAGAAAGGAGAAATGGTCGGCAAACCGCGCCCGTCAAGACAAAGCCCATCAAGAGGTGCTCCGGATTGTCGCTGCCTTGGATGAAAGCATATGTCGTGGCGCTGCCGCCTCTGGAGTCTCTGAAGAGGGGTTGAGGGAGGTAATCTTTGGGACACAGAATCTGGCTCGGTTCCGGAGGAAGCGAGCCCCGAATCTGAAGAATGTTGCTGTCCATCTCACGAAGGTGGACTTGCAAGCCAAAGGTGCGTTTTTTCTCAAATCTCTCCCATTCCAGACCGTTGTTGACCTTCCTTCAGGTCTAGAGTTCGATCTACATCTTGCTAAGCCGGATTGGGAACTATGCCTTGCACAGCTCCAGGAAGATGCGGATGCCGCTGCCTCAGGACGAGACGTCTTGAAGGCCCGTCGTGATGCAGAGACCCAGCAGATTCGAGTGTCCCGCAAGGCACGGGAGGGAGATCAGACAGCCACAACGTGGGCACTATGGCAAGAGGTTTAATTCGTGCTTTCTACTCTCGAGTTCCTGCTTGCCAGTCTTACTCCCGGCACAGGCACATGCTTTTAATGTCCGGACGAGGGGCCATATCTTTGGGTTTACCGTTAAAGGCTCCCCTCTCGACTATGGCGCCGCACAGTTTTTTGGTGACGATGTCGGGGAAGCCTTCCTTCGTCAAGTTCTAGGGAAGTCAGGAGAAGAATTAGCAAAGGAGTTCGAGATATTTGCCATTCACGGTTCCTGAGGTATGCCTAACATGTTTATCGACTCTTGTGCTAGTCTTGACCTTCTTGTTAGGCATTGCGTCCAGAATGTTGGACCGAAAGCTCGAATTGAAAGCAAGTGTCCGGAAAATGCTCTTGAATGGCCTGCGTGAGATGGTTTCCTTCTCCACGCTCAGGACAATACTCACGTCGTCTCTCAGGAACGGTTTCACACAACGACGCAGCCATGATGCAATACGCCAAATTCGGGAGGAACGTCGAGGACGTATATGGTGTCATGCTGGAGGGCTGGCCAGGCGGGCGGATCGAGAATCCTTCCAGTCTGGCCATGGCAGAACTGGAGGTCTTGCATACGGCCCTTCTGGAGGGCGCTTGTCATTTCCGGCCATTAAATGACCAGGACAGGCTCCGGAGGCAGCAGGAGCGAGAGGTCGAGAGAGATGTTGCTCGTGGCAAGCATCTCCAGAGAGCACAGGTGACCACTGCTGTTGAGGGAGGGGTCGTTGTTGGCCCCAGTGCTGTCCTCCCGCCTCTCCCGATGGGCAGTAATGGACTTGCAATTCCGCCTTATCCTTGGTCTGGAGAAAATAATGGTTTGCTACCTACATTCTAGATACTTGGATAGTCTAATAATCAGTGGTTTGAAACTTACCGTTGCTCCTTCTGGAACGTTATGTCATTTGCCTTTGACCCATTCGGCTTCCTCGTCCCGATGCTCCCGAAAATCAGGTGCCCCCCCCTTCTGGAAGCGCTTTGCTGCACCCCTGAGTATCCGGCTGGATCTTTGCTGGACCCGCATTTTCACCTTCCAGTACCGATTTGTTCCGATCCGACCGGAGCAACCGAAAATCAATTGTAACGCCCAGGAGTAAATGGAACTCGCCAGGAGCTAACAGTCTAAGGGGGCTCGCTTTGCGTTTCTCACCGGACCGCCGTTGACCTAACTGAGCAATTTTCGGACCAAGGTGATATTGTGTCTCGAAATGTTCAGCTGATCACCAGCACGATAGGTACGCAGATGCGGAGAACAGTGGGGAAACCAGAATTGGCAATGCAGCCCTGGAATGCTATAAAGCTCGCGATATTTTTGGTCAAGGGGATTCACCGCTTCTTTTGACGCCTGATCGCATAACCACCCCCTTTACATATCTATCACCAATCCTGTCTATCAACCATGCCTGGCAACAGCCTCGCCCAAAGGCTTGCCGATCAGTCGCACATCAACCACCTTCTCTCTCTGGACCATGTACCATGGTACAAAAAGCCTAACCTGCGCCTTTTGTATCTCTGCATCGTTCCCGCCGCCCTCGGTGTCGAGATGACTTCCGGCTACGATGGCTCGGTATTGAACGGTCTTCAAGCAGTCCAGCCATGGTTAGATTACTTCCATAACCCTCAAGGCGCAATCCTTGGCGTCATTACTGCAGCCTTCTCTATTGGCGCGGTCATCGCACTTCCTGTCGTACCCATGTGCAACGATCGCCTTGGTCGAAAGCCTTCAATTATAATTGGGTCTATCATCATCTTAATTGGCGTCATACTTCAGACGTCATCCGTTAACAGTGAGATTGCGACCCTCTTTGCCTGGAATCGTACTAATTAATCCTTGTAGTTGCAATGTTCCTTGTTGCTCGTCTCTTCCTTGGTGGCGGAATTCCTTTCGCCATTGGTGGAGCCTCGCAACTGATCTCGGAGCTTGCATACCCGAAAGAGCGCGGTGTTCTCACAGGCCTTTTCAATGAGTCATGGTACGCCGGCTCCATCATCGCTGCCGGCGTGACCTTGGGCACATTCTCCTGGACCAACGACTGGAGCTGGCGGCTTCCTTCGCTGCTGCAGTTCGGCCCGTCATTCCTCCAGCTGGTATTTATATGGTTCATTCCCGAATCACCAAGGTGGCTGGTAGCTAAGGGTCGTGAAGAAGAGGCGTACGATATCTTGGTTAAATACCATGCCGAAGGCGATCGTGATAGCCCATTCGTGGCCGCCGAATTCCAGGAGATCAAGCAATACATCAGACAAGAAGTCGAAAGCGAGAAAGGTGCTTGGATCGACTTGCTGAAGACGTCTGGCAACCGCCGTCGAGTACTTATTGCGGCTTGTGTTGGTCTCTTCTCCCAGTGGTCAGGCAATGGACTGGTTTCCTATTACCTTGCTAAGGTTCTTGCTACCGTCGGTATCACGGTCAAACGTCAGCAGAACATCATCAATCTCGGGTTGCAATGTTGGAACCTCATTACAGGCGTCACCGGCGCCTTCATCACACACGTCCTAGGTCGTCGCCCTCAATATCTCATTTCGTACACTGGTATGTTGTTGGTTTTCATTGCTTGGACAGCCGCTTCCGGTGTATTTGCGGGCGATAACAGCAACAATGCTGCCGCGGGTGCTGTTGTGGCCATGATCTTCATTTACTATGCGTTCTACAACACAATGATGCCATTAACCTACATCTACATCATCGAGATCTATCCCTTCCTCACTCGTGCCAAGGGCGTCGCCATCACCCAGACCTTCTCCCGTGCTGGCTCGGCCTTCAATCAGTTCATCAACCCGATTGGTCTGGCTAACATCTCATGGAAATTCTACATCGTTTATGTGGTATGGTTGGCTTGCGAACTAACGATCATGTGTGTTTGCTCCCTTCTACTGTGTCTGCAATTGACCTGACGAGTTCTCAGCATTATTTTCTACCCAGAGACCAAAGGGCCGACGCTGGAAGAGCTGAGCACACTGCTAGATGGCCCTGACGCTCAGCTTCCAGACCATTTCAAGGAACGCGGCTCCCACATGACCGACAATACATCCGAGGGCGAGAAGGTTGAGAGAGATCACATGGAGCAAGAGGTCTAAAATGGAGGGTTTCACGAGCCTTTTTTTAATTCAAGGTGTATGGATGACAGTACAAGTGGCACAACTCGGGTTCTTCTGGTAATCTTGTATTGAATCGTTCTTGAAATATTGTATAGCTCTTTATAATTTCTCCAGCAGAGGCACGAGCTCTTTCCAGGTGTTTATTGTGTATAAAGTATTTCTTATTTTTGGAAGCCCGGAGGTCACACCCTGCTCCACCTGAATGCCATTTCGTTGACACGTCTCCATCAACCCCTTGTCATTTCCGACAACAACCCCGACATCAGCTTCAAGCAAGCAAGCAAGGTCCGTCCTGCTGTCCCCAGCATAAACCACTATCCCATTCAGATCGTCCATGGGTTGACTGCTCCGATGCCCAGTTAAGTCGCGAAGGACGCGTAGCTTATCATCCCCGGTGACAATCTCTTCCCCCTTCCTCTTCGTCAAGCTCCCCGTGCCCTTGTGATCTTCATCCATAACCACATCATTTGCACGTATGTCAACCCTCTGGAGAATATCGGCGTTGACGAACCTCCCAAGCGCGGCTCTGACCAGTACCGTCGACCATGTAACAGAGATGACGCCGATCCTCGCCCCTTTCTCCAGCGCCTTGCTGAGCAAGTCCGCAAGTCCCTCAGCATCACGCAGCTTTACGAACTTCGCCTGTGCCTGGATCTCCGCCTCCGTGACACCCACAAATAGCCCGGATTGCTCAACCCGCTCGACGGACGCCAGTTCGACGGGTTTAAGCGACACTAGGTACTCCAACTCTCTGTCGAGGGTCTTCCTTGGGCCAAAGGTTGCTGTGTGGCCGGCGAAGTCCTGCATGTGGGCTTGGCCAAAGCGGGACCATGAAGGGAAATTTGGGGCGCAGAGGACCGGCCTGTCCGAGGTTGATGTTGGCTCAACGCGTTGAGAAAGATGGGTGTGATGCATGTAGGCTGCGGAGGCAATCAAGTGCAGAGTGTCCTCCGTAGTGATCGTACAGTCGAAGTCAAACAAGAGATGCGACACGCGGCGTGTCATACTTCTGCAGGTAATTGGCGAGAAAATGGAGAACATATAGTCAGACGTATGAAGGCGTTGGCTAGGGTCTGGTTGTGCCCCTGGCCTTGTAGGGAGGTGATCAATCATTGAGGAACATCGGTGGAGATAATCGTATAGTATCCCGAATGTAAAACACTATGACAAATAAGTAGCGTATTCTAGTCCGTGCGATGATATAGCGTGTGATCAGAGAAAAGGAACAGTTCGAGTCCAGGTATAATCTCCACTTGTAGGAGTTTTCAGCTACAGGAATAAAGCTGCACCAAGAGCGATGGCACCAAGGGCGAACACGGTTTGGCCAGAGATGCGAAGGCCAGCTGCACCACCTTTGGCCGAGCCAGCCGATGGGCTCGAGCTGCTGCCGGAGCCGCTGGGGCTGGCAGTTGAGCTCCCGTGAGCAGTCTGGCTCGCGCCTGTTTGGCTCGTCGTGCCGTTGGATGAGCCATTGGAACCACTGGCCGCGGTACCAAAGTTGGAGATGAGTGTCCAGGTGTTTTGCGCACCTGGGTTAGCCTGGCCAAAAGGCATGTAGTAGACGGAGCCGGAAGAGGTGAGCTGTACAAGGGCGGAGGTAGAAGCAGCGAAAGTCGAGGCGGTGGTATCAGTAGGGCCGGTCAAGGAGATGGTAGAGTTGTTCTGCGCAACGGGTCAGCGGGGCACGCTTTGTTTAGTGGAGTCACCTACCTCAACGTTGACTATGTAGACGGCAGAGTTATCATCAGGGATGAAAGCGAACTGCTGCTGAACGAGGTTGTTCGGGTCAAAGAAAGAGGTAACCTGGCCATGTGTCTCCGGGAAAGTCTGGGAGCCGCTTGCGGCAGGGTAGCTCTGCACTTCAGGTTGGAAATATGAGACTGGACAAAATGAGTGCTAGCTTGATGTCATAAGGAGGCATGGCTTACAGTGGATAACGAAGATATTCGCCTGTCCAGCCTGGTTGCCCGGTACGTCCAAGAAGTGGATGTGGTTCTGAGCAATAGCCATGACGGGCTTGTACCCGGTTGTCTGGAAGTTTGGTGCCTCGACAGCTTCCCACGCTGTCGGACCGGTAGCGGTCTTGGTGATCGTGCTGTAATCCAACTGGTAGAGATTTCCACCCGAAAGCGCATAGAAGACGTTCGTGTCATGGTCGAGAATTGATACGACAGAGTTGGGATCGACGCCTGCTGTGGTCACTACCGACATCGACCAGGAGTTGTCCGTCGCGTCGTAGATGTAGACATTCGCGGGGTTGGCGTTGTCGGCACCTAATATGTAGATGGCGTTGTTGTACTACGGAATATCAGTCTGAAACAGATGTGAACTAGGAAAGGAGGTTGCTTACTTGCGAAAGAAAACACTGAGCGAAGGAGCAAAGAAAAGTCAGGGCCGAAAGAAAGGTGCGTCATTGAACAAGCACACCTGGGTATTGGTGCCATCGAATGGTCTATATAACGTGATCAGCTTACGGTTCAGAGAAGGAATTGTGCACTAACGGTCTGCCAGAAGTGGCGATTGCCTGTGGGTTGGGGCCTGTATTATAGCGTTTGCTCAGCAAAGCAGATTTCATTATGCGACAGATACACACTATTCCACGAGCTCTGTGCGCCCACATTCACATCCTTCCCATTCAAGCCAAAGACATAGAGGTTGAAGTTCGAGTCGAACTCGACGCAGGGTCCGGCGAAGACTGCTGCTGGAGCAAGGAGGGACAGAAGGAGGGAGAGCATCTTAATGAGTGTAAGGGTATGCAACTGTCAGGAAAATGTCAGTGATAGATTACGTAGTAATAAAGATAATGGTTCCTACAAGGATATCGACAGCAATTGTAAATAGGAGAAGAGCAGGCAGAGGGAGGGGAACAAGGTAGAGATAGAAAAGGCACGGGATGGAGGGGGTCAAGGCAACACGTGTGGCTGTATATCCTCCATGTGCATAACATTCCCAGCCATCCCTGATTCATCCCTTGATATCCCTTGTCTTGGCTATTTTTAGCCTCCGCCTCTGAGAGCCATCCCCTTCACGTGACTGGCATTACCTGTGACTCTTTATTCGCACCACCTTCTTTCGTCCTCTCTCAAGATATTGTATCTATGAACAATAACTATGACGACCCCATCGAGGACGATATCGACGATATGGAAGAGGTCCAAACGGACGACTTGGCCGCATTACCTCAACATTTGCGGGATGAGATCGACCATGCATTCGATCGCGCCGCGCGTGCAGTGACTGGGGAAGAGGACGATGACTCTGGTAGGAGAAGGAAGAGAAGGAAGCTAAACTCTGGCATTCCATCACCCGTGGAGGACATGGGCGGCGGGTTCCTCGTGTCTGAAGAACCTGGCGGATTTCTTCCATCAGACGAACCTACGGGTTCCGATCCCTCCAAGTCTCACGGGAGCTTACTCTATCGCTCGCCATCTTTCCCGTCAACATCAAGACAAACTCATATACCTATCTCCCTCGTGTCCCGCGCTCTCAAACTTCTCCGCCTGCCGGTGGACGACGATGCAGTGCTGGCCACGTTCCGAGAGGCGGCCACCGGATGGGGTGAGAGGGCTGGCAAAGCAGAGGAGAAGGGGGTGAGCAGGGAGGACTGGAGGGCAGTTTGTGCGGTCTTGATTGGCCAGAGGGAGGAGGGCGAAATGAAACGGGATGATAATGACGAGGAGGAAGATGAAGAACCGGAAGGCGAAGGAGGTTTCATGATGGACGAAGAAGAGGAGAGCGACCTCACGGATGACGAGGAAGACAACTATCAGCCGGAGGACGACGAGCAAGGGTCATCCCCCAGCTCCGACCAAGGTTCGGAGTACGAAGAAGCACCCGCATCGAGTAGCAAACCATTTAAGGACAAGAGGAAGGCAAAGGGCAAAACGCGCGTCAGGGATCAGGAGCTCGAGCTGTCCGAACTAGGCTACGCAGACCTTTCTGTAAAAAAGAAGCAGGAGGTTAGGGATGCGTTCGCCTTGTTTTTCGAAGAGGAGAAGGGAATGAAACCCAAAGATTTGAATGGAAAGGGGAAGCAGAGGGAGACCCCGCCGCTGATTACACGGCGTATTGGTGCTGCGGACCTGGCGAAGGTGGCCAAACTCCTGAATGAAAAGCTTTCGGCCGAGGAGGTGAGCACGTCTATGTCAATGTTGAACTGACAATGACAAATTGGAAGATTGAGGAGATGCTGGAGATGTTTACCAGCGCTGCCGATAAGACGGTCGGTATCCAGGACTTCTCAAAGATCATGATCAGAGGGAACGTCCTATAACCTGGCGGCAAGGAGTGAAGGAATAAAGATCTTACTGCTGTGTTGTGCTTCTGCCAATCATGTGTCATTGCCCCTACTAAGAGATATCAAATTGTATTAGTCTTCTAGGCGGTTCGTGAGGAGTCCTTTGGCTGTAGCCAGCACTTGGAGAGCAAGTATCTTGGCATCTGTTCACGCTCAGTGCATGCTTCCCTCTAGAACCTGTTTAACCTACAATACCGGGACATGCCAAAGTCTCCACCAGCGTACCAGAGGCGAGGGTCTGAACATGCATCAGGTCCGAAAAATGGCAGCGAACATGCAACTAAGTACGACCGCTGTTCCGATGCATGGCCCTCAGGTGGTTCTCGGCATCCAAGCCCCAAACGTCCTTCAATTTCGTCCCAATTTCGTCGCCCACAATTTTCCGCGCCGCCTGGCTCATGCTTTGCAGATTGTATCCGGTAGCAAATACGACGAGATCTGCGTCCAGGGTCGTCCCATCGTCGAATGCCAAGCCGTCAGTCGTGAAGTGGGTGATCGGAACGCCAGCTTTCATTTTGATTTTACCATCGATGATGCTGTCATACTGTGTCAAGAACACAAGCTAGTTCGGTTTGAACACACTCACAGGTCGGATCCGCCGACATCAATGTAATGTCCACCTGAGCAAGAGATCAGCCTGCAATCATTTTGACGAATGGATTTCTATCCACCTCCTCTGTTATACACCGCATCCATTGGATCCAGATCCGCAACCAAGAAGCCAGCCTTTCTCAATGCCTCATATTTCTTGCTGACCAGACATACATGTGAGTTGAAACTCGATACAGAAGCCACCCCCGAAACTTACTCTAGCGCTTCACTCTTGAGCGCACGTCGGCTGAGAGTTCGACTGACGGGGATAGGTGTAGATTCCCAGATCAAATCCGCGATCTCAAGTGGGGGACCATCCGGTCGGAAGACACCTGTTCCGTGTTTAGGCCTATTCAGGAGCAACTCATAGAACAATTTTACGCCCATAGAAAGCCTTCACATCCGAAATGGAGAGCACCATAGTCGGGCTCCGTTGAACTAGTGTGACTTCGGTCCCGTTGTTGCAAAGATCTTGGGCAATGTCATGACCTGAGATACTCAGCATGACGGGCCCACTGGGGGAGGGCTCGCGCACCTGACGCAGCTGCACCGATGACAATGGCTTTCTTGTTTTTCCAATGGCTTGCATCCTTATACGCCGAGGAATGAATGACCGTGCCTTGATAGTCTGCCTCCCCAGCGACGTATGGTACGGAGGGGGTTGCTCCGTTTACGCCGGTCGCAAATACAAGTTGATCGGCATACATCTTCTTCTTCGTTCCATCTTGGGAAAGGATATCGACCGTCCACTTGTGTGCTTCTTCCGAATAGGTCGCTTGAATAGCGCAAGATGAAGTCAGGATGTTAAGATGCGTAGACTTGGAGTAGCTCTCCAAGCCATCAGCAACCTCATACAAGCTTGGATAATACGGAAAGTCTGCAGGCCAAGGCCGGTAAGCTAATTGACCTGTCGGAAATGAGTGTGAGGATATAGCAAGCATTAGGGATAACTCGCTGTAGTCCTTGGATAGATGCAACCTGAGGGTGTCATAACGACCACGCCAGTGATCCCCAACTCTGTCACCCCTCTCGACTACTAAGGTCGACATCCCCAAAGCACGGAGATTGGCGGCAACTTGTACTAAGCAAAATAGTTATTCCCTAATTCATTAGCATCCTTTCATGTACGCACGGCCTGCCTGACCCGCCCCAAAAATAAGCACTTCAACCTCATTCGGTACCTCCGTGGTCTTATCAGGGGAATCGAGTTTCGACAGATCACGGGTATGATCAAGCAAGTCGTCCATCTTGGTGAAGATCGTCCACGCCTTCCATTCGCCTTGCTCCGGTACCAGCTTCACGATTCCCGAGCATTTGGCTACAGTCGTAGTAAACTTGAACATCACTTGAATATAGCCAATCTGTGGTCCCATTGAAATTACAGTAGCCGAGACCAGCTGAAATTCGCGAGGCTTTCGGCTCTCAATCGCTTTGCCGAAGAGCGTGTCAATAGTCGACATGCATCGTGCGGTGCGGTGCGCCCAAGTCAGAGCAAGGTGATCTTTCCACCAAGCATCACAAGAGCTGACAAAGAAGCGCGATAGGGACGAATCTGTAGAAGCAATACTAGCAAGCGCATCAGAGAATCGAGCTAGCCAGTCCTGAGCCACGGAGTCTTCATCGATAGACGAGGGATCCAGCGGTGCACCAAGGATGGGCACAGGAACAGGAACGAAAGCACTAGCCATTACCGAAAAGTGAACGCGTCGCGTCGTCCAAATCAGAACTTCCAGGTGCACCAAGATGTGGGTGATTTGTACCAAACGGCTTGCACTATTCGATTTTCATGGTATTTAAAAGGCAGGGACGCTAAGGCCGCATAAATCCACTGCATCGTACCCTTACAATACTTCCTGGAGATTGGCGGCGATAACCTTGGTCCGGACCGCATCTGACGCTAAGGAGCAATGTGAAGAAGCTCGGTACTTTGCCGAGCTTGCGAAGTTTATAGAGATGGATGATGATGAGATTGGGGGGAAGAAAGACAAAGGGGAAGAGTTATAAGACTCTCCTTCTGACGCGGATGCTGACTAAGCGAGAACTGCACGTGATTGTAGTTTCATTAGAGTTATTAGAATGGTTGTACTTGAGAGTGCGGTATAATACACTTGAGCGTGCTGATGCAATACGAGACTGTGTGTGAGTCCGAAACAATTGCAAATAACCTCTGATGCTACAGTGCGTCCTCTTCAATCGCCTTTCGACGTTCAAACAAGAATTGTTCACGACCCTGTCGTACATTAGTGGTGAGATTGTTTAGAATGGGATGACTGGCAACGGACCTTCAGCTTTCTAAGCCGACTCCCCAGGACAAGCATGGATGCAAAACACTCCCGATACCTCCCAATTGCCCTCATCAGCTCTCTCCCTGCAAGGGGCTGGAGCACCAGCTCGGCTTCTCTGTCCACCCGCTCCCTCATCGCCCTATGCGCATCTTCATCCATGTGCGGTGCGTTCGCGTTCATCGGATCCCGCTCTGCTTGCTGATCAGCAGCCTTATCCGCTTCTTCATGCAAGACCGCACGCATCTCCTGCAACTGGACATGCCAGTCAGCTCGGAGAAGGATCTGAGCACTGGAGTCTTGGGGAAGGGCGTTGATGAGCAGCCGTCGAGCTACGCGTTCTAATTCAGCAGCAGTGTCGAGCAGCTGAATGGTCAGCTCGCGATCTTCGTCCGCCATCTCGGACACGGACTCAGATGAATCAGCATCATCGCCCGGAATTGGAACCGGGGGTTCGCCCGTCTCTTCTGTCTCTTCTGGAGGAGCGCTGGCTGGGCTGGATAACATTGAGAGGTTTCCTTCGCTCGGTACACGGTCCATGCCCTTCTCTTCATGCCCGACGGTTTCGTCCAGAATTATGTTCGAGGCAGGGGAGGGGTTACGCCCATTCTTCACATGACTGACATCTCCATTTTCGGGTCTCTGCCGTGGTCCGGTACCTTCCTCCGGCCCAAACCGCTTCTCCAAATCATTTCTTTTCCAAGACACGTACTCCGCGTGAGAAACGACATCTTTCTCTTTGGGGGTAATGGTTTCCTCATCAGGCGCTTTCCATTTCCCGGGATCTTCCCAAGCTTTACGCTTCAGGTTCTTGTCCGGCTGGCCTTCGGAGATGCGAGAGAAGATCCCTGCGACTGTCTGGACGGCGAAAGATGTCATCACTGGTCTGGAACGAATGGGACTCAGTCACTGCACGGGACATGATATGGCCCAATGCTTACACAGCCAACAGTGCGAATACAATGAAAACAGTGCGCCCCGCGGCTGTTTGAGGATCTTGGGAGAGTCAATTTGTCATACACCCGGAATAGATACCCCACTCACGGACGTCGCCGTATCCAATGACAAAGAAGAAGACATAAACGAAATACAACCTAAATAGGAGGTAAGCAGGATTCCCTTCTGCAGATGTACGCACTCACCCCACGCCGTAAGTCCATCCCTCAATTCTCGAGAATATCGCCGCTCCTGTGACCCAAAATGTGAAGAATGCGCCCATGCTCCACCCGAGCTCGGTTGCATGATCTCTCCAGCTCCGTTTTTTATGCAGCTCTTCCAGGAACTGGATCTCCGCCTCCAACGATCTCGGGTCTGCTTGTTCCTTCTGCGCTAAACGCCGCTCACGCTCGAATTTGTGACGAGTGCGTGCGAGACGCTCTTTATGCAAGTTGGAGAAGAAGGTGATGAGGATACCGATCAGGGCGGTGAGCTCGGCGATACCAATTAGAGCTAGAGGAAACATGATGATCCGCGTGGCGGTGGTGGTGGGGTGAAAATCGCCAAAGCCGATCGTGGTGAAGGTTTCCACACTGACTGCGGGGGATTAGCAGGGATGCTTTGAGAAGAGACGGAGCACACACAATAGATGCTCTGCAAATACGTCCAACCTTCCAGCCGGGACATGATTCCTGCTGTTCCGCCGACGATAATCGTGAAGGAAAGGTTGTGCAGCATGAAATGGCGGCCGTGTCGCCTGACCCTTCGAGAGTATGCCTCGGCAGTTTTCGAGACTGTGAAACCCCAGTGCCAGAGGAGAAGGAAGGTCACAATCGAGCACATTATGAAGGCAACGACTCTGGACGAATGTCAGTCGCTTCCTAACACATACAACAATAAGATCCTCACGCGGCCCAAAAGCCTTCACGGTATGAGTACTGGGGTGAATTCCTGCTCAGGATCCCGAATACGATCAGGTTGCTGAGCCCAATGCACCATTTCACGATCCAGCAGATGGTGGAGACATGGGTGGCAAGACGCCAATACTGCTCCCATACGAGGAAGCGGACGAGAAGGAGGGAGTCGGCAATGATGGAAAAGGCGAGGGAGAAGCCAGAGAGCACGAGTGAAGCGGTAGGGTCGGGTAAGGGCTGGCCGTTCGAGCTGTACCAGGTTTGCTAGATGACCACGGTCAGAGCTTGAATACCAGACCAGGTATTAGATCACGTACAGCGAGGGCAGGAATGTCAAGAAGGATACTGAGAGGCGCGATGACGGATGCTAGCAGCGGACATACAGTTGCAAACGCTGTTGCCCTATGCCATAGGCGTTGTTTAGAGTACCATGGGGGGTCCGAGTCGTCGAGTATTTTGAACTCAGGCATTGAGTTATGGTCGTTGTCGATGACGGTAGAATAGGATATATTGTCTTGAAGCTCGTGGGTGTCATACCTCACCAAAGTTGTCATACTCCTCTTTCCAAATGAGAAGTGGGACATACGCTGCCCATTTTTGGAGGTACTAGTGAATGATGTCAGAAGGGGGCTGGCCATGATCGATCCCGCGTTTCATCACTAGCACAGCTTGTGCCTATGTTTAGGCCATCATATCTCTGTCCCTTAAATTCTATCCAAAGAACAATGTTCAGATCCCACGGATCTACACACGTTAAAATCTCAATTCGTTCCTGAACAACAGACATATCCGCTCTTCAACGACCCAAAAATCCCTGTTTCACCAGTCAGAACCTCACGAGCCCCACAAAAGGAACACAACTCACCCCATCAACAACCATCACCTCTCCAGATATGTATTGGCTCGCTGCACTCGCGAGGAATACAGTCGGGCCAGCGAAATCGGCAGGAGTGCCCCATCGGCCGGCGGGAATGCGCTCCGAAAGTTGACGGAATTGAGTTTCGTCAGCCCGAAGATCGGCGTTGCTGCGTGATCCATATCAATATCTCGTCACCCAAAACCGAGAGCTGCATACATTTCCGTGGCGATGTAGCCCGGGGCGATTGCGTTCACTTGTACATTGTGCCTCGACCACTCATTCCTGAGTGCCTTGGTGAGCTGCCCAACTGCCCCCTTAGAGGAGGCATATGCAGGGATGCTGACCCCACCAATAAATGTCGTCAATGACGCGATGTTGATGATCTTACCTCGGTGACGGGGAACCATGTGGCGACCTGCGGCTTGAGACACCAAGAAGAGCGACTTGAGGTTGACATTGATGATTTCATCCCATTTCTCCTCAGGAAAGTCCACTGCTGGCGCACGATATTGCATTCCCCCGCAGTTGAACAAGATGTGTATCTCTCCTCCCATCAGCTCCAGCGCCCTGTCGAACAAAGTTTTGACCGCTTCCAAGTCTCCCAGGTCGCAAGGCAGGATCTCGCATCGCACGTTTAGAGTGCGGATCTTGTCTTGCACGGTGGTGTGAGCAGGATTACGCTGGGCGAGGCAGATCGATGCCCCCACTTCAGCAAGAGCGATCGCACAAGCTTCACCGATTCCTAAAGGCGACTAACTCAGCCTATCACACGAATGTCTTATCTCATCTGCCATGTTACCTCGCGTGCCCCCAGTGACGAGGGCAACTTGTCCCTTCAAGCTGAAGAGCTCGCTCACCGGAATGCTCGGGGTAGGTTCATACTGCGCGTCGGCCATTCGTATGTCGAATGCGTTGCTGTCGCTCACACCAGGCGAGATAGTTATATACAGCACGCCCTCCAGAGGCAGGTCACATCGATCGGTCCGGGTTTCGCATGGAGGGAACAGCGCGTCTTCGGCGGAATGGAACCCCGAGGTACATGCCAACTGGGGCCGTTTTGTTATGAACGCCTTCAACGCGTCCTGCGTTGACTGATACCCCTTTCTTCTGTCATTCTCAGTCCCCGTATATTCCACGCTCTCTCGGAGCCAGGGGGATATGTCTAGTTTCGCTAGAAGAGTTGGCGAGTCAACCACTTTGCATCGAAGACCTCACACCTGACATCACTGTAGTGTCTGGGAGCAAGGCGCGCTTCAAAGACAAAACGCTCAACGTCGACCTGGACCTTGTCTATCTGTAATCATGCGTCCTTGTCCTTGAGCCATCATTACTTACATCAATACAGCACAGATAGGGTAATGATAATGGGTTTCCCTGCTGCCGGGATGGTTGCAATGTATCGCAATTCGCGACATGACGTTCGCAAGTTCCTCGAGCATCGACATGCCGACAAGTATTGGATATTCAACTTATGCGTTGGTTCATGTCTATACTCCACTTACCCTCGCTTATGTTCTCCTGGAATATTTATCTATTAGCTGTCCGGTCACAGAGAATGCCTACGATCCCGCCTTCTTCGGCGGACGTGTTTCCCGCTACCCGTTTCCCGACCACCACGCCCCTCCCCTGGCATTACTTGCCCTCGCGGTGAGGGAGATGCAAGCTTGGTTGCTAGGCGACCCAGACAGAGTGATTGTTGTTCACTGCAAAGGTGCGAGATCCTATTCATCTGGTCGGCATATATTAAGTGAACGGGACCCAGCGGGAAAGGGCCGCTCCGGCACTATCGCTTGTGCCTATCTGCTTACACTCGAAGCCCCTCCAACCGGTCCAAAACTACAAAAGAGCATGACAGCGAAAGAATGGGCAGTAAGAAGAGCTGAGGAGTTGTTGCGGCTGGCGGAAGAGGACTTGGAGGAGCTGGAAGATTGGGAGGCCCAAACGGAGGGAAATGGGAGTCCAACGACTGCGCGACGAGCACTCATACCGAACAGAAGGAAGACCATCAAGAATCAAGCCATCTCCAGAGATCAACCGATCGATCACGGGAGGCTATTTCCAGAGATTCAACAAGTTGCGATCTCACACACTCGTCCGTTTTGCCCTCACTGGACAGTATTCTGGAACTGCATACGAGGCGGAGGATGGAACCGAAGAAAGAATCAAACAACACAGATGGGCTTGCCGTGAAACATAATTTTGGAGTGTCGATTGCCAGCCAGAGGAGACTTTTGCGATATTGGGTAAACTCAAGTTCTTCGGAAAACATCCGTCATGAGTGACGGTGAAAACACCAGGCTTTGCTAGTATCCGGCACGTCCCCGCCCCGAGTATGGTCAATACCCGTTGTGCCACAGCATCCCGTCATCCTCAAATCCATCACGATCCGCCTAAGATCCACCTCAACCGTGTCTCGAACCGGTCTCTCTCGCCGATCCCCGTTGCGAAAATCAAAGAGCGAGGTGTGGGCATGTCTCTCCAGGTACGACCAGTGATTTGAAGATATGCTGGAGGAACAGGAAAGGAAGACACGGCAGGCGGAGAAGGGACTTAGGAGAAATTATGAGGCAGGCGTCTTGGCCTCGGAGTTGAAGAACGGGGAATGGGATAAGAAAAAGATGATCAGGGAGTTTGGAAGGCTAGAAAGGTCAGCCGTCGTTGAAGAGGTAAGATGTGTTTTGTTTCTTCCGCATATAGCCACTTATCATGCCTGCTGACAGGGTGGCATTCTCACCTTGGTGCCGGGATAATTGATGTAGAGACGGTGCTGCAATGGGCATAATGAGAGCGAAGGCTGCTCGTGTATAAACGTGAGAAGCAAATACCCCAACTTGTATTACCAGAGCTACACTATCATACAATATAGCACCCTGTGACAGGTACCACATCTGGACGTGCAACTATCATGATGGAGGCTGCTGGCCGGTGGGCGCTGTGCCATACTGGGCATAGTACTGAGCATATTGCTGTTGCTGCTGAGCCTGCCACTGCTTGAACTGCTCCGAGTTGACATCGTAACCAAGGGAGGCCCTACTCGCGGGTCAGCGTTAGCTCAAATGAGATAAAATACGCGTACCAATAGGCAGTGTAGTCCTGTGAACCTTGGGCAGGTGCACCAGCGGTGGCGGCGGCACCAGCCATGCCATCCGGGGGTGGAGGCGCTGCTGGAGGAGCACCAGGTGGCGGGGGTGGGGCGCCATCCTCTGGGGGAGGGGGAGGAGGTGCGTCCGGAGGAGGGGGAGGTGCGTCCGACGGCGGGGGCGGGTAGCCGGCCCCATACCCTTGCTGCTGCTACGGATGCTTAGACACCACTATATGAATGTGAGTATTGTATGACATACCGGATAATAGCCCATTTGGCCTATCTGTTGCTGGTTCAGAGCGGTCTGTGCCTTTGCATGCTCTTCCCGGACGACTATAAGGAGGTCCTCTGCGAGCTCCTTCGCGCGAGCTAGTTGTCCCTCATCTGGGCCCCTGCGGAGAATCTTGTCAGACAATATAGGTTCTATAAGAGATCAGCGTAACACACGTCAAGTGGATATGCATGGGTTCGTCGGACTCCTGTCCAGTCTCGGTCTCGTAGAAGCCACTTCCCTGTCCCTTGATCTGAACACGGGTCTGGGTCTCTTGCTGAATGTACTTGACGAACGCTCCAGCAGGGCCGACTACCTTGGCACGCACATTGAAGTTGCGTAAGACAGCCAGTCCGATGGGCAACTTCTCTTCCGGCCATTTTCTCTGTGCAGAACTCAGTTTAGGAGACTCCTGGCAATGGTCACGATCTGTAATACCCTTTCACGACGTTCATCCCGTCGACGATCTTCTACAAGAGGACCCAATTCCTGGTTCATCAGCTCATCAATTTTGGCCACTGCCCGGTCCAAAGACTCCTTCGTCTTGGCTGACACGTGGAGGTACAACGGCGGATCGCGCTCGCTAGCTTTCGTCTTGTCGGGATACCACGTTCCCTTAGTTGTAACCGATGCACCCGTTTCAACAGAAATCTGCTCTACATGTCAGTCGTAGAATATAGGAGCTAGACGCGCCCTACCTCCTGCTGGGTGGTACCTTTCGTGAGCACATACCGATTGCGCAGATCGTTGATCTCGATATTCTTCGTGAATTCGCCGTCAAATGGGTCGTGAATAGCTGCAGCTGCCCCACCCCCTCCTCCAGAGAATTGTGCAGCAATTTTTGCAGCAATAGCGGCCTGATAGCTGCATTAGCCCGGACACAATGATCAAAGCAACATGCGTGCACCGCTGCAGACGCCGCCTCGGCTGATTTTGGCCCCTCCGTTTCCTCGTCATTTACGGCAGGAGCGCTTTCCCTCTTCGGAATCTTGTACGGTGTATCCTCATCCCCCGGTTGGTCCCACTTGCGCTTTCGGTCTGTGGTAGACATCGGTGACGGTACGCAATTTCTTCGTTGTGGTCGTTGAAGAAGGGTTCTCCAAGGTTGAACGGAACCAATTGCGAGTGGCTGTCGGAGTTACGGATAAAATGAGCTCAAGAGCATATTGTCTTATTTGAACACTGTCATTTTACTATCAATCGGACAGATGGCTAACTAAACATGTATGCGGGCAATGATACACAGGCAAAGACTTGCCAATTCACCAAACAGAAACAAAGCACGCTGTTCTTCCATATGTACCAGAGGGGATGATCATGGAGCCCAAAGGAGCGACTCAGTTTCCTGTAATACCTGCTGCATCCCCGGCCGGGCCTCGGGCTGGAACTGCCAGCATCGCAAGCAAAACTTCCACACGTCGTCATTGAGACCGCGGGCGATGACCTCTGGCTCCATCGGCTGCCTGGGGTTCTTCCTCGCACACACGTCAGTCACGATCTGGAAGGCGTTGCGCATTTCCGCAAAGGGCTTCTTGCCAGTCATGATCTGCATCGTACATCGTGAGTTATATCAGAACGTATCAGAAAGCAGAAGCATTCACCTCAAGAATAGTACGCCCGAAGCTGAACACATCACTGGGAGCACCAGGCAATACCTGCCCGCTCATCATCTCCGGAGCCATCCACCGAGCCGCAGTTGCCGCAATCGAGGTCGAGCCGATATTGTCCGATCCGACAGCTGCTAGACCAAAATCGCATATCTTCGCGTCGCCGTTCCCGTCAATGAGGATGTTGCTCTGGAGGTTGCGTATCAGACAAAGCAAGACTTGGGCGACGAATCAAACGCACTCCGCGAAGGTCACCATGCACCACGCTATTACGATGCAAGTATTCCAGTCCTCTGGCCGTGCCGCGAAGCTAGAGCGCTTATGATCAGCTGAGTCCCATTTCAGGCCATCGAAGCACTTACAATTCGGCGTCTATCACAACCCGGGTTCTTCTGGATATAGTTCACCGAGCTCTGGTTTTCCATCCACGGGGAGACCAGTGCAATAGTAGGACACTGATCTCTCGCGAGACCGAAGCAAGGAAGAACGTTGTCATGCTTGAGGTTGCGCCATAGTTCTGCTTCTTTCACGAGTCGCTAGAGCAGTATCAGCATATTCGCTCTGCTGATTAGGATGCAGGCACCCACCTGAATACGCTCTGGCGTCGCCTTGTGATCTCTTAGCCCCTTGATCGCAACGCGCCTCGTCTCCCACGCCACGCCCTTCCAGACGTCGGAAGAGCTACCACCGCCCACAGACTGCGGGTCAGTCTTACGTACCTGGCCGGTGAGATCCACCAGCGGCGGCAGGTCACCCGAGGCTTCGGACACGGCGGATAAGCCTTTGCCAAGCACGACTTTCTGCGGACTACTGACTTGCATGCGAGATAGATCCTGGGAAACAGGCATTACCCACCGGTCACGTGATAGTCCATAGACGCACCTGCTGGAGTGACTCCATTAGATCCTCTGTCTGCTCCTTGGTCACCCTGTTGGCCTTGATCTCCTGCACAAGCGCCTCGACGTTCTCCGCACGGCTGATGAGTTGCAGCAGAAGCTGCGTGTGCACCCCTTCTTCTTTCACAATATGCACCATGGTGGTATTCTGTATCGTCGTGTCGTCAGCTTATGCTGCTGTTCGAGGGAGGACAATGCGGACCTGGAACTTTTGGATTGACGTGTCCAGCTGGGAATTCAACCGAACGATATCATTTCCAAAGCTGTCGTTCCGGATAAACTGCCGTATGAAGCCACGATCCTTCCATTCCCTTGTTTTCTTTGCCACACGCTGGAGTACACTTCATATGCGTGTCACCGGGGACCACAAAATGCAGGCGATAGGACGTACAAAGTCACTTCGTCGATCGCTGCTGACATCCGTGTACCTTCCAACCCCGGCAAACTCTCATTCAGATTGATGATCAGTGTGACACATCGGTCTCTGAGATTCTTGCAGTCGTCCTAGCGATTCCAGACATGTTAGCGGGCCCCAGATGACGTCGCCGCACAGACGCCCACCTGATGCAGCTTAACCTGCTGTACGTTTAGGTATATCTGCTCGAGTAGGTTTGCGGCTGCTGAGAGTCCTGGTACGCCAGAGCACTCGGCGATGAGGGTGAGTATCTGAACGGGATCCATGGGTAGAGGAAGGGGAGAAGGGGTATGGATGGAGGGTATCGGAAGGAGAGGGTAACAAAGCGCTTGATGATGATTAACGTCGACTCAGAGGGACTCTCAGGGGTTTGGCTGGCGCTGGTGGCGGTTATTATTGTGGAGGGCATGAGAGAGGGTCTCAATCGACGTGGCAAACAACGGAGCGTCATTTTCGCCGGCGCCTAAGTCGGAAATGCAAGTAGAAGTCGAGTCTGAAGATGAAACCAGCGTATTACCTCAGAAATCATATGAAAACGGTTGTGGGAATAAATAAGGACTAGCCTGGCACTTGTCAGAATATCCGCTTGTGAATTCCACCGGAATTCTACGCGAAGTCAGTCCATTCCCGCGGTGATGCGTTATCATTCCAGTCCATTGATATGATCCACACAGCCTCTAGTGGCGGTGTTTAATGAAATTACGCAACGGGAACAAAATTTGGAAAGAGGAATCACACGGTGTTGTTTGTGAGAAATCATCCTCAGGCAACACCCTTCTCATTCCATTTCTCTGCCTCCTATGGCATCTGCAATTGACTCAAGCTCCGTAAAAGTATACACAGTTAATGGCGCCCCTTCTGCTTCGTCATCCGCACTACCTGACTGGCTCACCCGCAAGCGCCAACAAAACGGTAGCAAGCGCACACGCACAGAGCACATCGAGGGCACAATCGAGCTCGTCCAGCACTTCGAGTTTCCTGAGGCTAGCAACCGGATACGCACGACTAGAGATGGACACTTTGCGGTAGCGACGGGGACATATAAACCTCAGATGAGGGTGTTTGATTTGGATCAGCTCGCCCTCAAGTTTGAGAGGCATTCAGAGGCGGAGAATGTCGATTTCTTGGTACGCCTTCATTACAAATTATTTACCAACACACATATCTTATGGTACAACCAGATTCTATCGGACGACTGGACGAAAACCGCGCACCTTCAAAGTGATCGCACAATTGAGCTGCATAACCAATCGGGCTTTTACTACCGAACACGCATACCGCGGTTTGGCCGCGCTATCGCGTATCACAGCGCGTCGTGTGATCTCCTTGCAGGAGGCAGTGGATCCGATGTTTTTCGACTGAACCTGGATGAAGGACGATTTATGATGCCGCTTGATCTCAGCGAAGGCGGGGCAGACTTCGAAGGAGTGAACGCGATCGACATCAACCCTGCCCACCAGCTGTTCGCGTTTGGAACATCCGGCAATGGTACTGTCCAGTTCTGGGATCCTCGTTCTCGGTCTCGTGTTGGCATACTACGAATACCGCTCTCCCAGTTGCTTCCAACAGGCGGATTGGGGAGCACCGGAATGGACACCGACCCCGCCGTTACTGCCCTGTCCTCTCGGATGGATGGGCTCAATCTGGCGGTGGGCACATCATCTGGACACACATTGCTCTACGATCTCCGTTCAGATAAGCCATATGCGATGAAGGATCAGGGCTATGGACTACCGGTGCAAAGCGTGGCTTGGATTGAGGGAGGACATAAGATGGCCAGCGAGAACTTGGTCGTGAGTGCTGATAAAAAAGTGTTGAAGATATGGGATCGCAATACCGTGAGTTACAAGCCCATGCTATGCCATACAAGCTGAACATCAAATAAGCCTGGCACGAACTTCACCTCTGTTACCCCTGCGAACGATATCAACCACGTACATCACCTCCCCGGCTCGGGCCTGTTGATGCTCGCAAATGAGGGCATCCAAATGACAACCCTGTATATTCCTCAACTAGGGCCTGCGCTCAAGTGGTGTTCCTTCCTAGACAACATCACCGAAGAAATGGAGGAACAGTCGACGCGGAACGTATACGAGGACTTCAAATTTGTTGAACGATCGGAACTCTCTTCCCTTGGTCTAGACCATCTTGTCGGTACTCCGGCGCTGAAGCCGTACATGCATGGATACTTCGTCTCCGCTGAGCTGTACAGTACCGCGCGGTTGATTGCGAACCCCTACGCGTATGCAGAGCACCGGGAACGACTCGTCCAAGAGAAACTGGAAAAGTTGGCCGATACGCGCATCCGGGCGCGGAAGGACATCCCAGGAGTGAAAGTGAACAAATCGCTGGCAGAGAGATTGCGAAAGAGCGAGGAGAAGGCGGCACGGAAGGCGAAGACGGAAGGTGGCAAGCCGGAGAAAGGGGAGTTGGCCAGTGACCCGAGGTTTAAGGAGCTGTTCGAGAATCCTGAGTATGAGATCGATGAGAACAGCCGCGAGTTCACACTTATTAACCCGTCGACTGCGGCTCAGAAGGCGGTGAGTGCTATTTCACCTCGCTGCAAAACTTGCATCAATTTTACCAAAGAAGTTCCGTCGTGATGAAGACGAGAGCGAGTCAGAGGAAGAGGCTCCCGAGGACGGAGATGATGATGTAGACATGAGCGAGGAGAGCAGTGAAGAAGGTCTGCATAGATCATTGTTTACGCTGCATCCAACAGCATGCTAATCTCTTCTTCCGTAGATTATCCTCCAGCCCGACAAAAAGAACAAATCAAAGCCACCTCTACCAACCCCATCGCCAAAACCTCATCACGGCCCTCCTCTGGACGCCGACTCGTCTCGTCTTTCTCCCGCTTCGGCACTTCTCGCACATCAGACACGGGCGCAACCCTCGGCCAGCTCCGGCGCACTTCCTCCTCTCACACCCCGAAGGCTCGTCAGGTTGTGAGCCGGGGTCCGGCTGTTTCGAACGCCCGCGCGACAGCCGACGGAGGGCTGGAGATGTCCTTCATCCCCTCTTCTTCTGGAGCAGAGAAGGGCGGAAGAGGGCAGCAACATGGCAAAGCGAAGGGGAAGAAGCCCGAAATGTTTGGTGCGGGGCTGCAGAAAGGCGCTGGTGAGGAGGAGGACAGGGACATTGGACGCGGGGGTAGGACGAAGAGACGAACGGGTGTACGGAGTGGAAGTAAGAACTTTTTCAGGAGGAATTAGGGGGATGAAGAGGATGTGGGCTGGTGCTCTTTCTTGTCTTTTGTTTGACGCTCGCATGTATACTTGTTATGTTTTCTGCCATCGGATTACCTCTGGGGCTTTCTGAAAGCCTCCAGATAAGTCATCTGTGATTATGGCTAACTGGCACGATCTAATGATACAGCACGAGTGGTACGTGCAATCCTAAGGAAATCAGACGCGATGACCACCCTTCGGCACTCCTCATGAGTCACACCAAGAGCATGCACGGAGTGCTTTCCACTTTCAACTGAACGCCCCTAAATTTGAACCCAAAGATGCGATTTTCGGATCCCTCAGTCGGTCATTCAGTGCCTTCGCTAATTCCTGGCCGTGCTTCACAGCCTCCTGAGCAGCACATGTCAGCATCCTGTGTCGGCCTGAAGAAACGCACGCACGTGTAACACTTGTTTGAGCTCTGCTGGCATGATCTCCGAGTCTCCTACCCTGTGAAGGCCGCATAGGGCCCCCGAGGGTCGAACGAAGAGAATGACGCGGCAGGGGGTGCATGCCTCTTCAGCGGGGAGGGCGTCCAGGTAAAATATCGGAGTTAACTGAGAGGAGTTCAGACATTCGTCCCACGTGAAATGAAAAGAGGGACACTGAGACATACAAGATTCAAGGTGATGCAGACAGGGAGGAGCTCACGCCCCTCTAGTGGCACTCCCTCGTCCGACCCATCCTCCAGCTCGAAATCTGCTGCTTCAGGTCGGCGTAATCCACGAGCATGATCTAGCACTCCGGCCCGCTCTATCCTGAACCCCCCTAACCCAGGCCCGAGCGCGCTATCCGCTGCATCTGGCGTATCGTAAACGAAGTTTCTTGTTTTAGGCACTCGTAAATCCCACAGTGCAGCCCGAACAGCGGCAAAAAGGACGTCGGTGACGTTCCCGCCATAGGAAAGGAGCAGCGCGTCGACGGAGAGTTGCCATGCCCGACGACGAGGGACTATGAGGAGCTGTCGGAGAGGAAGAAGGGAAGGGAGAGAAAGGTAGTACGAAAGAAGGGTGGTAAGGTCGGAGGAAAGGTCGGGGAGCGTGTCTGTCGGAAGGTGTGGTAGGGCTGACGGGGAGCTGGATGGGAGTGTGTGATTGGCATTCAAGTGGAGGAAACTAGGGAAAAATAAAACGCACCATTCAACAGAGCAAACGAACTGCGCTTTTCCTTCCTGCCTCTCGTCGTCTCCGTCAACCACGTCATCTAACCTCACCGCGTCCAACTTGACCGCCACCAAGACGTCCGTGTCCCCTACTCTTGCACGCGCACTGCCATTCGCGCTGGGAACAACGCCAGTAGCAAGAGTTATAGGCCTATAGTCGAGGAGAGAGCGTCCATCTGCACGCTCTGAGAGGAGCAGTCCTGTGGAAAGGTATGAAGATTCAGCCTTTGAGAGAGGAGCGGCCATTTTTGTTGATGGTCAAAACCAAGTGCTCGTCAGGGTCCTCCTCGGCTTTTCATCGGGCCGGAGATTTCTTCTGTCGGAGATAAGCCCGGCAACTGAGGAATGGAAGGAAGTTGTCCGGCGACGCTGTCATTGTTACGCCTTAGTCCTCCACCTGGTCGTCGACCGTCGTTTTACCATGGCCACCGTCCAGCGCACAGCTGCAGAAGATTCTAAGATGGCGCTCGACGTCGACGCTTATGAATATGCACCGAGTGACCTGAGGCTGGAGCAGCTGCACGTCTACGTACGGCACGGTGCGTTGGGATGTGCACCCAAATCCCTTATATACTCACTTCCAGCAGGCGAGCGCACTCCCGTACATCCCCGACTAGCAGAATACATCCCACCGTTATGGCCACTCTGTCGCACGTCTTTTCTTACCTACGCCAACATCCTCCAGCGCAGGCCCGATCCCCGTGCAGAGGTCCTCTCACCACTTGGGAAGGACTGGCATGGCGTAGGGCTCGTCAAGATGGAGCGGGTCGCAGAGGTTCCAAGAGGGCGGGATGAAGCTGGTCATGAATTTGATGGGATGGAGCATGCCTGGTAAGCTTGCTTCCTAGTACCAGAATGGCGCGGACTGACCTTTGAGGATCGGCAGCGGGTTCGGCCAGCTCACAGACAAGGGCGTCGTCTCTACAAGCCTGTTTGGGTCATCGCTACGAGCCCTCTACGTCGACAAGTGCGTATAAATTCTTCTATTCCCATCACCACCTCTGCCAGAACACTCGCCAACGGCTCACTCCTCAGACTTGGCTTTCTCCCCCCTTTCTACCTTCCCGAGTCCGCCTACTTCCGCAGCACCGACATGCCCCGGACTATCGCCACCTTACAACACATCATCTCCCACCTCTATCCGCCGTGGCAACATCCGGCAGGAGAGCTGGCCGCACCGAGTCCGAGGATACTGGTCAGGTTCCAGGCAGACGAGGATCTGATGCAAAATATGACGTGTGAACGGTTTAGATTGTTCCGCGAGGTGTGGGCGAAAGGTGCATGAGACTGCTATCCCCGAAAAACCGGAACTCATTTTGTGCATACAGCGGTGGAGCCCCATATAGATGAGCAGCTCAAGGTGCTCGATGAGAAGCTGTCAAAATATATCGATGGTCGGCCTGTGAGACTCGTACGTCACTCGGCCATTCTCAGGCCACAACCTGCCTCATCTTTCATGTGTTGGTAGAATGGCCATCCCAAGCTCTCGGGCCTCTTGGATACGGTTAAATCCGCACACGCCCACGGGATTCCCGTCCCACCCGAATTCCGAGAACCGGAAGTGATGCGACTGATGGTGCGCTTTCGTTGCACAAATCAACACAGGGCCTTGCTGATGATGGATCCAGGAAAGTGCGGTGGTAGCAGAATGGTTTGGCGGGTGTGCGTCTTCACATTTTCTCATGCCATCCGAGATGCTGGCTCATATATTTGCGCAGACCGACACCCGGAGATCCGCACACTCGGAAGCGGGCGTGTCTTCTCCGATCTCCAGAAGGTGATGTCCACCAAGATCGCTTCGCCTTCGGATCCGATCAAGCTCCGTATCCTTTCCACACACGACACTACACTTGCCACAATGCTTATCAGCATGGGTGTGTTCGATGGCAAATGGCCGGACTTTACGAGCAGCATCATCTTTGAGCTATTCAGGCGGGACGAGGGCCGAAGGCTGTTCAGCAGCGCTAAACCTCAGTACTGTATGTCTAACTCTACCATTATTACACCGTCATATCTCATTACCTTCAACGCAGACGTCCGGGCGCGATATCAGAACCGCTCTCTGTCCCTGCCCGCATGCGCCCCTGTGGGTGCACATTACCCCAACCGGCCTGAGCTATGCACATTCCAAGCCTTCTCCTCCCTCGTAGCGACCATGACTCCCAAGAACTGGAGACAGCAGTGTCTCCTCCCTCTAGGTGAGGAAGACTATAATGTGCTTGAGGGGAGAGGGGTGGGTGGGCAGATCATGTTTGAGGTGACGGAGGATAGGAAGACGGGGATGGGGATGCCGGAGAGGGACGGAAGGTAACACGGCACGACAGAGCCATAATACTGTAGACATAGATCTAGACGGCAGGTATGGATGGGTATGGTATAGGCGGCGCTTGCCCAACTGGAGGCTATGCAGGAAGTTGGGATGGCGGCTGGTTCTTCTCTAGTTGACGCTTGGCACTTGAGAGGAGGACGTTGACGACCAGGTGGTGGATCTCGTCACATTTTGTTAGGCAGGCATCTACCATCTAGTAGGGGGGGAGTCAGATATGTGCAACAGGAGTGATAGAAGGGGAGTGTAACAAGGTGAGTGATGGTGGACTGCAATGTGGACTGAAAATTGGAGGGAAAGGGACAGGGAAGGACATAGAAGGAGAACGCTCACCTGTTCAACCTCCTCCACGCTCAACTCTCCCCACTGCCAAATCCCAGTCAAACTCCCAAGGGCAGGCAAGCAGCCCACTCCCACACCTCCTTTCACCGTCTCTCCGGTCTCCCCCTCTGGGTCCAAGTATGTCACACCGCCCACCCGGGCAGCCGCACACCCCACTACCAATCCTCTCATCTCCACTCCCGCATGAGCGAGTGCTGCACTCGCAGCTGTTATCGCAGCGCACACCAATGCGTCGCCTTGTCCTTGATCAGACTCGAGAACATGGATGTACACGTCTATTGAGGACTTCGGGTATCGTTCGAGGAGGACCGCTGGTGCGAGGGCAGCGCGGACTCGTAGCGAGATCTCGCGATCTTCTGTTTCCTTCAGAGGTGCCTTCCTGACCCTCGTAGCAAAAGGCGCAAACTTTAGTGAAACACTCAGGGTGCCCTTTTCGGAGTAAGCAGAAGACGACAGAGACGGTAAGACCCCTGATGCAGATGAGGTAGAGGGCTTTTGTTGACGTGGACCATAGACGGATACGACGAGCTTGAGGGGAGGGGATTCGAGGTATGCTGATCCAGAAGCGGCGGGTACAAGTCCGGTATGTAGGACTGTCAACGCAGGCTAGTTAGCTGGTTTACGGTGAGCGGTAGGAGAGAACTCACAGATAGGCCGGATAGCAGCAGGTTCCCGTGTACGTTTACTATATTGAGATGAGGGGAATGAGGGAGGGGTAGAGCGGTCGGGGCCTGTAATGCGTCTTCGGTCGATATTGGACATGGGCGCTTGTGACAGTCACGACGAGATAGAGTGGCAAAATGAACAACAAATTTTGCACTGCCACTGATAACCCTACCTTACCTTTCGTTTTTTCGATCATGAAGCATAGTTGGAAAAAAAATCAAGGCTGTGATGGAAATCCAGCCCTTGATCGGACCAATCCATACACAATCTCAGCCCTGCTCCCTTTCTCGGCTGCTACTACTCCATCTCCTAATTGTGAGATGCATATCTCAGGCACAGGTGGTTCTTTTCGACAGGTGGCTCCCATAACACCCGTCCATCGATAATGGGGGAAAGAAGCCAAGCAGGTCATGAACCCGAAGCCTGACAATCAACGGATTGAAGAATGTGGACATGACAACACCATTCACATATGAACTGAATAACTGGTCAGTTCATCTATAATCGCGTGCGCTGAAGCTTTTTAAAGTGGAGGAGGCCTCTCAGCGCGCGGCCACGGAGGCCAATCTGGGCTGAAGACCGAACGAAGGAGGACGACGGTGCGCGAGGGAGCGTGAAAGTACACGTTAGCAGTACCGCCCACCTGCCCTTGTGGTGCCAGGGTGCGGCAACCGCGGCTCTGCGACTCCACCTCCTCACCCACGTTCAGGCAGGTTTGGCGACTTGGACAAGAATCTGACCGAGCCGCATAGCGCGTGTCGGACGGCCAGGCAGGTGAACAACCAGAGGCAGGTGGAGGGACCAGTACCTTGCATACTCCATTACTGGGAATGTATTTCGATTCGGTCCAGTGATGGACCGTTGCCTGTCACGAGCACTAAAATGGAGGTCTAGAGAAGTATGGCAGGTCATTGTCCCGACCGGCTCGGCATGCGGGCTAACGGTGGAGATATGGATTTGATCTGCTCTGGGATTGTGGGCGCTTCAGTGAAATATCGGAAGCCAGCTCAGTACGGCAATTCTTTGCTCCAATATGATGGCTAATGGTGGACTTACGAGCATCTTGTCGTCATACGACCCGTTGGCGCCCAAAGTAGAGATCCAGAGGTCATATCTGATGCCCAATCCCATGCACAGCGGGTCATTGTCCCGAAGTACCACAAGATGGTGGAGATACTACCATCTTCTTGTCACGGGCAAAGAATGATGGTGGAGATACCCATCATGAGCCCGCTTCTTATACGGGAGGTCAACGAGCCACATAGCAGAAGGTAGACCGCAAGCACGGGAAGAGCCTTTCTCCATATGGCAAGACAGACGATGTTCCTACGGTCCGATAAAGCAGCGCGAATACGATTGGCGGACATGCGTTGGAGGAATTATCGGCGAGATCAGCCAATAAGACAAGCATGTGTCTTAGCCTGGAGAAAATGACGGGAAAGCGACAACCACGCAGAAGAAAGATTGGGAAAATGACCAACAGACGACTTGAGAGGTGGAGGAAGACGGTCACGGACGGGCATGTCCGTATGTACCAAACCTTGAGGATGATCACTAGGGAGAGCAGCTGGCCGGTGGAGAGTCATGAATGATGGTGCCTGACGAGACATTTGAGTGGAACGTGATTACGACAATCAAAAACCGGTAAAACAAACTCGAACCAACAGTGGACAAATCATCGTCGATCAGGTGGAACCAAGCTGTGTTGAAGCAGGAGTGACAAGATTCTGGGTGGAGGCACGGAGAACGCTCTCCTTCAAGAAAAGTCACATGATAGTTGCCGGTTGGGTGGTTGCCCGGCGCCTAAGGCACACTTAGCATCCACCCGCGAGGAGGTGAGACAAGGCGGAGTATGGAGTCTGTCTCTAGTCAGGGGAACGAAGGGGCTGCCAAGCGTGGTGCCAAGGGAGAAAGTCAGGTGATCTGCGTCCAGGCGCAGCACTCTAGAGGGCAGCGTTAGCATCAGCATCAGTGTACGGCCAATTTGGCGGAAATGGGACCGGTATTCCGAGTTGTGGAGGCGTACTTGGTCATGACCGCGATTAACCAATAATAGCGACGGTATTCCGGAAGCCTTGCCACTCTGATCTTTTTTATGATGCGAGAGGGGAGTATTACGGAACCGTCGTTAAGCCAGTGAAGCGGGGCCGTTTTCAAAAAAAAAAATAGTAGCGCACCACTTTCATACCTCTTCCTAACATTGCTCGTAATGTAGTAAACCTTCTTTCAGGTTACTCAACTGAGCATTTGTCGCCAGTATGATCAGCTGTGGAGTATGGTGCTGAGGATCACTGGTTCATGCCGTCCGATCAGCAGTGGAGGAAGCTAAAGAAGCTTGCCCCGGTGCATTCCAAGGGATGTTGCCTCTGCTGATTCTCCGCTGTCATCATGAGAAGGATATCTTGATTGGACGGAACGTGCGCCAGCTGTCCAGGAAGGATCAAGATGAGCAAGTGGAGGCACGCGGGAAATGGCTGGTATTGACAGATCAACCAGAGCAAGACAGGTGATAGACCTCCACTGGAACGAGATTCAATAGCAATCAAAGTTCACATGGTCGTATAACCAGGTCAAGGTCAAGTGGCCCTAAGTCAAAGTAAGGGAGCCCTGGGATACAAGGCGGGGGAAATTAGGATCCGTGTGGGGGTGGCTGAATAACCAACCTGGGGCCCCGCGGGCAGGGTCGCGTGGCAACCGGACCAATCATATTCTTTGTTCCGGGATCAAAGCGTAGTTCTCCTCGTCTTGACGGCACACCGGTCGGCATCTTGGACACGCGCCTGTTGATAGCGGTAAAGACGGACCATACCCACATGCGTTTAGGGTGTTGTGCTCTCCTCCACCTGCCAGTTAGAGTCAGGAACAACCACCAGTGATCAGATGCGGGGCCCACCCTCCGGTCATTCAATTCTCCTCATAAAGCACCTAGAGAACATGGAAGGCGCCTCAGGTAGCTTCTTCCCCAGCTACCCTCTTCATCCACCCCACCTGCGTCTTGTAACTTGCCCACCATGGCCGGCGGAGCCCAGATCTCGGGACATTACAAGCAGCTCATCGCTCAGGACTTCCGATGGTGGAAACACCCTCGCCTCTGGCAATTGATGTTCTGGACATGTCTTTAGTGAGTCACCAACCCAGATCCATGTATTCAGAATACCAATATCTACGCAGCATCCTGGGAAATTGCGCCAACGGTTACGATGGGGCCCTGGTCACTGGCATGCAAATTCTGTAAGTCATTGCCAACTTGTACCGAATTTTATAAACGCCTGACAGCCCTTTCTTTGAGACCTTACTGGATCTCCGATTTCCACAACCCGCAAGGTTCAACGCTTGGCCTGCTCGGCGCGATCCAAAACATTGGATCGTTGGGCTCTATCCCTGTTGCCCCGCTTTGGAACGACCGATTCGGCCGCAGGAAGACTGTTATGCTGGGAACTACCATGATGATTACTGGTGCTGCTCTCCAGGCCTCTGCTAAGAACGTCAACTGGTTCCTGGGTGGTCGCTGCTTGCTTGGATTTGGTGGTGGTTTCAACAACAACGCTGACCCACTTATGGTCATCGAGCTCTGCTTCCCGTCGCATCGCCACGCCATCGCAGGTTCTTACAACTCGTTTACCGGTATTGGTTCTATCCTGTAAGCGCCTGTAACCTTCTGTTGAATATTTTATAAATGCTGATTGACTTGCTACAGCGCTGCAGGCTTGACCTTCGGTACCTATTACATGGCTTCTTCCTGGTCATGGCGTCTCCCCGCTCTCGTGCAGGTGCTTCCCTCCACCATCCAATTCTGTCTCATCATGTTCGGCCCCGAATCTCCTCGCTGGCTGATGCTCAGCGGCCAAGAGCAGAAGGCGTGGGACACCCTGGTTTACTACCATGGACGTGGTAATCCGCATGACCCATTGGTCCTTTATGAGTTCGAGGAAATGAAGGAGTCTGTTCGCAAAGAGAAGGAGAACAAACGGACGCAATGGAAGTCGCTCTTCAACTCCAAGGGCATGCGTCGCCGGTCATTCATCATGATGGGTCTTGCTGTCTCCGGCCAGTGGTCTGGTAACTCGCTCGTCACATACTACCTTGCTCAGGTGCTCAAGACAATCAACATCACCGATCGTCCCTCGCAACTTGGTCTCAACCTTGCTCTCACCGCCTTCAACTTCCTCTGCGGTTTCACGGCTGGCTTCCATTCCGATCGTTTCGGTCGCCGTCGCATCCTTCTCACTTCGACGAGCCTCATGCTGCTGTTCTTCATCTGTGTCACCATCTGCTCGGCACAATATAACAACACGCATAGTGCCGTTGCCGGAGATTTCGTTCTCCTATTCATCTTCCTCTTCACTGGGGCATACGCAATGGGTTGGTCGTCGGTCATGCTTCTCTATGTCACGGAAATTTCCCCTATGTCGATGCGATCGAAGGCCCATTCGCTCTGGGCTATCAGCCAGGCATCATCTCAAGTATTGAATCAGTATACGAACCCGATTGCTCTTGGAACCATGGGTTGGAAGTACTACAGTACGTCCCTTCTCGCCTGCCTATTACTTATTCTGACTTCAAGTGCAGTTGTATTCGATTGTCTCATGGTTATCATCCTTCTGTTCCTCTATTTCTTCGTCGTGGAAACGCGGGGCCTGACACTCGAGGAGACGGCCATGCTCTTCGATGGTGCGGACGAGGTCGCGGAGCTCCAGAAGGATGCCGACGAGCATGCGGAAGCCGATCGCTTGGCGATGGAGAATGCCCCAAAGACTGGGCAGGAGTCGCCAGACCCAGAGAAGGGCTCTATTCATTATCGGGAGGATGTCAATGCCTGAGGTTTTCGTGGAGTGTACTTTATTCTCTGCATCTGCAATAGTATCATCAGCCCCTTTCTCCACTGGTGCCCACGAGTGTGCTTCGTGGGGGACCGGTAGATACCCCGTTGTCAAACACGGTGCACATGTACAAGAAAGATATGTTGTGTAAGCACCTCAAAGCAGTAGCAATACGGATATTCAAAATGCCTGGCCGGAAAGTTGGAAGCCCACCATCCACCTGGCGCGATCTGATTTGAAGAGTTCAATGATCATTGCAAATATTGATATATCATGGAAACATACAACATCGGTTCCCATGGTGTCGGATCCGCCTTGTTCAAGAAGGGATAGATATACATTTTAGGGGATGCTTGCAGGTGTGGAAAGCAGAAGAGCCGGATGAGGAGTCATCGCGCTCCACGACGTCCGCGTTCCACGCAAAGGTCAGGGACCTCCTCTTGTCCGCAAATTACGCCCAGCAACGCACTATCCCAAACACAACGTGAGCACGACAGGCGAGGAACCACACTAAATAGAAGACTGAGCTTCATCAGAATGCAACGGACATTAGCACGATCAACAGCTGCCCTCTCCGCTGTCCATCGCGGGGTCGCCTTCGAGGAGCGGTCGCGACGGGTTCTCCAGACCCACATGTCAATGTCGATGCGCCGTGTGGGTGGGGCGAGCGACGGGGGGATCGACCTTCAGGGCTGGTGGTGGATCCCTTCTCCAGCTCCAAGCGAAGATTCGTCAACGCAACCGGGGGTGCTATATACCGACACTGGGGAGCGACGAAGAAGGATTCGGGTCATCGCCCAGTGCAAGGCGGAGACGAGGAAGATGGGCCCGAATTACGTGCGGGAGATGGAGGGCGTATTGCATACACTCAATGCCAATGCGCTGCAGGCTCACGTCAATGGCGAGATTTCGCTGGAAACACCAACAATCCCAATCGTCGCAATTATCATCTCGCAGTCGAACTTTACACGAGCAACTCGACTTCGTGCAATGTCAAGCCCTCTTCCCTTCATTCTTATGTATCTCCCGCCAGTCTCCCGCGTGGTTCAAGAAAGCAGAAGCGAACAATCAGAAGAGGAGGAGGATCAGATTGGGTCGGCAATATGGAATGTTGCTGTGAGTGGTGAAAAGGGTGTTCTGCGAGGGCAAGGAGAACTGAGATGGGAGAGAAAGGCCGGCGACATCGGTCGCCCAGGACTTTGGTGGGCAGGAAGGAAGCTGCGAAATTGGGTGCCCCCGGAGACTCAGGTCGACGAGGAAGTCGACGAAGAGCTGCAGGTGGCGTGAATGGAACATACTGATTTGTCGACTCATCAAGTGCAAATCGTTCTCCATGCATCACTCAACGGTGGACTCGGTTTGCTTGCGCTGAATCCCTCAACAGCTGGCCACCATTCCACATCTGGAGGTGCACCATGATCACCGATATTGGCGACGAGGGACATCATCTAACAAGCGATGTGGTGACAATGGTATGATTAGTTGCATTCCGTATTGAGTATAAATACGGACATGGCTGTCCAAATGATGGTAGAAACGAATTTCCTTTGATGGTTAGAGTGTTCATTTAAGACCTTCATAGCTTGCCACCAAACACTGGGATATATGAGAAGTGTATCTGTGAAAGGACAACGTGTGCACTTACGGTCCTGAAGATCCTGGACGGATAACTTCCTCAGCTTCTTCCCGTTCCCCTCCCCAAGGGAATGGTCCGCCAATCCTTGCTGGGCGACTTCAGAAAGCACCCATCAAAATCACAGCATCGTCCTCACCTTTCGCTTGTGCAGTGCGAGAATTCGGTCTTCTACAGTGTTTTTGATGACAAGGCGCTCAACATGGACGTCTGTTATATCACTGTTAGCCGCATTTCATCCGACAGGAGGATTGGTGGAACGTCTTGCCTTTCACTTGTCCAAAGCGGTGAACACGGTCAAAGGCTTGGGCTTCAATTGCTTCGGACCATCCCAGATCCAAAGAGATGACATGATTGGCGCACGTAAGATTAAGACTATCATTAAGCGTCACATTATGGATAACCACCTGTAAGACGAGGATAGTACGTACCCAACGCCTCCAGCATTTAGCGACATTAACATCACCGTAGGTCCACTTACACCCATAAAGTTCTTGACAGTATTCTCACGGGCGGTCTTGGTCATGGAACCTTGATATCTATGTGTGACATAAAGTGAGTTACGCGAATGGAGTTTCGACATGGGACACAGACCTCACGTAGGTGAAACGTTGTTCGTCAAGATAACCTGCCACAACATCTAGAGCCGATACAAACTGGGAAATGACAAGAGTCTTGTCTGCAGGTTTGTCCTTCCTGGAGGCCTTGAGTGATTTCATCATAGTCTGATCAAAGTGTTCTCAGCGTGTTGAGCGTTAAATCACTGTCAAAGACCAACTTTCATCTACGCAAACGTAAATACTCGCAAAACAATAGGCGGATTCATATCAATGCCTTACCTTTGTCGAGGGGAGAAGTTTATGGGTTGCTTCTCTTCGTCGCCCACTGTGTCGCGATGTCATTATGTCTGACATATCATCTAGGCTCCAGTCTCGCGAACGCGGTCTTTGATGTCCTGTGGCCCGTTTGATCTTGTTCTTTGCAGCTTTCTTTGCAGCCTTTTCAGCATCCTCTTCTGTCTCTTCCTCATCACTGCGTCATCCGTAAATCTTTTGGGATTACGTCCGAAAGTAGAGAACCCACCTGTGTACAATGAGATCCCTCAGGGACGCTTCAGATTCCGACTCGCAGAAAGAACCATCAGACTCGGTGTCTGATTGATATTCCCATCCACGTGATGTGATTGGATTCGAACCAACTTTGTTATCCCCCAGGGTGGCCCGAATCCTTGCAGGAGATGCTTCTGAGCCTTGTAAACCCAACTCGGCATCGGTCGGTTCAAAGGCGCTTCGAGCAAATAGCAGTTCCTCGCGAAAAGGTGAATGACATGAAGGACCTAACAAGCTCAGATCTTGGGGGGAACGGCATACAGACGTGTCTCAGAAACGCACAATGGGGGTGTTGGGAGCTCGAGTGTGCCTGCTCGTTGCTGGCTTTTTTGCAAAGCTCGAGAGCACAAGCTAACCCCTCGTCAGGCGGGCGAGCATTGGAACATAGGATGTGCTACACACCTTTGCAGAATGCGTGCTGACAGGGGGCGATAACAGCTTGGTCAATCGCATCCAAACATATAAGACAGTCATCTTCCACCTGATTGTCAGTTGACTAGAAACTCTGATGAGGACCGGTCGCTAACAAGAAAGGGCGGGACGTGCCTCTTGCTCCATATGAATGCGTTCTCGTGCTGCGTTCTTGAGCAGTGCTTTGACCTGTTCTACGAACTTGGAGGAGACGAGCAGCCTGGCTCGTTTGATTTCATCAGCTCTCCGGCTTTCATCCATAATCTCGAGAACAGCTTCGTCATAGTCTTGCTGAATGAGTGCTACAAGGCATGTTAGGGAGACTGCTGACGAGGGGTGCTGGTATGTATACCAGGGTGGAAAGCACATTGTCGCAAGCGCATGAGCAGACTGAACACTAACGGAAAGTGAACCTGACACATGCGGAGTGTTGACTTCACCAGCTCACCTTGAGAGTAATTTTTGAGAACCGTTCCTTCGCGTCTGTCGATGACTCATTAGCATTCGTCAAATAAGTAGAACAGGGGAGAGCTGACAGGAAGCGGTTGAACACGCCCTGTGCACGCTTCTCTACCATATTATAAATCTCGCGCTCATCATCACTAAAGTCGAGCATTAGTGTTTGTATCTCCTTATTAGGTAATTCGATCAGTCGTTTCCCGTCCAACATCGTGTTCTTGTTGCGTCGAAGGAGACAAGTTCTGAAGACACCCTGAAGGCGTTTGCCGCAAAGGTGCGAATTCGTTTTTTCATTCTTCACAATGTGGGAGTAGAAATGGCGCCATTCGTACCAGGGATGAATACGCAATGCTCTCATGAGCGGAAACACATCGGAGAGACTGTTGATGATAGGGGTGCCTGTCAAGCACCAACGAAGGGTGGAATGCAGACGTGCAGCTACAATACCACTCAGCAGTTGTGAAAGAAGGTATTTGATGGCTCACCAGCAGAACTTTGACGTGAATGCCGATTACGAATTACCTGTGCTTCATCGAATACTACACGGTACCAGCAGGCTTTCAATAATGGCCCGCGTTGATGATCATTCTCCATGGGTTCCTCGGGATGGCTATTGCCTTTGAGAATGCCAGAAATGGGCAGTTCCGCAGCAAGTGTGTGATAGGTGGTGAGAACCACGTCCTCGCGTTCAAGGATATGATGGGACTTCGTACGACCCGCTCCGTGGTACACGTACGACTTGAATATGCTTTTTGTTTCGATCTACGAGGATATGAACGCTTTCCAGGACAGGGCAACGGGCCATACTTCAGCTTTCCACTGACTCAGCAGTGCAAGAGGACAGACTATCAGGGTTGCTGTCTGCTTGCTTTGCGTCGGACGGTTGAAGGTCATTGTGGCAATCATTTGGACCGTTTTCCCCAGACCCATTTCATCGGCTAGAATACCACCAAAGTGACGAATACTGCAGGGAAGTGAGGATGGGCAGCGCGCAATGCAGCATACATCTTACTTTTGGGAGGTCTCTTGTTCGATCATCCAAGCTACACCGATAATTTGATGCGGCAGGAGGGCGATCTCCATCCCTGCCAACCTCTGTGACTGATCGGTCAGGCCCAATATGTCCAAAGAAGTCTGGACCGTCGCGTTCTCTGCATATGGCGGTGAGTCGAAGGTGTGAAAGGAACGTGAAAGATACCTTCAAACGACTGAGCCAGTGAGGTATTCTGTATCCAGACATCGAGTCCATTCGCATTTACCTCCAAACCCTGGCTGATGTCATCCGAAGGCGGGCCTTCTAGAGCGCGGTGTGATTCTTTGGTCCGGTTAGTATCTCCACTCCTGCGATGTACCTCTCCCTCATCTCGCTTGATATTGCTGAATTCCGCAGGCTTTGGAAGAGTATCCGGCGCATGATGCGGGGCGGATGAATGTACTGTTCTCGCGACGGGCGTAGGCGTCACGTCTTGACGCGTTGCAGAAGTTGCCATGGCGGAAAGACGGGTTTGGAAATATTTTGAAGACTTCTGCAGCGAAGTTGGGTGTGACAGAGTAGTGGTGGCCATAGGTAGAGATCGTTGGATGACTTGTAAGGGTTGGGTAGGCAAACTAATAGCCAGCTTGTTCCATTTTTGATTTCGGGAGGGGGGAGAACCAAGTTCGGGACTTTCTTCTCTGACTATCTCGATTTCCTCACTTTTGCCTTCGATTTTCGGGCGCTTTGCATGAATTTCGCCTTCGTTTTCGTCCTTGGGCATGGCTTCTGCCACCCGCTTGCGGCTGCCGGACATCCAGGTCGGAAACAAATCGGAGGATGATGAAAGGTCGGAAGGGGGATGATCTGGATCGAGCTATGTGCAATCAGTGAGGCTGAATGGACGAGGAATCAGGTGCATACAGCGTGATTGAGAGGATGAACTGCCACTTGTGCGGGAGTGTTGCCATGAACCTGTCAGCCATTGAGCAGTGGGGTCAATTGGCACTACCACTACAACCGTACCACTGATGTAGATGAGAGCAAAGTGGCCAAGCTCCTATGGCCATATGAACGACAATGATCCTGAAGGCAAAGAGTTCACGAGCAATCATTCTGCAGCAAGCTGACTCCAACTCACCTCATATGCCTTTAGACTTCCAATTCCGATCGATCCACCGCCATCTTCCAGTGTTCTGTTTCTTCCCAGCACGATCGACTCGTCGCAGACGCCACAATGCACGGTCCCATCTGCAGTATACATGAAGTCAAAACGGGCATGAAGTTTGCTTGTGCATACATCCATGTCCAGCGCGTCGTTCCAGCGTGAACTAGCAAGGAGTTAGTGAGGGAATCGGATATTTAGACTTGACGCATACATTGCTGTTTTCGGCACTAGAGGCGCTCGGATGAAGTTGAAGTTGTCGGACATATTCAGCCGGTACCTATATGCGCGCATATTAGTAGGGAACAGCATGAGCCACGGCGTGAGGGAGGATATGCGCACCTTGTCGGTAGAGACATTCAGTTGCAACGCTCCAAGTCGAAGCAGATCGTGCCTGGAATCCATCGGACAAGGGGGAGAAGAATAGAAGCATAAGGAGGGAAGAGCAGAAGCGTTACCTTGAAAAGTCTCTTTTAATATTGAACCAGAACACGTCGAGCACGTGACTTCACATGACCCATATCTGTCCCGCGAGATCTCTACAACCCACCATGAATTATATGCACATTCCAAACGACTTTACTGATAATAAGATTATGGCGAGAAAGTGTGATAAAAATGTGATATCTTGCAGGCCATTAGTGGCGGCGCAAATCATGGATCCCAAACACTGGATATCTTTGTCAGTAAGGGCTTGGTAAGGAGGAAAACACGTGCAAGCCGCAATCTCTCGGACACTCAACCTTCCCATTTTCCCTCTAGCACCCTCTCCAAGCGACCCATCGGCCAATGCGCGCTGGGTAGTATGTTACCCAGAGGCTAGCATGCTCTTGGTATGGCTGCGCACCTTCCGCTCCTGGATCTTCAGCAATTGATCCTCAATGCTGTCCTTGATGATCAGACGTTCAACAAGGACATCTGCATATGATCATCTAGACTGCGTCCGTTAGGGATTCTCTGTTGGCTTACCCTTTGTCTGTCCTAGTCGATGCACGCGATCGTAAGCTGGAGAGAGGAGTATCACATGCTATCCAGTTACGCAAAACAAGCATAGTCATACCCTGCTGCTCAACGGCTTCAGACCATGCGAGGTCTAGCGCAATAACTCGGTTGGCTCGGGTGAGGTTCAGCCTGCATGCTGATGAGTCTCCGACATCAAAGTGATCCCTACATACTCACCCGACACCTCCAGCTTTCAGCGACATAAGCATGGCCCTGGGACCCCCTTTTTTACGTTGGAAGTGGTGGACTGAGTCGTCGCGTTCATTCCTCCCCATATCACCTTGATATCTTAGAAATGTGAGGCCGTGTCCTTCCATAGCCAGAAACAACCTACCGAACGTAACTGACTTCGTTTTCATCCAAGTATCGTGCCACGAGGTCAAGACATGCTGTAAATTGAGAGATCACAATGACCTTGTCAGCAGGATACTGCTGCGACCAAGTCTTGATAGATTCCATCATGCGCTGAAGAGAAAATCAGTAGTCATAAGCGCTTCCAGGAAAATGTCCGTGCCTTCATCTACCGTGTGTGAGTTCAGAAATCGGGGAAGGGTAATGGATCACATACTTTTGTAGATGGTAAGAATTTGCTCATCCTTGGAGGTCGTTTCTGAGTTAAATTCAGTTTGATGGGCTTTGAGTCCTCTTCAGAATCCTCCTCGGAGTCCTCGTCGCTGTCTTCCCTCTTGACTGCCTTGTTATGAAACAGGCTTCTCGCTTTACCTTTTTCAGGCAGCTTTCCCTTTTTCTTCTTCATCGCTTTGAGTCGATCTTTCTCGTCTTCGTCTTCGTCCCTATCTTCCCGTCAAACATGAGAAGAATAAGAAAAGAGATTACGTACGTATGCACAATGAAGTCGTAAATAGAGTCATCAGAGTTCGCGTCCTCGGAAGCAGTGGGCGAGCTCAGTCGTTCTCGCTTGATTTTACTCCGTTTGGCTAGTTCCTTGATCTCCTTCTTCACTGTAAGTTTGTCGTCCCGGCGACGTCGCGGAGAGAGACCCAAGTCAATCAACTCATCCAGGGAGAAGATTTCGTCTTCGTCATCTGAGTCAATCTCCATGACTTCTGGAGCAGTCCCGACGAGCTTGTTGAGCTCGGCATCGGTTGGTTCAAAGACATATCGAATGAAGACCCGGTTAAGGGATATAGGTTGGCGACATGAAGGACCTGTCGCGCGTTTCAGAACTAGGCTGAGACATATACAGCAGATCGAATCAAACTCACATGGACGTTGATCAGCTTTATATTCCGGGTCTGCTTCCATCGGCCGCTCGAATAACTTGTCAATACAATCTATGTAAGAGTGGTGAGCGATGGTGGAAGAAGTTCGACGGGAGACCAAAACCTCTGCAATAGATGTGTGAGCAGGCAGTGACCACAGGATCCGTCATTGTGTCAAAGCAAACCGGACAGACGTCATTCTCGACTTCTTCATCAAGGGACTAGTAAAGGTAAATGACGAAGACAGGATATATGCGCTCAGGGCTCACCCTCTGTTCCGTCTTGACACGTTCAACCATCACCTTGGTCAGTTTGGTCTTCAGCTGATCTACCCAAGGTTGTCCCAGTAGGCGCACGGCGCGGTCAACCTCCGCCTTCAGTTCTGCCTCGGCGGTGCTAGGGTTCTGGTCAGGTTCATCTTCTTGTTTCTCCTGAATGAGTGACGGATGGCAGCATAGCTGCTTGAGGCGTAGGATCAATACAAGGACTGGCGACGGTGTCAGAGTGTACAAGCAGAATGATAAAATGCTGAGTCACTATGTGAATAGTTCTTGAGCACGGTCCCGGCACGTCTAAGGCTTGTCAAATGAATATTCCAGAATGGCAAAGAGGTCCTTACAAATAACTATTGAAAACGGCCTGGACCTTGCCCTGCACGTGCATGTAAATCTGGCGTTCTTCAGGGCTGAAGTCCAGAACTGTCTGCACAACCTCCTTTCTGGTCAACTCGATGAGCCTCTTACCGTCCAGCATAGAGTCCTTCTTGCGCCTAAGAAGGCAGGTCTTCAGGATATGCTGGGCACGGTCGGACGCCAGCACCGGTTTTTTTTTCTGCAACTTTACCACATGCTCGTTGTAGCGCTTCCACTCCTGCCATGGCCACAGACGGATGAAACGGAAGTAACCATAAAAGTCTGCGAGGCCGTTGATGACAGGTGTGCCGGTTAAGCACCAGCGATACCTTGCATCAAGGTGTGAGACGGCCTGCGACTGACGAGTGGCCCGATTACGAATGTTGTGTGCTTCATCCAGAATAACTCGGTGCCAGGAAGCCTGGAATAGGATACCGGCTTTCCTCCTTGCGCGCTCGAGGTCGTTCGCGTCAGGCTTCTGTTGCTGCATCATTTCCTTCGGCATCTCCCCGGCCAGGGTTCCATAAGTAGTGATAACGACGTCGCGATTCTGGAGGAAATTTTTACTGTTGCTTTTCTGCGGATTCGAGGAATGGTAGATGTGGACCTGTAGATCGGTATTCGTCTTGTCCAAAATCTCCGACTTCCACTGTTCGAGAAGGGATAATGGGGCGACAACAAGAGTTGCGCGGGGTTGACCGGCGGGCGCAGGGTTCTTGCACATCAACGCGATCATCTGAACAGTCTTGCCCAAGCCCATTTCGTCGGCAAGTATTCCACCGTAGCGCTTCATTCTTGCAAACCATCAGGGAAGGAAGATACATAGCACACATAAGAGGAAACATACTGTTTATCGGTTTCTAGATCGTTCATCCACTTGACTGCAATCAGCTGGTGAGGGAGCAGGAAACACTCCATGCCAGGCAGGAGCTGCTGCTGATTCTCCAATCCGAGACCCTTCATCGCTTGCATCACACTAATATTCTCTGTGAAAGCGTTTAGCAATACTGGGGCCGACAGTAAAATATCTCACCGTCGAATATTGTCGCATTGCCGGCCGCGAGGACAAATTCATTAACGCTGGAAGAATCCTCAGCAAATCCTACTCGAGTCTATGCACTCGAAACTTACGCATCGACATCAGGTCTACGAAATGCATCGTCTACATCTTCACTTCCGTCGTCCGGCAGACGTGACGGGCCAAACGCCGGAGCTCCAGCGCCGACAAGTTCGTTCATGGTAGCCGGAATCACCTGTTTCTGCTGGGCCATGTATTGAGCCATATGTTGAGCGGCCATCTGTGCAGCGGTCTGAACGATATTTGCGCCAGCGTTGAGTCCGTTGTTTATATACTGCGCGGCGTTTTGGGCTAATTGACCGAAGCCGACCTGGCTCGGGGCGGTTGTGCCTGGGAATTGAGACGCGGATCCAGGTTGTTGCATGCCGCCTGGAGGGACATAGTTATACTGAAGTATGGCGCTTCTTGGGAGTTCCGGTGTAAATGCCGGTGCTAGACCAGTTGGGGCAAATTCGCGGGAAGGCGGCCTGGAAGGCCCAGGAGTCGGCAGCGACAGTCGGCGATCGTCTCCACTATCCTCGAGCTCGATGAGCTCGACCTTCGGTGCCAAGTCCGGACTCGATGCGTCAGGCGTCTTGATAGCGTTCATGCTGACATGTCTAGCCTGGCTCTTGACAAGATCTTCTCTAACTTTTTGCGCTTCCCCGCGTAGATCTGCTAATTCTCGTTCCTTCATCGCGATCAGAGTCTGTGCACCACCTCCGCCGAGTCGAGCCTTTCGGCGAAGTTGAATGATCTCAGCGTGGACGCGGTCGTAGTCTCCGAGGATTGTGGTGAGGACTCGTTGCAGATCGGCAGGGTTCACAACTTGTCCAAGACGGACGGGGCTGAGGCCGCCATTGGCATCGCTGGTTGAAGGAGCGGCGAAAGGCTGTAGCAGTTGTGTATGAGGGGGGTTATGGGAGGGCTGGGATCCGATAGGCTCCTGCTTCATCAATACGGGCGGCGGTCTGGGTATCTCCCAGCTGGGAATGTCCTCCACAGTCAAGTCAATGATGTCGTCATCGAAGCTCGAGATACTTGTTGACGAGGGCTGTGAGGGCAGGCTGCCGTCACCCACTCGATCAAGAGGCTCTCTCTTTACACTCTGAGTTTCCTGTTTCAGCTTCTTGAGCATAGGTGACGGTTCGTCCATAGTAAGATCGATAATGTCGTCGTCCCGAGCGTCGTTCAGATAAGCCCAGGGTCGTTTAGAAGGAACACTCTTAGGGGCTTCCTTCTCGACAACTTCGCGCTTGACGTGACGTGGTAGCGTCGCGGGTGCTTTGCCATCAAGTTGATCTAGCAGACGGCTTCGGAATCCAGAAGGACCTGCTTGCGGGGTAGCGGGAGATGATTGCGAGCCACTCGGATTACCATGATGCATATCGCAGTGCAACTGCGTCATTAGACCATTATACCGAAACAGGTTTGATGAGAACGTACCTCATAGGCAGTCAGGCTGCCGACGCCATCAGTGATGCCTCCCAACTCACGGTTGTCGTCGTACTCCAGAGTGATCCTCATCATCCTACATCCCGGATGGTAGCAAAGGATGTAGCCATCTACATCGCACATCATAGAGATCAGGCATATGGTATCCCGAAGGACGAGAGAGATACGTACAGGTCTTTCCAGGTTCCGGGTGTATGACGAACTACGACGCCTGATCAGTACACTCACCATCAACGACGGTACAGTAAGAGGCAAACGCTAATCTCTGTCGGTCTCTGTTCTAGGAACTTCGCTAGCTGCTCTACATACCCTTCGGGCACCTAGGAGGGCGTTGTCTCATCAACCGGTCAAGCAAGGAGGCAGAAGTCGTACCTTGGCCCCGTTACCCAGCTGGCGCTGAGCGACCTTTTGTGCAAGAAGCACGTAGTCCCCCGTCATGGAAGAGAAGAGAACGAAGGAGGGGGAAGAAGGGGAAAGGGGGGGAAGATGGTGGTGGTACGAAGGAGAGGAGGATGAGGCGACAAGCTCGGAATGGTTGGAGTTTGCATGCACCGATCGAGGCGTGACGGGCGCGACGCGTTCGCACAGTCACGCTTTTCACGTGTAAGACGACATGACATTTCGGAAGCTATTCGCGATGAGAATGCTTCTCTGTGGTCATTGCTACGCGTACATATGCTATAGCTAGTTATAACTCATTCAACATCGTAACGACAATAATATTGCCTATTGAAGAATCCAACTTCAGAAAAGACGTCGAGTCGTCAAACCCGGAAAGTTTCCACATTCATCCAACCTCCCAACCTCCAGCTCCAAACCCGACCCATCACAGCTCGACTCCCGACCACAGATCCAGGAATCGAAGCTCATCTTCCAGCCTCTACCCTTACCCTTCCAAACCCGACTCACCACTCGGAGCCGAGGATATCATCTTTCCCGGCAGTGTCCGACGGCGCCCAACCCCGGATCCCAGGCGAACAACTTCCCACCTGCCTAATCCGGGATGCACCACTCCCGAAAGACACCCTCGCCACGCGCTTCTGGTTTACTCCTGTTACCCCCCTTGGCGCAGGATATCTCCATTCCCCCAGCTTTCATCACCAACATCCCTCTCCCATCATCCAATCCATCGCATCACCCCCGCTCCGCGCCTTCCCTGTCAAACCCCCATCAGTCCAGCTCCGTAAGTCAACCCGCATCCATTACCGTCTTCTCCATTGGCCCACTCTCGTCAACCGCAATCAACCAACCACTAGGGGTTCTTGCGCAACCTCCCCCAGGGCATCGGCTTCGGCTTGACCCTTCCAAGCTAGTGGGCATGAGTTCTCAGATTATCTTATTCGTTCGAAGTATACTATATACGGCTATCATACCGCACAAGAGCACGCGATATCATACATGAATACTAATGGGGTCGGGATGCGTCCGCAGTGTCAGGTTGAGGGCATCACGAGGTCTATAAGTGGGGAACAAGGGCCAAATTCGGGTAGATGGTTCGTCAAACCAGACGGGCCCGAATGCAAAGGGACGATCGATCGTCTGGTGCGGAAGAAACGAGAACAAGCAAGGTGACCAATATACAAAACAAGAGATCACGGGATATTAGCGTACTTTTGGTTGGTGAGATGAAGTTCTTGGAGATCGGATGTACGGCGGCGGGCGAGTTTGCGGCCGCAGAGGCGCTCCTCAGCCTGCGTCTATGTGCATACAACGAGCCAGCACCAGTGCTGGAACGAGAAATCGAAAAGTCGAGGGGAGATTGATTGAAGGACCAGAGTATATGCGACCCGATGGCGTTATTTGGCAGTCACGTATTGCGCGACGTACTCCTCGTCCTTCTCGCCACACAGCTCGTGCACTGTCTGCCGGCTCACAATCCACTTTTCCCACCAGATGTCATGGAACAGCCCCTGACGGTTTTCCCATGGCTTCTCCAGAATGTAATGCAAGCAACGGACTTCTTCGGTGCTCCACATGGGCGTGTGGCACTGGCTAAGTGTCTTGAGGGCGTTGTAGACATATGGCAGGGGCCGCCAGCGACCACGGAAGAATTCGCTTAGAAGGTCCTGGTCTGGGAATTGGAACGTAGGCACAAGGGGAGAGGTATGGAGGAAGGTTTGGATAGCCTCGGAAGTCGTGAGGCTCGGATGGAGGACGACGAGCCCGGAATTGAGTGAGCCATACGGACGCGGGCTAGTTGGGCTGTTATCGGGATGGTTGGCCAGCGACGAGCTGCCCCTGCCGTGCATGCTCGTGTGGGCGCAGTTCTTCGGTACCCAATCTGGGGGATAGTGCGCCAGCTTGCGCGGGTTGCAGGCGCACACGTGCGCCGCAGCGACCCAGTCGCGTGAAGGCAAGGGCATGGTCATGAGCTCGTCCATGTTGTGCAATACGACCATGTCGCTGTCCATGAGGACGACCCTGTCGTACTCCTCAAGCTCGAATACGCGAAGCTTGTTCCACGTCTCCTCGAATCGCTTGAACGCGCCTGACCACTCGTACGCTCCCTGGTTCGGCACGAGGGGCTGAACATCGCGGCATTGGATATCGTGTGCTGCGAGGATACGACGGGCACGGGCGGGGAGTTGGGGTGTGCAGATGACGAGGAGAGGGTATGCGGAGCCAACTTCCCGGAATGTATGCGCGAGGGTGATGACTCCTGGGAGATAGGAAGACTTTGTCAGCAGGGTTACCCAGGCACAGCGGGCTGGGCGTGGAGTGTATGCAGCCTGGTAGGTAGATACGACGTTAGAGTACGGGGATGATACGGAGATGGAGGGAGAGATGGGGAAGGATGAAGGTATTGACTCTTTGTGGTAGTGGGGGTGACGGTGGGGAGCGATGGTGAGCCCTCCACTGTCGGACAAGCGCCGGGAATGGATCATGGTGGTTGTGGATGACGTGTGTTATTGTAAGGGAGGATGGTGTGAGGAGGAAGAGAAGCGTGGGAGGAGGGGAGGAGATGGAGGTGTGGGACGGGGAAGTGAGACTGTCATTGAGTGAGGGTATTTGTAGGGGACTGAGGGGGGGGAAGTGAGTGTGAGTGGGTGGAGCAGGCGGCGTCGGGACTGAATTGGCGGGAGTGGTCTGTGTGCGTGTATCCGAGATGGGGGGAGAGAGAAAAGAGAGAGAGGTGAACTCTGCCTGTCTCCCGATCGGATGAGCCGTGTTGCCGTGTATGGATAACGCAGAGGGGTCCCGCCCTCTCCGACAGAGCCGTGACCAGGGCAAAAAAAGTGAACGAATGTCAAGGACCCCGAAAACTCGGATCGTCCTCACGCTTCCTTCATCATCCACATCAGCATGTTTTAGCTCATCCCGTCATTCCCCTTTATCCTGCGCCATTCTCGGCATCAACCCACACTAAAATATTCACACTCTATGAGCTTTAATGCACGTGCTCTCCAATCCTTTGGTACCCGACACCCTCAAGACAACTCCCGTGATCTCCCCCATCTTCAATTATTATGATTAAATTTACCTGCTCTCTTTTTGCATTCATGTCGCCCACGATCGGTCGCCGCCATCAGACGCACAATTCCATCGTCGTGTCCGACTAAGGCAGCGAACCTTCTTTCTTCCCTGCTCTCTTCACTCCGGATCCTTCTCTCGACCATAAATCCATTCCATTCATGATCGCCCCTTTCAGTCCGGATCCATCCATCAGCGGCGCACCTCCTTCGGCCTCAGTACTTCCTTTCCTTTTCCAGCCGCGCTAATTCACGCGCTGGCATTGTCTCGCGCAACCATTTAGCACGTTGCCATCGCACCCGAATGCGGAAGCATGACAATATCATCTCATGATGAGCTCGAAGTGGCCGAAAGAAAAACAGACCGCGCTTCTACGCAGTGATTTATTACGACATTCATTCACCTCCCTGCCTTCGCAGCAAGATGTTCTACCATGCACACCGTGCTGATGCGCCCGAGGAGAACGTGTGTCGGCGAATCAATCTCACCGTGCTTTCGGCCATTTCCTTTCCAGCTGAGCGCTCCTTCCTCTGATGAGACGCCTTTCCCACCGGCACCCGGCTCGCCCATATTCACACATCTATGTCGCCGCATTATCGGGACGGTACTGGAGCTGCCGCCACGCTTGGCATAATGCATCACTCGGACTGGGATTAACCTGAACGATTTAGCCAGAACCCCGGCTCTACGTAAGGAGGGGCCCAGCTTGGCTGGCCTTCGATCTCAAAGTGAGTGCGGGAATTCAAATCGTCCAAAGATGGATAGCTGATAGAGCTCACAACAGCCCACACGGACCTATTCCAGGCGGCGTGTGTCAGCGGACCCCAGCCGCGGCAGAACGACGCACGCCCGCAAAAGGGGTCAACGTCAATATATCGCCCACTGCCTTCTCTTGGTCCTGCGTCGGCAAACGCCGAGGAATTTCGAGACGGAAGGGGCTGGAGCGGGGCTAGAAGCAGCGGCATACCTTTGGTTGTTGGGTTTTCCCATGCAAGGAAGTGTCATGGGATTCTGGGCATGGAAATCGCCGTTCGCGCCATCCACCTCCACGGTTGCGCTGGATCGTGGAAAGATGGCAACTAGCCAATCAGCAGCCGCCATTGGATGCAGGAACAACTTCCGGCTTTGGTAGGGACCGACTACCACACGGTCACGGTGAGAAAGAGAGCCCTGAGGTCCCAAGGATGTCCCGGACGAACGGCGCGTGCGGTGCCGCATTACGATTCCGGCAAATGGGGACGTGGACTCACATTCTGGGGATCTTAATCAGCGAAGACTGAGTCATGGAACTCTCTTCCTGTCTGTTCTGGATACCAACCGAATCAGAAGAAGAAACGTCAATAGAGAAAGCTTGATGACAATCATAGGTAGAAGAGGACCGTCACTGCTCCCGTCAGCTTTCCGTTCTTGAGGCAAGCAAACCCATGCACCGAAACGGTTCCTTCTCGGCCCGATGAACAGAGAAGTGTACCTGGATCGGGAGACACGGGCCTGCGCCTCGCGGGTCATGCGAGCAGAGCCCGTTCCCGGTTTGAAGTGGCATCATTGGGAGCACGGTGAACGTGAAAAAAAGAAGGAAGGAAGGAAGGAAGGAAGAGGGAGATGAGATAGAGGACCTGGAAAAACCGATGGAATGGGAAAATGGCGCATGAACATGATGAGCAGAAGTAAAGTGACTCGGTGGGTTGATGATGTCCCATATCTCGCGTTCTGAGATAAGCCGCTGGTCGCGGGAAGAAACTGGTAGCGGTTGCTGGGCGACGACAGATGAATAATCTTAGTGTGATCAGCGTTCGTCCATCCGAAGTTCAGGCTGGTCATTTTTAGCATTCAACCAACATTGCCAGAAGGATGACTCGACTGGTCTTCCACCGACGATCTCGCCGATTGATTCAAGCTCGAGAAAATCAAGAACAGAAGCTGCGCCGTTCAGCGGGGATCGTCATCTCATGAAGCAGAAGGCCTTATTACAATACGAGAACCGAGCGTGCCGGTACCAGCTGCAGGGACGGTCATCTCCCCTCTCCCGGTCGTTATCACAACGCGTTGCGGGCCGTCAAGCTACCGTTGAGGCGGTTATGGATTCGATTCTCCCGCAAAGGCGGAGAGGAACACCCGCTGTTGAGCGGGAGGGACCGGGTGGGGAGGAACGACCCGCCGGTCGGTCGGCGGTTGATTGTAAGAGGCAAGTGCTGGCCATATGTGTGGATATACCGCGGTGCGATGGGCCGTGTGCATATATTGGGAGAACGACGGAGAGGGAGATGGTCGTCGGTTGGGAAGATGTACTTTGTTGGGGGAGACGGTGCGGATCGGCAGGGATCTGAGCGGTCCAGCGGTGCCTTCAGCGGTTCAGCTCGAGAAGTCGAGTAGCGGTCGCAGCATCTCGTGCAGATGGTCCAGCAACGATTGGTACCGCAAGGCAGAACCCAGCTAGACAGGCATGTCAAATACACGCAAGCTGAGTGGACCGATAGCGTTGAGTTACAGCAGATACGTCCATTTGCCTAGCAGAAGTTCTGTAGCCGAAGAAGACACGGGAACTCTGAGAAGTGAGCAGGGGGCCAGCAAGAAGCACAGAGGGCGAACGCCGTCGCGCCACTCACGGTCGGCATTCTCCGTGGGTATCACGCGCTCCCTCCCTCGGCAAATCGGGAAACAGGGTCTTCCACAAGATCAGTTCTCAAGCCGCTTTTTGCTCGCACGTTTGTTCGAATAAACCGGCGTTGAACCCCAACCTTTTTTTTCCTGTTACTCTCGGGGGTCTGGCTGAAGTTCATTATTCATTGCGAAGAGCCCAGACTCCTGCCTTTGCTGGCTTTGCGTCAGATAAGATGTTTAATAGAGTCCCGACTTCCTTTTTTCGTCCATGGCTCGGGGTTTCGGTCCGCGGATCAGAAGATCTTCGGCATCGGGCGTTGTACCGGGTTGTTGATACCGTCTGCATATCGTCGATCTTGTGTATTGTTGTTGTGGGATTGATATTGCCGCTGGTTGGCAGGCGCGCATACAGTACGAGACCGACGTTATCGGCATGCAGGAGAATATAAAAACGCCCATAGAGCCTGGAATGTTTCAGTTAATAATATCCCCCCCTCGGAGTTCCTCGAGTCTCACCAACCTGATGACGGGTTTCTGCCGTATGACGAAAAGCTTGGTAGACCTGCTATATGGAGCTCGCCGCCGGTGTCGAATCCTGGAGTGATAAGCCGGCGTTGCGGGAGTTCGGATGGTGCTATCTCCGTCTACTCCTATGGATGGCTGGTCGAAGAACTGCATATATTGGAGGGAGAGTGTGTTGGAAGTGTGCGGTCATAAACTAGATTGGGATATGGTTGGATGAGCGCAGATGGGGAAGGAGGGCGATAGGGGAGGTTGACGGGCAGGTGGGCAAACAGGGGTGTGCGATATCGCATCATTGCATTGTTGTGCATAGCGATAGCCAACAGCGTCTAGTGCCTTATCCATGACATCGACAAGACGCGGCACTACAAGCACAGTAAGAGATCAACGTGATATCCTCAGATAGTTCTCAGTGGCAGTGCAATAGTTGAAGGCCTGCTCACGTGAGAGCGGAATCTGTCACGCCTTTGCGCGGTGTGTGATGTGCGACTCGCGTTTCTTCTGTTGAAGTGGTACATAGGACAAAGGCTCTCCTACTTGGCACTCGACGTTCGATATCGACGTTGACACCGACGTTCACCAGTCATCCTCGTCGACATCTACAACGACCTCGACAACAACCTCGACAACAACCTCGACAACAACCCGAGGTTTGCTCGACAGCATCCTACGAGTCCGTCAGATCCCCAACCGTTCAACATTCCCGAGCATACACTCACCGGAGTAACCTAGTGAGCGGCCCATGACCGCTCCCTCCTACCCCTCTCCCTCTCCCTCCCGTCCCGCTCATCCGTATCCCTCCCCCTCCTCAGTCCGCGACCCGCGCAAACTCTACCCTTCCCAGCTCGCGCACGGTCGCCCCACACCTCTGCACCGCAGAGGCACGTCGAGCAAGTACGAGTCGCTAGAAGACCTGCTCGTCGAGCATGGCTACAAAGAAGTGCGCATCGTTACCCCGCTCATGGAACGCGAGCGAGAGGGAAAGGAAAGGAAGCCTAGTTTGGCTAGCTTGCTTGGCTCCAGGAAGGCTGGGGTGGTGCTAGACGCTCATGCGCCTGGGCAGAGCGCGGTCGACCTCCTACGGCAACTGGTTAGCGGGTTCCCAGCAGGGTTCCAACCCCCCACACCGGCGACATTACAACGTTCCCAAACCCCTTCTCCCAACTTTCACCGCGCGATCCTCTCCCCCATACCTCAGCGACCTAAACCGACGTTCCTAGCTTCAGACCCCTATTCCCGACCTCGAACTCCCCGCAAGCTCAGTCATTCCCGCTCGACGCCGCATCTCCGCCGCCCGCTAACCCCGCTCACCAACCGGCCCTCCCGGCCCAGCACCCCGCTGACCTGCGTCGAGCCCGCCAGACCGGTAATCACCCCTACTCGAGTGCAGTGCCGTTCTCGCTCCGGGATGAGACCGAGGACACCCGCGCAGGTCTCACCAGGCTCACCCCCGCTCCCGCTCTTGGCCCCTTCTCCTCCCCCTTCCCCACAGAACCGGAAACGCCGCCCAACGCCAGTGCAGCCAACGCGTCAGCGGTCTATACGCGCGTTACGCGCCCACCTGGCTCGGGAACAGCGTGAGCGGCAGAGAGAGCGCGATCGGGGGACGGGGAGGGGGGAGAGTCCTGAACCGGACTTTTCTGATCCGGGGATGTTGAGAGAGGGGAGTATGCTTGATGGGGAAGGAGAGGAGGGGGAGGAAGAGGAATGGGCGTTGGGGACGAGGAAGAGGGGGGAGAAGAGGATTTGGGGTTGGTAGGCCGTGGGATGAACTTATGATCATTATGAATTTCTGCTTTTTTCACTTTTTATTTCTGCTTTACCGTTTCTCTTTTTTCTTTCTCTTCTTCTTTCTATTCCTCTTTTGTGATGGATTCGTCCTGTGATGTCAGTTTCTCTCTCTCTCCATTTTGGTCTCTGGATGCATCCTCCTCCTCCTCCATCAGCTCCACTCACCTGCTCGCTCGCTCGCTCTCGTTCCTTCTCACTGTCTTCCACAAGATCCTACACTTACAGTCGTTCCTTCACACCTGCTTGTGCACTCGTTCATTTTTCATATCTCCGATCATTCATAACCGCCATCCATTCACTCTTTCATCCTAGCTCTCACAAAAGAAACAAAGAACGCATACCGTACAGTACTCACAGTCTTTTCTGCATTGTCCTAGATGTCGATCGTTAAACTAGTTGAATTGGAATCCCATTAAAGGAAGTAGTAAGAAGTATTAGTGGATGAATATCGGCCGAATGAATCGTGACTCGCCCTCCATTCATCAGGGACTGTCCACCTATAAATATATTTCACATACTCAACACTCACACTTGCATTCCCCTCTAACACAAACAATGTCTACTCGAATACAGCAAGCAACAGCGCGTCTTCAGTCACTTCCCTCTATTGCACTCCCCACTGACTACCCACGTCCTTCTCCTCTCCGCCTCGTAGAAGCAGTCCAGTCACACGACCTTCCACTCACAACATCCCGCGCTCTCCTCAAGCTCGCTCTCTTCCAAGAAGGCGACGAAGGCGACGTCGCCGTATCCCCAGAAACGCAGGAACAGCCCACCCCATTCCAGCTCTTGCTCGCTGCCTTCGTCCTCCTCCTACATAGGTACACAGGCGACACAGACCTCCTCATAGGCAGCAAAGCGCCCAGCACGCCTGACCCGCTCATCCTCCGCATCTCTGTCGAACCTAACGACCCCTTCTGGTCAGTCGTACGTCGTGTACAGAGCACGGAACGCGATGCAGAAGCCTGTGCGGTGCCTTATGAAGACCTGCTCGCTGCTCTCCGCTTGCCGAGCGTGACGCCCGACTCACCGGCAAGTGTCTTCCGCGTGAGGTTCTTCGATGGTACCGACCGCCCGCCAGATGGGTTCTTGCAGAGCACGACGCTCACGACGGACTTGACGCTGTACGTCACTCGGTCTGCTGCTGCGGACTCTGCGCGCGCGAGTCTGCTACCACAGTTGAGCCTGTCGGTAGCGTACAACTCGCTGCTCTTCACTTCGGCTAGGATTGCGCATCTCACAGCCCAGCTATCCCAGATCCTCGTCGCTGCCGCCTCAGACCCGCTTGCACCCGTATCCTCCATCTCCCTCCTCACGGTGGAACAGTCCAAGGTGCTCCCCGACCCGCGCGCAGACCTCAACTGGTGCGGTTGGGCAGGAGCCATCACAGACATCTTTTCGCGCAACGCCGCTTCCCACCCGGAGAAGACCTGCGTCGTCCAGTGTCTCCCTCTCCAGGGAGGAGTGCAGCAGAGAGTCGCGTACACGTATGACCAGATATGGAGAGCGAGCAACATCCTTGCACATTGTCTGGTCCAAGGAGGCGTGCAGCAGGAAGAAGTCGTCATGGTCTATGCGTACAGGAGCGTAGAGCTCGTCGTAGCCGTAATAGCGGTGCTCAAAGCGGGCGCGACGTTCTCCGTCATCGGTGCGTTTACACCCACTAGCACGAGTGATACCTAACACAGTTACAGACCCCGCCTATCCCCCAGCAAGACAGATCATCTACCTCAAAGTCGCCAAACCCCGCGGCCTCGTCGTCCTCTCCGGCGCAGGGCAGATCGCCCCCCAAGTCAGGGAATACATCACCACGGAGCTCGACATCCGTGTCGAAGTCCCCGCCGTCTCCCTCACCCCCTCCACGGTGCTCGGCGGACCAGGCCCCAACTCACAAGACATCCTCGCCCCCTTCGCCCCTCGTTCCGGGGAGAACCCAGCGATAACCCTAGGCCCAGACTCGATCGGCACTCTCTCGTTCACCTCTGGCTCCACTGGTGTGCCAAAAGGCGTCCGAGGGCGACACTTCTCCCTCACCCATTTCTTCCCCTGGATGGCGACCCGCTTCAACCTCTCCTCCTCTTCGAGGTACACCATGCTCTCGGGCATAGCGCACGACCCTATCCAGCGGGACATCTTCACTCCTCTCTTCCTGGGCGCGGAGCTCTGGGTCCCGACAAGCGAGGACATTGGCACTCCCGGCCGGCTAGCAGAGTGGATGCGCGATGCGGGTGTAACAGTGACCCATCTCACACCGGCCATGGGCCAGCTCCTGAGTGCGCAAGCCAGTGCCCAGATCCCCCATCTGCGAAACGCATTCTTCGTCGGTGATATCCTTACCAAAAAAGACTGTCTCCGGCTCCAAGGCCTCGCTCCCAACGTCCGTATCGTCAATATGTACGGGACGACCGAGACCCAGCGCGCGGTGTCGTACTACGAGATCCCGGCTCGGGCGGAGCATCCCGCCGCTTTGCAGGAAATGAAGGAGACGATCCCTGCCGGCCAGGGGATGGTAGACGTCCAGCTGCTCGTTGTGAACCGGCATAATAGGGAGATAAAGTGCGCTGTCGGCGAAGTCGGGGAACTGTATGTCCGCAGTGGGGGGTTGGCGGAAGGCTACCTAGACCAGGAGAGCACGAGCACCAAGTTTGTCCAGAATTGGTTTGCCCAGGGACTGATGTTCGGGGACTCGATCGATGGCCCGGCTAGGCGCTACTGGAAGGGCGTCAGGGACCGTATGTACCGGACTGGCGACTTGGGACGGTACTTGCCCTCCGGGCTCGTGGAGTGCACAGGGCGCGCAGATGATCAAGTCAAGATCCGCGGATTCAGGATCGAGCTGGGAGAGATCGATACCTGCCTTGCCCAGCACCCCGGGGTGAGGGAGAACGTCACCCTCGTCCGGCGTGATAAGAACGAGGAGAAGGTACTTGTGAGCTATTTTGTACCTATGGAAGGGATCGACGAGTGGGAAAGCGAGGTCGACGCCAAGGACGAGGAGGGCGCTGTGTCCTTCAGCAGGAGGTATAGGAGGTTGATCAGGGACATACGCGAGCATCTGCGCAAGAAACTGCCTAGCTATAGTATCCCCTCTCTGTTCGTCCCGCTCTCGCGCATGCCCCTCAACCCGAACGGAAAGATCGACAAGCCCGCATTGCCCTTCCCGGATACGGCTGCTGCTGCGGCAGCAGCATCGACCGCCGCTCCGACGGATATGACCCCTACCCAGAAGACGATCCACGATATCTGGGCTCGGCTGCTTCCTACTCCTTCTCTGCCCATCTCGCTCGAAGAGAACTTCTTCGACCTCGGCGGCCACTCGATCCTCGCCACGCGGTTGATATTCGAGCTTCGCAAGACGTACGCTATCGACGTCCCCCTTGGGCTCGTCTTCGACTCCCCGACAATTGCCGGCTTGGCAGAGGAGGTCGACTTGCTCCGCCAGGTGGACTTTGGTCTGGCGAAAGACACTGCTCCTGAGGTCAAAGTTCCTGTTAGTGGGAAGAAGCCTGTTCCAGCACCGGCGGACGAGTACTCCAAAGACTTTGATGCGTTGTTGCCCAAGCTTAAGCCTTCCTACGCCCCTCTTCCCCCGGATTTCGCCACGAAGAAGCTTACGGTCTTCCTCACTGGTGCAACGGGCTTCCTCGGGGCGTTCATCCTCGCCGACTTGCTTGCGCGGCCCGAACGTGTCGCTAAAGTCATCTGCCTCGTTCGGGCAAAGGACGAAGCTGCAGCACTGGCCCGCTTGAGGGAGGGCAGTATAGGCCGAGATGTCTGGGACGAGAAATGGGTCACGGACGGTAGGCTGCAAGTCGTCAAAGGTGACTTGGCTGAAGAACGTTTTGGCCTGTCGGTTCAAGTTTGGGATTCAATTGCCACGCAGGCTGATGCCGTGCTGCATAACGGCGCATTGGTGCACTGGGTCTTCCCGTACTCCAAACTGCGGGCGGCGAACGTCCTCTCCACTCTTACCGCTCTGGAACTCGCCTCCACACACAAGTCCAAAGCATTGTCGCTCGTTTCCTCCACATCTGATATCGATACAGAGCATTACGTGCGATTGTCAGATTCTCTGTCAGATGGCGATCGTACCGGTGTACCGGAAAGTGACGATATTGAAGGTGCCCGGACTGGGTTGAAAACGGGTTATGGCCAGTCCAAGTGGGTTGCGGAGAAGCTTCTGATGGAAGCTGGAAAGCGCGGCCTGCGGGGACATATCGTTCGCCCGGGCTACGTCGTCGGCCATTCAACGTCCGCCGTCACCAACACGGATGACTTTGTCTGGCGTTTGGTCAAGGGATGCATTCAGCTCGGTCTGGTGCCAGATATCCACAACACGATCAACATGGTGCCCGTCGATCACGTCGCAAGGATCACGGCTCTGTCCGCCATAGACGTCCCTACCAACACGTTCCCCGTTTTGCACGTTGCCGCACAGCCAGCCGTGCGCTTTAATGATCTCCTCCTTGGTCTATATCACTATGGGTACAAGGTCCAGCAGATCGAATACCTCGTTTGGCGGCGCAAGCTCGAGGAGCATGTTCTTGAAGTACAGGACAATGCGCTTTTCCCATTGCTGCACTTTGTCGTTGATGACCTACCCACGAGCACGAAAGCGCCCGAGCTGAGCGACAGCAACACTGTTGCCCTCCTGACGAGGAATAACTCGCCAGATAGTATGACTGTGGATGAGGCTCTATTAGGCAAGTACCTCGCCTGGCTTGTTGCGACTGGCTTCCTGGAAAACCCGACGGAAAGCGGAAAGCCGTTGCCCAAGCTGAATCTGCCAAATGGACAGGTGAAAGCCATTGGCCGATCTGGTATGTAGATGCCAACCAAAAGGAATAGATCCTAGTATAGATCTACTGTATATCTAAATGAAATTTTGAATTTCAACCACTTAAAACGGCATTGCTTCCGCAATTCAAGTCGTGTGCACCTTCATTCATGCCTTTGTCTTGTCAGGCTCGTGATTGTAATAACACCCTTCACCGGAATGTCCTCTGCCGTCTCACCACCAGACGATGCACTTATACCTGTCGTAAAGACACTTCGGGCGTCGCTGCCCACCTTGGGAGCGGCAAAATTGCTTGCTGTTCTCCTGACAGAGCACCCAGAATGGACAGTGTCTGAAAAACGCTTCAAGAAGCTTCTTCAGACTGAGGGGCTCGCACTGTCTGGGGGAGCCGTGGGGGCAACAAATGACAAGAAGATAAAGAACACTGACACCAAAACCAACAAATACCCCGCATCGAAGCTCAACCCGCATCTTGACATCACGACATTTTCCGATAAAATCGACGCTGTATTCATTAGTCCGCAGAAGGGAAAGGGGCTAGTAGCTAAGCTTCCGATCGCTGAAGGGGAGGCGCTTTGGAGGGAGGATCCGTTCGTGCATGCCGCAGACTGGTGAGTCATGTCAAGACACTAGAGTTTCTCGTACTCACGAGTCTATTCGCAGGGACGTGTTTGACCTTCAGCAATCTGGCAATGCCTGTCAATACTGTGCACTTCCCTTCATACCTGCACCTCCAACGCTCGCAGTCTCGTGCCCTGCCATATCCCACGGCTGTAACGCAGCATTCTGTTCTCGTCTTTGCTTAACGCGTGCACAGCAGGGTGGTCACTCTCTGCTCTGCCGCGGTCGCAATCCTCCTTCGAAAGACCTGTTAGACTTTGCACGAAAAGAGCAATGGCGCGCGGTGATTGCTCTCGCGGTTGCTGTTGCTAAAATCATGACCGCCTTCGAGCGTTCCGATTCTGAAGGACAGGATATGCTAGAGGCATGGGGAACATTCGCGACCCTCGACCAGGAAGATCGAGCAAAGACGCTACCAGAGTGGGAGTTCACGCAAGAGAGGCACAGAGCGCTGTGGAATATGGACTACGACCATTTCGTCACCACTCTCTGCCCTCCAGAGACGGATAAAGCGGCGCAGACGAGACTGAGGAAGATCGTCAAGAAGACGCTGTCAGAGGATGTGCGGACGGAGTTGTTCTCGTACCGAGGATTCCTCCGTGGACTGGGTCGGGTGTCACTGAGTGAGTCTCCTCAGGTCAGGTTGCACTCTGACTGATGCATGTGCAGATCTCGACTCGCATGGTGGACTCTTCCTCTTGCATTCCCATATGAACCACAGCTGCATCCCCAACATGGCAGTCAAGCACCCACCGGCTGCCCAGGCACAAAAGTACCCCAGCTCTCGCATCGCCCTCGTTGCGAATCGGGACATCCAACCGGGTGAGGAACTCACGGTGACATACGTCAACCCGACGTGGCCGTATCGACGTAGAAAGGAGGAACTGAAAGAGTGGGGTGTCGAATGCGACTGTGAGCGTTGTGAGCAGGAGAAGAAAGATGAGCCTGAGGAGGAGGAAGATGAGGAGGCGAATGATCTGGCGAGGGAGCTGAGGATGAGCTTTGGTGTGTGATGTGCCGTGCTGTAGTCCAGTTTACTGTGTCACCTGGGTTAGTGGAAACAATACAAGATGACGTTTAATTCATGCGTTATTCTTTCCATTCTACATGTCAACCCGAGATAACATTGATCAGTCGTCGAGGATTCCCTTTGCTGCTCCACCTTCAACATGATATCCCTCTATACGGCCCGCACGGAACTCTTCTGCCATGTCGGCCAGAGTCATCCACTCTACTCCCTCGTGAGTGTTGATATACTCGATCAGTCTATATGCCTGATTAACATCTATCGCGAGGTAGATTACAATGCACTCACTTCTCATGCAGGAGCATCACCTGGGCCTTGCCGCTAACTTGAGGGTGGATAGAAATGGGGAAGACGAACGTGTCGTATTCTCGGTAGTAGAAGTCAAATTGCGACTTCCAGAGTTTGAGCACGACATCTGGGTCAACAAATCCGTGCTGGAATGCTGTTAGTTCAAGCATTCTGCCACTGACAAAGGATTGGAATACTTACCGAGGGCCTGCCCGTGACGTAGCTCAGAGGAGCTGATTCCCAGTCAGCCTGGCCACTGTCAAAATCATATCGGTCGCTTACGCCAATCATCCAGATGCCAGTTAGCAGGGACTTCGACAACGTTGCTGTGAGTGAGTTCCCCCATCGGCTTCATCCAGTGGGAAGGATCCTTCGAGTAGTCCGTCTCCACCCATGTCTGATCCATCTTAGGCACCCAGTACATCTGACAGTCATGGTGCATGAAACTGTGATCGTACTTGATGCCAGCTTCTTCCAGAAGACGGACGGTGTCTTTGGTTGTCGCCCATCCGGGGGCAGTATAGCCCACAGGAGGCTTGCCGGTGAACGCTGTAATGACATCCACACACTTGGTCAAGACGTCTTTCTGTTGCTGGGTCGTGAGTTTGGTCATGATTTCATGTGTATAGCCGTGGATTGCGCTATTGCATTTAGCATTATGATAATCACGTGAGAGAGATACGAACATTTCATGGCCACCGTCACGAATTTTGGCAATTTGCTTCGGGAATGTTTCGATACTATGGCCGGGAGTGAAAAAAGTTGCTTTGATGTTGTACTTCTTCCACAACCCAAGCAGTCGATCCACGCCCACGGTGGCACCAAAAATGCCCCGAGAAATGTTGGTAGCATCAGCCTTGTCGCCGTTCTGCGTGTTGATCCTATTACCATATCGGGTTAGGGCTGGGGTCTGATGGGCGCTAATCAGCGGCAGATTTCGCGCCGTCATACCATCCGGAGACCGCATCTACATCGATGCCATAACCACAAAGTACACGCTTCTTTCCCATGTCGATTTTACAGCAATAATAGAGCAAAAGCAGGAGTAAGATGTTTTGAGAAACATTTTGTGTAAGCAAGTTAAGTGAAGGCGTTATGATTGCGAGCTGGCGGGTTCAGATCGGGTCCCAAACCCGAACAGCCGATTGGGGGTAATTCAGTTCGCATGTCTCAAAGCTTCTAGATCTCTCTTTCGTCCTTTCCTGTTCGGGTTGAAAGTCACACACTCGAGAATTGTCGACATTAATTCTCAGTGCCTCAACCTTCCGTCGGCGACGGAGGAAAAGAAGGACCAGACTTTGTGCAACCCGGCTCGCCGGTCGATCAGCCGCCGGCAGAGAAGGTTGGAAACATCAATTCCTATGGATCATCGCAACTCAACTCCGATATGCTGCAGAGTATAGCTTGTACGCGAAAGGATGGAGCTTGGGCTAGAATGGTCTTCTTGACGAATATCTTCGGTTCCCGATTGTCTGGATGCTTCCGGACTCTTCCCGTGAAGTTAATGCGCACCTTCTAGCGCGAGATAGTCCTGCGGCCGCCATAGACTCCGCGTCTTCTCTTGCAGGCTTGATACTTCTGGGTATTCAAGAAGACATGGCATTTGTGCAGTCTTACTCAGTGTCTTTTGACTCTCTCTCTCTCTCGCTGAAAGATGGACCTTTTGACGTATGATGAGTATTCGCGACATCTTGTGCATAGGTATGTTCTTGATTCAGCGGGTCGTCATCTCCCACCTGATACCAGTTCAGTCATGCACACGAGGGCGACATTCCTGGAAGCGTGTATCTGAAAGCTGAGGGTAATCGTGCTTGTACCACGTCACCATCGCCTGCTTAGAGATCATTTGCTCTAGACGGTGATGACACGAAGGGTACTTATGGTCAAGCTATCTTCCCTATTCCGTCTGATGACCCAAATGATCCATTACAAGTGTGTACCACTCTGCAAAGGACTCTATGCAAAGCAAACTGACGATTATCTTGGGTAGTGGAACAATACCAAGAAGACGATTATTCTCATTATCTGCTGCCTATATTCCTTTATCAGCAACAGCGCGACGCTTGGCCCGTCAGTGTACATCGGCATTTGGGCAGAGGAGTTCTCAGTCAGTCCATCGACCTCATCCGGACTCCTCTCTTATCCCAACCTTGCCTATGGCTTTGGAAGTCTGTTTCTTGTTCCGTTGTACCTGAAGATTGGGCGTCGACCAGTTATGCTCGGCTCCCTCGTTGTGGTGAGTTGCATTTACGGGCATGATCTAGTGTTCGCGACTAAGCATCTTGCAGTTCCTCGCCGGACTTATTGCAGCATCGCAATGCACAACTTTCAACAGCCTAATGATCTCGCGAGTCATCCACGCGTTTGCATCTGGCGTTGTGAGGCGCTTCCAGTTCAGCTGGTTAACGACATATTCTTCTTGCACGAGCGTGGCAAGCGCATTGGGTACTACACATGTTGGATTTTTTCTCTGAAGTCTCAGACACTGATCTCACCTTGTCTGCAGTCTCTCTGTGTATGGGTGCCACCGGTCCGCTCTATGCCGGCTACATGCTTGCCGGCTACATGCTTGCCGGTGGATACTCCTGGCGCCTGTACTTCTACGTCGAGATTGCTTTTGCCGGTGCACTGTTACTTGCCGCGTTCTTCTTTGTGGAAGAGAGCGCTTACAAGCGAGCTACACCACAGGAAGACCACGCTGAGAAACCGAACAACGGCACGGTCGATAGCCCTACAAAAGAGAAGCCGGGCGATACCATCCATTCTGTCGCTGTTCCTATGCGAAAGAGCTTCCTCCAGACGCTTAATCCTTGGAGCTCGATCGACCACGAAGTATCCTTCTTGATGACGATGATCCGTCCGTTCACGTATTTCGTGGTGCCTGCTGTCTTTTGGGTTATAACAACTTACGGGATCTGCATCGGACTCGGCGCGGTTACCTTCAACTACACATTCCCTCTCAAGATCACGGCGCCTCCATACAATTGGAGCGAAGTAAGTGCATCTGGTCTGGACATGGAGGCAGGTACTTACAGGATACACAGACCAACTCTGGTCTCATCGCCGTAGCGTCCATTATTGGCTACTCTCTTGCCACACTGTTCGCTTCCTCCTCCGACGCCGTCGCACCTTATCTGACCCGCAAGAACGACGGTGTCCGCGAAGCAGAGATGCGACTCTCTGTGATGTTACCAGCAATGCTCATCGCACCGGCCGGGCTAGTCTTGTATGGCCTGGCGGCGCAAAATGATCTGCACTGGTTTGCGTATTTCGCAGGCGTGGCAATGGAGACATGGGGTTCCTACTTCTATTTCTCGTTTACGCTCACTCGATCGATTCCTACTATGCGAACACGAGCGAGATGCTGATTGCCATGAACCTCGGAAAACAAGCGATCGCCTTCGGTATGGCGATCTACCTTCTTGACTGGATCCTGCAGTACGGGTTTGCAGTGATGATCGCGGGCGTATTCACGGGTCTCCTACTGGCGAATAACCTGCTGTTGCTCGTCTTCATGATTTGGGGCAAGCGTATCCGTGTGTGGACGTCCAAAACGTGGCTCGCACAAGTACACAAGAGCACCATCACTCAAGTTATGGGGCATTGATCGAGTCAAGGCGTAGATCAGACGTCAATGCAGCAGGTACTTGGAGTTGGGTTGTCTTGATGTCTTTAGAAGGGTCTGGTGCGTAGTTGATATTCCTGTAATCCGAGCAATGCAATTGTGCATTGGTTTGCAACAGGGTGCCGTTGTCCTGTATGAGGTTTGACGCCTGTCGAGATGTAGGAATAGTACTGTGTCGGACTGAAGCGTGTGCGTCAATATTGGTTTTGTTACCATTACGTCATTGGGGTTCTAAGACAGCGCTTCTACGAGAATCGTGCCATTCGTACACAAGAGTGAAATCATGAGAAGTGCGTTGAATTAGATACAACACAGTTAAGGAAGTCTGTCAGGAAGAAGCAAGGGAATGTTGTAAGCTTCGGCAGGTCCACGGAAATGGAATTCGTCATAGATCTTCCATTCATTCGGAGCGACTTTGAGCAACGACAAGCGGCCAAGCCAAACTTCTTGCAATGTGGGATTTCGCTGACCCCATCTAAGCACGGTTTGCTCCGCCCACTTGGCATTCGCATCGTCTGGCATGTACAGCAGATTTAAAGGGTGTGAGCCGCCCCCTCGGCAACGGAAGCGTATGCTCTTGCATGCTTTCATCTTTGAAAGATGTGTTGGCATGGCGTTTCCCAAGAACCCCTGGGTGATGTCAGCTGGAAATCATAGAAATCAGGAGAGACAGGTTCGACCTTTGATATATAATTGGTTGATTGGACCCGTAGTTCCTCTAGTTGTGGGAATAATCTGGGGAGATCCACTATCCACTCTTCATCGACGTACATCTCTTCAAATTCTAAGAATAAGAGGTGCCTTGAGGACTTGGTAAAGGCTTGGAAGGTTTCCTGCATATCTCCTTGCTGATCGCCGAACTTGCTTGTCGTTGTGATGGAGAGCCATGTGACTGGCCGACCAGGAACTAACATCTCTGCCAGCTCGCAAGATCCTTTGAACTCCTCTAATAAAGGCAGAGCATCCGGGGGGATCGAGGAAATATGGACTTTAGGGTGAAGGTGAAGCAACCGAATGTGCGATTGGTTAATCAGGGTATCGTGCAGAAGTAGGTAAGGATCCCCATTCTGCGAAGCACGTTCGACGAGAGGAAAGCGGAGGGACGTTAAGCAGGTTCCAGATATGATGTGCAAGGAATCGAGCGCAGCGGAACTGTTGTAAGCGGCGCCATCCAAACTGAGTTTGTGAAGATTTGTTACGTTGACATGTGACAGAATTGCGGCTGACGTTGGGGTGCGGGACGTTTCCTGCCACGATATCTCGAGTGACACGAGTTGTTTGCCGCCACAGCGATTGTCGGCCACCGCAGTGTGGATGCGGTCCTTGGGAAATATGGTGCAGCTTTGGATGGCCAAGCTCCGCAGGGATGGGATCGCCAAGATCGCGTCAAAGAACGTTTTGGAGATGATTGACGAAGACAACACAAGATCTTCTACGGCGATGACTTTGAGCAGACGCCAGATCTCCTTTGGTAGTAGCAGCACAGATATTCTCAGGTGCATCCGGCGAACAAATCTCCCAGCTTCGCTTTCGTCTCCAAGCATAGCAAGGAGAGACGCGGCGCGACCAGGTGATTCAATAAGGTCCAAATCGACATGATAGAGAAGGATGGGGATGGTCAAGCTTCGCAGACGTTTGCAGGTCTGTGACAGACTCAGAAGGGTGGGTCGATCGCGCCGAAGAAGTTTGCCGATGTCGAACCAGATTTCGTTTGGAACGCGGTCTAGGGGAGAGCTTAACATGGTGCAGACAAGAATCTGCTTGATGGTGTTAGTAACCCGATATCGATACATTCTTGGCCAGCTCACCGGTTGAACCCGGTATCTGAGGGTCGTCCCAACAGTCCAGTTATGCCAGCTGTATATGTATGCGCTGCTTCGGGATAGGAGTCGCTGAAAGTGTGGCACGCTGCGGGCGTCTGCGCGACGCGCAGGTCGGGGCGGTACCTGGAAAGTGGTACCGCTTCCGCAGCTTAAAGAGACCAGAGCTGGTATAGCACTTTCGGGATATCAGTTAAAGACTGTCAAGAAGCACAAGCAAAAGGGTATCTGTCACATAATGGCCATTACAATACCAGGCGTCTGAGAGCGGCGACGGCGGTGATGGTCAACGCGACTGACACAAGCGGAAGCAAAATGTGCGGGACGCGCGTTCAGTAGAGAGCCTCTAAGCTCAGCGCGTTGTACCAACCCTCCTCTGCATACACTTCACTAAAAGACTTCAGCATGCCGATCAAGGAGGAGTCCACCATTGTTGTTCACTCGGAAGATCCGGTTAAGAAAAAGGAAAAAGAGAAGGAGAAGTTAGTAGATGGAAAGGATGACAAGGCCGAGGGCGAGGACCTGGCATGTCGTGTGCTCTCAGTTGTCGAAGTGCGGTGATGCTGACTATGATCAATAGAGCGAGGAGGATCTACAACTACGAAATGAACTGGAAATGCTTGTGGAACGTTTACGAGTTTGTTTTCTCTCTAGATCGTCTTGTTGTATGCTCATGCAAATGTAGGAGCCTGATCACAGCCTATATCGGCCCGCATTAGAGACAATGCGTGTGCTGATCCGGACGTCGACCAGCTCAATGACCTCCGTTCCCAAGCCGCTCAAGTTCTTGAGGCCTCATTACCCCGAGCTTCAAGAGCTATATGAGAAGTTCCCCGGGTCTGTTGAGGATAAGGTGCCTCTATTTTCAGCATCCTGACATACGGTACTCATTGCTGTTGTAGGGCCTCTTTGCTGACATCCTTTCCGTCCTTTCCATGACATACTCCACTCCTCTGGCCGGCCATACCACCCTTTCCTACCGACTTGACTCCCCACATCCTTCTGCCCCAGGTGATTGGGGCCACGAATACGTGCTTCACCTCGCCTCCGAACTCGGTACCGAGTACTCCTCTCAAGTAGAGAAGGGTACATCTGTCTCATCGCCTGAGATGCAGAAGCTCGTGGAGCTGGCAGAGGAGTGTGCAAAATGGTTCCTTGGGCATAACGCTGAAGCAGATGCTGTGGATCTGCTTTCGGAATGTGAATGTGTCGAGAAGCTGGTCCACTTGGTCGACAATGTCAACTACGCCAGAGTTGGCAGGTATATGGTCAGGTGCGTGTCGACGCATGCCCGTACATCCAGACCCTGACGACATGATTGCTCTAGCTGTGTAAACCTCCTTATCCCCCCAGACGATATCGCGTTCCTTCGCACGGCTCACGATATCTATTTCCGTCAAGCTCGGTTCCCCGATGCCATGGCACTTGCTGTACGGTTAAATGACGCGAACTTGGTGCGGTCGGTTTTCAATGCTCCCGCGAATGTGTACGCACTTTCGTTTTATTGTTTTGTTTCTCTCCTTGACCCCTCCACAGGCACATGAAGCAGCAACTCGCTTTCATCATCGCACGCTCGCAAATACCGATTGTTTGGCTCGCTGAAAACCCCGAAGAAACGACGACCGATGAGGTTCTCAGTGCTCTGCCTGACGATCTCGTAGCGTGTTTGACCAATACGACCTTGACCAACCATTTCAAAGCATTTGGCAAGGAGTTGGGCGTCACGGACCCGCGTTCTCTTGAAGACATCTACAAGAGCCACCTCGAGCCGTCAAGTGCGAGGAGCGTACCAGCCCAGGGTGTCGACAGTGCAAGACAAAACCTGGCTGGAACCTTTGTGAATGCGTTCGTCAATGTTGGCTTCGGTAACGAGAAGATGATGGTGGACGTCGAAGGTGGGCAGAGTTGGATATACAAGAATAAGGATCACGGTGTGTACTATGCTCATCCCGTTCTGTCTCAAAGTTGTAATCAGTTTGTGTATAGGTATGATGAGCGCTGCTGCCAGTTTGGGCGCGAGCCTTCTGTGGGACACAGAGGTTGGTCTAACCCACATCGACAAGTATACTTATTCCAACGAGGAATACATCAAAGTATATCCTCATGCATAAGGAGAAATACACCCTTCTAATAGTTATCTGTTTAGGCTGGTGCGTTTATGGCTATGGGTATTCTGCACACAAGCGTCCGGACGGAAATCGATGCTCCGCTTGCCCTGCTTAGCGAGCAAATCGAGAACAAGAGCGTACCATTGAGGACCGGGGCAATTGTGGGGTTCGTATTTGGACGATTTGTGTCTCTGAAGTTCCACTGACCATGTTGCAGTCTTGGTTTCGCCTATGCTTCCACTCACCGAGCAGACATAATGGCTCTTCTGCTGCCACTTGTAGCGGATGAGACATTAACCATGTCACTTGCTGCACTGGCGGCGCTTTCACTGGGATTCGTGTTTGTGGGTAGCTGCAACGGTGAAATTGCGGGTACCATCCTCCAGACGATGATGGAGAGGGATGCTGCGCAGCTGACGGATAAGTGGGCAAGATTTATGGCGCTTGGTCTCGCGTTACTTTACCTTGGTACGTTTCTTTGTATGTTGCGTTCTGGCGTTGACTGACCGAAATTTCTCAAGGCCGACAAGAAGCCGCCGACGCCACGATCGAGACCCTCCGTGCGATTGAACATTCTCTCGCCAAACAGGCCCAAATCCTGGTCGATATTTGCGCGTATGCCGGCACGTCGAACGTATTAAAAGTCCAGCAAATGCTACATTACTGCACCGATCATATCACCAAAGAGGATAAGAAAGAGGAAGCACCAGCTGAGCCTGCGCAGGAAGAAGGTGCGGCCACACAGCCGAATGGCACCAACGAGACAGCCGCGCCTTCAGCGCCAGCTGACGGCACGGCTACTGAGGAAAAGAAGGAAGAAGAAAAGAAGGAAGACGATGATACGTTCCAGGCCTTTGCGGTGCTGGGTATTGCGTTAGTTGCCATGGGAGAGGATGTTGGGGCAGAAATGAGTCTGCGGACGTTCAACCATCTCGTATGATTGACCGCTTCTCTCTACACATGTCTTTACTAAAAGCGTGTCAGATGCACTACGGCGAGCCGATCATTCGGAAAGCCATTCCCCTTGCCCTCGGTCTTCTAAGCACATCCAACCCCCAACTTCCTCTGCTCGATACCCTTTCCAAGTACTCGCACGATTCTGACCTCGACGTGGCGGCCAATGCTATCTTCGCCATGGGCTTGATCGGTGCGGGCACCAACAACGCCCGTCTTGCCCAGATGCTTCGGCAGCTCGCGGGCTACTATGGCAAGGAGCCAGACTGCCTATTCGTGACGCGAGTCGCGCAGGGTCTGGTACATGCCGGCAAGGGCACCGTCACCCTTAACCCCTTCTACCAAGACCGAGGACTCATGAGTTTGCCGGCTGTTGCAGGCATCCTGGCGACTCTCATAGCCTTCACTGACGCAAAAGCCTGTACGTTGTCTTCATCCTACATAGGTTGTGAGCGTGACTTATATCTGTACAGTCGTCCTCGACAAGAGCCACTGGATGCTGTACTACCTCATTCTCGCCATGTACCCACGATTCTTTATCACACTGGACGAAGAACTCAACCCACTCCCCATCACCGTGCGCGTCGGTCAAGCAGTAGATGTCGTCGGCCAGGCCGGCAAGCCACGTACCATCTCCGGTTTCCAGACGTACCAAACACCTGTGCGCCTCGCCACGGCCGAGCGGGCAGAGCTGGCCACAGAAGAGTATTTGCCTTATGCAAGTGTGCTCGAGGGCCTTGTGATTCTGGAGAAGAATCCGGGGTGGGAGGATGAGAAGATGGACTTGTAGGGCTGTAGATGAGGCTGGAGAAGATAATGCCATTCCCGTCCAAATAGCGCGGCCGCTGGGAACCGGTCGCGGCAACCGTTTAGGTGGAAATTGGTCGGTCAGCTAACAAAAAAGACAGCAACCGAAAGAGCCCATCAAAGACGAGTAAGCTTTACACTTACAACACTGCCAAACACCTCCGCTCTCGCGATGTTGGCAGCATTCCATTCGTACCATGGCTAGCCCTGGAGACCTCGTCGGAATAAGGAGGCCAATTCCATGCACCCATGCACGACGTGTGTTCCGCAGAACGAGACGAGGCACAAATGCCAAGTCAGATCGAGCTATACCGTTTTTTGCTCTTGCTTCCTATCCGAAGCATCGGTTCCTTTACGTCCTGCATTGAGCATGATCGGGGTCGATCAACCCAGATCGGGGGCGATCAGCAGGCCGATGTGGGTGTATCCAGGCAGCTTGAGCGCCGGCGGTAGGTACTTCGGTTTTTGCGTCTGGACACAACACGGATCCTTTCATTCGAGGCCTCCAACCTGAATTAACAGTTTACGAAATGCGCCAAGTCCCCGCACCTGGAGAGACAATCATTTACCCCGGAGTGGTCATTCGCATCATCGGAGATGATCATGGACGTGGGGTAGGCAAATTATAAATGTGGGGAGAGGGCGCGATTTCCATTCATCCATGTGGGGACAGGGACACCATGAAAACACGAGAAGAAGGTGGATACGGTTCTTGAGGTTCTGACCGCCGAGGTGACCGACACGGATCGGCTCCGGAACACATGATGCGCCCATGTGCCTCCGCCAATGACAGCTCGGTGCGCCCTTGGGAAGGCACACGCGCATATAGCCATACCTGGTTACCTTTCACCCACGCAGACGTCGCCAGCCAACAATGAGTGGCCAATCACAGCACTGTAGAAGCATCGGCTCAATAGCAAGGACAAACAGAATACCCTCTCGATACTCCCGTGTCCCCGTGCATGTTCGCCCTTCGAGCTGGATGTGGCAACTAACTCAGGAAAAGAATCTCCAAGACTGCCAAAAGATTATGTTATTACTCGGGCGATTGCAAATCACAACCTTCTATCTCGGGCTGGCAGAGTATTTCTAGGCGCTCGGGAACAGAAGTGCATTGTCTCAAGGCTCACTCCCTCCCTTCCCTCAGTCTTAGGCCTGACTTGCGTTTCCTGCGCTGTGGGACGGACTCTTCTACTTCTTGCTGAAAGATGGAGTACCATCACCACCATGAAGAGCACCCGAGACATCTTGCAAGGAGGTCGGTGTAGTTTCCTCGTACAGAAGATCTTGGTGAGCTGAACTGGTCTGTCTAGTCACGCGCATGAAGGCGACATCCCCGGGACGGTATACATGAAAGCCGAGGGTAGGTTCGTTCAGTAAAGTCAGCACCGTGTGCTTATGTTGGCATTTAACAGAGGGCGATGACACGAAGGGGTCGTACGGGCAGGCTTTGTTCCCTGTACCTGCTGAAGATCCCAACGATCCTCTCCAAGTACGTTCTTCACTTCCTTTCTCCCTTGCGAACGCAGGACGTAGTCTCATCTCTCCTTTTCCAGTGGCCTAACTACAAGAAAACGATGATTCTTATCATCTGCTCTCTCTACTCCTTCCTGGGAAACAGCGCCTTGCTCGGCCCATCAGTCTACATCGGCATCTACGCTGAGGAGTTCGGTGTGGACCCGAACACTGCAAGCGGTCTGATTTCCTATCCCAACCTGGTGTACGGGTTTGGAAGCTTGATCTTGGTACCGTTGTATCTGAAGATCGGGAGAAGACCAGTCATGCTGATCTCTTTGATTTTCGTGCGTTGCCCCTCCCTTATGCTACACCCCCTTCTGCACGGGTGCTGACCAGCCGCGTAGTTCCTTGTCGGTCTCATCGCGAGTTCACAATGTACAACCTTCTCCGGTCTGATGGCCTCGCGGATTATCCACGCTTTTGGTTCGGGTGTATGCGAAGCCCTTCCCGTACAACTGGTCAACGACATCTTCTTCCTCCACGAACGCGGCAAGAGAATCGGCTACTACACCAGTATGTTGCCTTCTTGGTGGGTTTCCCCAGAGGTTCTATTCTGATGATGCTGTCTTACAGTTTGCCTCTGCCTGGGCTCAACAGGACCTCTATATGCAGGGTATATGCTTACAGGCGGATTTTCCTGGCGGCTCTACTTCTACGTCGAGATCGCATTCGCTGGCGCTCTGTTCATCCTCGCCTTCCTTTTCGTAGAAGAGACCGCATACAAACGTGTTTCCTCCAACCCAGGCACCTTCCATCCTTCTACGACCGTGCAGCCTGCCGGCCCCTCTGGCAGCACAGGCTCCTTCAACGAGCCTTCGGCGGAAAAGATCATCCCATCCGCAGAGCAGATCGAGTACGCCACCCCCAATATCCCCGAGCGGAAGAGCTTTCTTCAGACTCTCAAGCCCTGGAGCTCGATCGATCACGAGGCACCGTTCTTTATGACCATGCTCAGGCCGTTTACGTACTACCTCGTTCCGGCAGTGCTGTGGGTAGTGACCACTTATGGAATCTATATTGGCTTGGGCGCGCTTGCGTTCAACTATACATTCCCGCTGAAGATCACCGCGCCACCCTATAACTGGAGCCAGGTGAAGGATGTTTCCCAGTGAAGGGAGCTTGAACTTATCACGCGTATTTCAGACAAACGCAGGCCTGATCGCAGTTGCCTCGTTAATTGGCTACCTCCTCGCAGCCCCCTTCACTTTCTCGTCCGACCGTGTCGCTGCCTACTTCACGCGCAAGAACGATGGCGTGCGCGAAGCCGAGATGCGGCTCTCCGTCATGCTCCCCGCGATGCTTATTGCCCCTGCCGGTCTGGTGGTGTACGGACTCACAGCGGAAAAGAACCTACACTGGATCGGGTACTTTATAGGCGTAGCGATGGATCAATGGGGCTCATACTTCTACTTCTCGTTCACCCTCGCCTATGCCATCGACTCCTATTACGCCAATACAAGCGAGATGCTGATCGCCATGAATCTTGGCAAGCAAGCAATCTCCTTCGGCATGGGTATCTACCTCCTCAACTGGATCCTTGAGCACGGTTATGCAGTCATGATCGCGGGCGTGTTCATGGCCATCCTGCTCGCGAACAACCTCTGCTTGCTCATATTCATGTTCTGGGGCAAGCGTATCCGTACTTGGACATCAAAGACGTGGCTCGCTGGGATGCACAAGGCGACCATCACCCAGGTCATGACGCATTAAGTGGGCGCGAAGAGCTGTGCTCTGTCATCTCTTCAATCATACGCGAGTCTATATTTTGAAATGGCCCGAGGCTTAGATATTAACCTATCTGGGCGTTATTGTAATCGTAAGGTACTTGGTTTTCTCATGAATTCACGCGGGATCTTTATGGAAGAATTGATCAAACACCCGAGGCTCAACCGCAGGCTTCTGGCTTGTCCGTTGGAAATCTTTATGGTGTATCATACCAGTACATGAAGCTGTCATACACTCGACTCTCTAAGCACACGTGGGGGCATCAGCGAGATGCGAGAGTTTGCCGATATCTGTTGGAACACCTGTGTCTCATGGCAAATCCGCCTAGGTAGACCCTGAGATGAGATGCCGCGCGGAGTCTAGTTAGCATCAGTTGGAAGCAAAATCTGAGTCGGGTAATATCCAGCAATCACCCACGGAAGTATCAGAGATTCCCCTGAGAGGTCATGTGAAAGCCATTGCACCTGTCACGGAAGCGTGACCGGTGGAAAGACCCGACAACAAACATGATGATGCACTAATGTGTCGTCTCACAAATGACAATAGAGTGACCCCCCCTCAACACGTCCCCAAACTCTCATCCAAGTCAGCATGACAACAGGGCCGCACGAGGCTTTCTTCATGACAAAGCCGGCCAATCATTCACCCAGAGAGACATGGACTGAGCCTCCTCAAGGGAGGGGCCAACATCCAGGCAAGCCAGTCCCATCCATTGTCACGAGGTAAGGGAACATTCATTCCATTTCTAAGGGAAAAGTATTGATATGATGTCCTGACAGAATGAGGAAGGCATGTCTCGAACATCACCACCTTTCCACAGCAATTGAGAATGCTGCAAGCATGTTGAAGAAAAAGAAGTCTCTCAAACGTGCTTGTTGCACAAGGGAATGCCGGAAGGCAGCCTTGAAAAGATTGGCTCATGCAGAGAATATGACTGCAGTGGATCATGAGATGGGAGCATTGATGGACCTGATTGTCCTGAGCAAGGAGGAGGAAGATAATGGTACAGAGTAGGGAAGGATGTTTCATTCATAGGAGTCATTAGACAGTACATTCTGGATTGTACTTTTGCTCACAGGAGTCATTACATGCTATGTTCCAGATTCCACTGGATCATGCATTCATGAAGAAGGGGAAGTATACTACTGCCAGACAAACAAAGAGTGTTGGTCCCAATGATGTGTGGGAACACCCATCAACTCTGACCTAGTGAGGTGCATATATTGAAGTCCGGGACCAGAAGAGGCTTCAGGCCATTTGGGCACAAGAGGAACAGCAGGGGCTGGAAGCAGGAGGACAGAAGGGTGCTCAGGCGAGAAGCATTGGGAGCCAGGTACAGTCTCCACCAAAGGGCCAAAGTGGTTGTCTGGAGGAAGTGCTGCTTGCAATGCCCACTTCTGAGCAGCCTTGCTCACCTTGAGTTCCCTCTCTGTGCATCATCATGCATGATCAGCAGCTTCCATGGGCCAGAAGCGACATGTGCCCTCAATCAGAGTGGTGTGCAGAACCTTGAGTTCTGCCATTGAGAGAATGGAGGGGTTGACGGGTTTCCCAACACCTGGCCATCCATCCAATGTCATGCTGTATGCATCCTCAACATGTCTCCTGAAGGAGACATATTGCATCACAGCATTCTCATTGTTAGTTATTGCTCCTGAGGGACAATGAGCTGTGATCTGGAGAGCAAAAGCCAAAAGCAAGTTCCGGATACTTTTGTTAAGGTCAGTCTTCTTGTTGTGCCTGCTGCTAGCCACTCCTGAGGCAGGGATGAGCCAGCCGGAACTGGAACAAGGGAGGAAAGTCATACCTTTGGAGCCACCTCCTGAGACAAACAAATCAAACTTCTTTGTGATATCCTGAGAGGAGGTTCCCAGGAGATGCTGGATAAAGGCTTCCCCAATCTCATTCCCAAAGAAGACAGGGTCGCCATAGTCAAGAGGGGTACCCTTCACAAGGAACCCAAAAAAGTGACCTTGAGTATGACAATTGAAGGCATGTACCTGTCAGGTAGCATGAGGGGGGGTCATGTCAGGAGGGGAGAAATGGCAAACCTCTCTCTGGAGCACAACACTCAATGCCATCATATCTGAGGCTCGAGATCTTCTTGCCACCCAGACTTGATGTGCATTTGTCTCCTTTTTTGTGACCAGAAGGTTGATACCTTCAGCTGCTGCATTAGGATCAGATTTCAGCTGGAGGAGTCAATGTCACCAAGCTGCTTCATGCTCAGGATTGTTGATGGAAAATTTCTGTCCTGACCCAGAGGTTGAGATGGAGAATCGGGCAAAATCCAAGCTTACCTTGTGCTTGTAAGTCCAGAGAGGTTAAAGCTATGGCAGCATTCTTGAGGTTGGGTGCTTGGGACTGCTTGAAATGTAGAACCTTCTGGTGACCCAGGACATGGTCCCTCATCATGTCTTCCTGAATGCCACATCAGGCAGCAGCTTGTCAAATGCTCTCATCCAGAGCACAAGAGATGACCACTGACTCTTGCTGGGCATTGGCATGTCACACACAATTCTCCTGAGTCTTCTGCCCATGGTTCATGTCGGGAGTAGACAAGGCAATGTGTAAGAAACTGAAGACCCCTTAGTCCATGTCACAATGATCATTTGTGCATGAAACCTGAAACATGTCTGTGAGACAAACAGTGATCATGTGACAGGAGGCATTCTTTCATTTTTGAGAGAACATGACATTCATCCTCCATCCAGAGGGAAGCAATACTAGCATGAGTTGGGAAGGGAACATCCTCCAACTGGAGGGAAATGCTACTATGGAGAAGTCTGGCACACACAGGTGATCAAATAATGTGCTACTCAATGCAAACAGAAGGCAGGATCTCCTCATCCTCATCCTCCTGACCAGGCTGGATCTGATGACGGCGGCTGAGGCCAATACAGTCACCATCTGCCCAGTCCATAACCTTGCACCAGTACATCACATTCAGGACTGAATCAAGGGGAAACTTTCTCTTCACCAGAGATTCCATCCACTTCCCCCACCTGTCTCAAGGCACATGATTGTTCAACAGCAAGTGAAGATGTCCTGCCCAGCAGTCAGGATGCTCAAACAAAAAACAACACAGTGTGAGCTCAAATGCAGATTGCTGAAGGTAAGGGTCCACAGAGGAGGGGCAATAGGTGGTAAACCAGCTGGAAAGGGTGTTTTTGATGTCATCCAGAAGAGTATGCCACAGGTTACAATCCTGAGGCAAGGCATCAAGGTGGAAGTATGGGACTTTGAGTGTGGACTCCTTGCCCTGAGCATCTTCTATTTTGGCCCAAGTTAACAGCTCCATCACCCAGTCAAGGTCCTCATCTGGAATATAAGTCTGGATGGGCTTGGTGTTTCTGGAGTTGTTGAAGCCACCAGCATGATCAGTCTTCATGTCATGGAGATGGTAGGCAATCCTGGTCTGGAAGAGGTAATCAATGCATTTGAGAGTGTGGGTGAGGGCAGGGTCATGCCAGGACTTCCTTCCCATAAAGGTAGTACTCTCAGGATGACCATTGGGACCAACACCGTCCAGACAGTAGAATTGGAAATGCCACCTGATGCCAAGGACATGATTGGCAGCATTGTTCTGGAAAACAAATGAGTGAGCTGGCAATAGCATGCAGAGGAGAAGAACTCACCAAACAAAGCATACTAGGGACAAAATCCCATTTATAAGCTGCCTTCCAGACCAAGTCATTGGTTGTTCCCTTCCAGGGATGCTGCTGCAGATTACCACCATCCAGACAATCATAGTCTGCATGACTGTAGATGGGAATGGAATCACAAAGAATAGATTCCATCTTGCAAAAATCATTCACCCTTCTGGACAGTGTCTGAGCAAATTTGGATCAGGAGGCAAGCACTCTCCAGGTTCAGCGTGTTATTCAAGGGGTAGAAGAGGGTTGGGAAGCCAAGTACAAAACCAAAGTGCTCATGATGAGGAATGGAGCATTCAGCCAGAGTATTGACTTTTTAGAACCGGATGTAGGGCAATGCTGTTGCAGAGTCAGGAGGAAATGTGTGAAAGAGTCAATTTGGGACTTACCAAACTCCTTGGTATTCTTCTTGAGCAGAGCATCAAAAAAGAAAACATTGGGATTATGATTAGGGACCAAGTTTGACAGAGTCTGGAGCTCAGCAGTGATTGGGGTGAGCAGTCCAGGCCAATTGATCAGCTCGACAAAGGGGAGGTTCTGTCAGGGCACCAGCTCATTGCTTGGTCAAGAGACATGACTAAGCCTTTATGACATGGAAGTAGCTGGTATACCTTGGCATGTGCTGGAACCTGCTGGAAGGATTGGATGGTCAGGTGACCTGCTGTGCATGGCTGTGCATGACCTCAATATGA